ATATTATGTTGTTGTACTATAAGATACAAGTATGGCCATATCTCCTAAGTATACAGACAAGTAGTATCATTGCTAAATGGATTGTATTAAGGGAATACTTTGATAATATGGGCCCTCAGTTACGAGGTATGTATTTTGGGATAGAAATTGTAGTGTAATATACCGTGATACAGGAATCTGTATTGTGCCAAATATTGCATGTATTTTGGGAGCTTAATTGTTTGACAGTGATATACACAGTTTGTAAATGTAGCTGATATTTTCTTAATAAAAAGTAAAATATTACTTAGCATTGTCAGTGATGACCTCTTTGTAGTCATGGATACGGGGAAGATAACAATATGAAAGTAAGATCCACATTGCCACTGCTTTGTTAGTCACTTCATAGATTTCGAAGTGAAACATCATTTATCAATGAATATCTGTGAAGATTTTAGCTTTAAGGATTCAAGTAATAAGAAAACTATTTTTATTTGTTTAACCCAGTATACTGGAAAACCGGTTTTGAATTAAACATATTTTATTCATTGAATACTGAAAGACCGGTAATGTCATCCAGTCCCATGTCAGTAACACTTTTTGGTATGAGAGGCAATGATATTGAGGATCTAAGTTGTAGTGCTTATTATTAACACTATCCACCACCAAAACTGAAACATACAACTTTATAGATGACAACCTCTTGTTTATTGCATAGAGCGATGTTTTGATGTAGATTCAAAAGTATGATAGCTTTTAGCTTTGGTAACGATGTAAGAAACTACATCAAAGCATGGCTTTATGCAATAAACAAAATGTTGTCATCCATAAAGTTGTATGTCTCATTTTGACTCACCAACTTATTTGTTTAACCCAGTATACTGGAAAACAGGTAATTTCATCCAGTCCTATGTCACACTTTTTGTTATGAGAGGTATTGCTCATGCCTAACACTATCCACCACCAAAAATGAAATGTCCATCTTTATAGATGACAATTTCTTGTTTATTGCATTGAGTGATGTTTCATTGTAGATCGATTCTTACATCGTTATTTAGCTAAAAGTGTGAAAGCTAAAAGTGAGATTGAAACATCACTCTGTGCAGTAAACAAGATGTTGTCATCCATAAAGTTGTATGTTTCATTTTTGACTAAGGAGTTTATGAAAGCGAATTATCCATCAACGATCAGTATGTGATATGCAAATTGCTTCAGACTATCTTTTGCACATCAAGAGCAAGTAAATTAATTACACTGTGTATGTAACTATGCAAGTAAGATATTCTTGATTGTTCCTTTTTACACTATTTCATTTTTCAAATTCTAAACTCGAATACAAGTAAGGACAAGAAAAGGTTGTTTTTCCATCACCATGTACCATCAGTACTGTTATTTCAAAGTTGTGTCATGGATGTTGTTACAGTGCATTTGCATTTAACAATATTTTGCCATATATTGGATTATGCTTCATGTTAATTGCTATGATACATGTATGGCATACATATATGAACCAATTTCATTCCGCAATACTTTAGTGTGTTCATATATCTGTTGTTTGCAGGCTGCTCTAACAATAGGATGGACCTTGTGCTCATTCTGGATACCTCCACCAGTGTCACTGAACCTAACTTCAGACTCATGCAGGACTTTTTGAAATTCTTCCTTGCCCCTGCTAACATTGATGATGACAATGTCCGAGTTGGTATTGTCATCTACAGTACCAAAGTTGCCATCCAGTTCCAGATGAATGAATATATAGGTCAGAAGAGAGAAGTCTACAAAGCCATTGACAGAATACCCTATATGTACGGAAGTACCAACACCTATGGTGGACTAAACACAATGAGGACTCAAATGTACACACCAGCAACAGGAGACCGACCGGATGTGGAAAATATCTGTATTCTCATCACTGATGGTGTTTCGAACATCAATTCCAGAAGATCAATTCCTGAGGCAGTTAAAGCCAGAGATCAGAACATCAATATCTATGTCATCGGTATTGGTTTAACAGATACTAAGGAAATTGATGGCATTGCTAGCCGGCCTCTTGATGACTACAGGTTCACCGTTCAGGAGTTCAGTGAACTAAGTGATATGAGGCAGAAAGTGTTTGGTTCTCTATGTCCTGGTAAGTACCAGTTTTTGCAAAGAATCTTTATGAGAACCTGTTGGTATATCGATAAGGACCACAGTTTTATAGCTAGCTGCTGATCTAGAAATGCTGATCATTCAATCTAGAAAAAATTTGGGGCCAAAAATTGTGTTTATAGTTGTGCCAAGATATGCTTTGAAGTTCTGTACACAAAAATGATAATTAACAATGACTTTAGACACTTTTTCTTCGGGCCCAGTCACCGAGGGAATGACCTTTCACTGCATATATGTGTTTATTGGTTGCTACAATATGCTATTGATTGTATCTATTATTTCAGTCATTCTCATTATACAGTTAGTCTGTCAGCACCACACTGTGCTAGTTGTGTTTCAGCAAAGTTTTAAAAGTATGTGATATCTGCTTGAATTGGGTTTTCCTGTCACACTTGGTCACAGAACCAATATTCTTTTAAAATGCCCAACTCACTCACTTTAGCATGTATTTGAATCTTTGGTATCATCTAATTTACCATAATTTCTGACTGATATTGTCACTTTTGTTTCAGTTGCCATACCATCTCCTCCTCCCCCAAGAAGTAAGTAAGCGCCTGTTGATGCTGCATCTGTGTGACAATCTACTACTTTGTCATTGCTAATTTACCCTATAAGCAATGTTCACCCATGAGGATTCACGATTCAGCGTTCCTTCCTAACTAACAATTTGTTAATCACAACAGTGTGTACTTCTGTAATTCATAATTGATTCCAGGCCAATACTTTACAATCCGTACAGTTTTTACAACAGTTATGTTGCAATTTCCATTGTTACTGTTACTTTTAAACAACAATATTTTTGTACAATATACACTGATACTATCTGTTTACAAGAGATTTGTACCTGGTCCATGAACATGATGAAATTACCCATCCAGATACATTGAGTAAATGAAGTTAAAGTGAACAAAGTTTCACTGTATAGTGTTGACCAAGTAAACCAAGTTTTCACATATTTATCGAATGTGGAGAGGATTATCACAAAACTGCCAGCATATTATCATAGGTCTGCAGGCTACTGTAACTGAATCAATTTCCCCAACAACAGGCTGCTATTAATTCTATTATTATGTGAAGTCATTTGCATTATGTTTCCTGTTTCTTTTGTGTTCATATTCATGTTCTTAGACGTTGCTATTTGTAAATAAGTTACCTCTCTTTTGAGGTATCCAGCCACTAAAAGTATACTGCTGTTGATTTGGGACAGTAACATGTCTTCTCAGGGCAGAAGCCTTCAGTCAGTTCACCTGCCCTCCTTTAATGTCCCTCATTATTCATACCAGACTCCAGGTTTCTTCAAAGGATAATGCACTGAAATATGATTTTAACCTTACAATATCATGATAACTTTCACAAACAAAAATAAGTTATTTTCTATGTTCACAATTACAATTAGCTAAAAAATTGCAATAAACACTTTATCTTTTTGAACAAATAGTCATATAAATGCTTCATAATGTAATCAAACATAGTCCACATGTGGTTATGTACTGAGGGAATAAAGGAACACATGAAAATTCAAGTGTTCCTTTAATATTTTCCAGTTTTCACCACCAGCTTTGAATAGTGCTGTGGGAGGAAATCTGAGAATAAATAAAGGAACACTGCCATGAAGTGGTGTTCCCTTATTTGTTTCCTTCAGTATATGTCATGACACACAGGGAATATTGCAAGTTCTGAACACAACAAACAGAAACAAAAATCTCAGTGACTCTTATGAATCAATAATATTTGTTAATACATTCTCATACATTCAGTATTGTGTAATACTTTGCCTTAGGTTACCAGCATTAATTTTTTCATAGATGTTTATTGTAGAGATAGATAAAAATGTGAAAACTGTAAAATGAAAATGTTGTGTCCAGCTGTGCTCTATTTGTTTGACCTGTAACACTAATGTTTGTAAGTGTGATGAGAAGGCTCGATATGGTTGTCAAACTCATCAATGACACTATTTTAAAGTGTATTGTATGAATTACATGTTCATGTTTTTATATCCTTTGTCCTAACAGTCACTTGTTGAATGTTTCAGTGTTATTCTGTCTCATTTAGTGCAAAGGTAAGGAGGGGATGTTCCATCAACACTCTGTTCTTCAGACCGAAGCTGATCACATTGCCTCAAACTATATAATGGCTGATATGCATTTAATATAAATTACTTGCAGGTCAACAATTAGGTAATTTTTCTTACAACTTGCAAGGAAACTATTCTCATGCCTCAACCAAAATATAGGTCTGTATTTAACTGTTCAAGGGTCCATTCAACAACGTGACCAAGACATACAATTGTTACAAGTCAAGTTAGTTTGTGGGAGTTTCTGCCATCTAAGTATTGAGATTTCTTTGTACTACAGGGTCACTGATCCCCAAAATTTGGAAACAAAAAATGAGGGACTATTATTTTAAGAATTATACGTAGATCTTACATGAAAGGCATGAGGTTGTGGCTTGCAATCTCAAACATGATTGAACGCGTAGAAACTTTAGGTGTCAAAACAAGAAATCATTTTTAAACCTTTAAGATAAAGAGTTTAAAGTGATAAAATTAACTCAGCAATAGTTTGTTATGGAATTTTTCTTAGAGAATCACTACTCTGGAAGTAAAGAAGTAATACTGACAACCATGAACGGTTTTGATGACAAACATGTATGTGATGAAGGATATTAGTTCTGTGTTGTTTGTGTCCTGCTTTGTCATCTCTTTGGTATGTGAGTGTCCATTTGTGGTATCAGGATGTCCATTTGTGGTATCAGGATGTCCATTTGTGGTATCAGGATGTCCATTTGTGTATGTCCTTTTGTGCTACATTGTCTTCTTCACAGGATTGCTTCTACATCTGTTCTCCAATACTAATGCCTTGTACATTTAGGTTGTTCTGATGCCAGAATGGATCTTGTCCTAATCCTGGATACCTCCACAAGTGTCACAGAACCCAACTTCAGGCTGATGCAGGACTTTTTGAAATTCTTCCTTGCCCCTGCTAACATTGACAGGGACAATGTTAGAGTTGGTATTGTCATCTACAGTACCAAAGTTGCTATCCAGTTCCAGATGAATGAATACATAGGTTCTAAGAAAGATCTTTACAGAGCCATTGACGCAATACCTTACATGTACGGAAGTACCAACACCTATGGTGGACTAAATGTAATGAGGACTCAGATGTTCACCCCAGCAACCGGTGACCGACCTGATGTTGAGAATGTGGCCATTCTCATCACTGATGGTGTGTCCAACATCAATTCCAGAAGAACAATCCCAGAAGCTGCCAAAGCAAGAGACCAGAACATTCACATCTATGTCATTGGTATTGGACTTCGAGATACAAGAGAAATTGATGGCATTGCCTCACCACCTATTGAAGAAAACCGTTTCACTGTCCAGGAGTTCAGTGAGCTGTCTTCTATGAGGGAAAAGGTCTTTGGATCAATTTGTCCAGGTGATTTTTTAAACATGTCATGTTTGGACAACATTCTCAGTGTACTCAAAGTTAGAGCAATATTTGTAGTGTCTATTTTTCTATGAATGAAAAGGTCTTTTCCAGGTGAGTTGGATTATCATTCAAGACCAATTTATGACATAGACGTACAGTAAATATTTATATTTCCGTCATTCAGGTCACTGTTTATAAGTCCAAAGCTGTTACTCATGTAATGAATCAAACTGTAGGAGATACATCTACCAGGTTGTCACCAGGTACTAAAGTGTAAGAAACAGATTACCATGGCATTGCTCGAAAGTGCAAAACCAAGAGCAAGGGAAGAGCATAAGCTTTTACTTTGTCAATCAAACCTGAAGATGAGTGTTTCAACTAACTCAATCCATCTCAATACAAGAAAGAATGCTACAAAATTAGGATAACTTATTCTGAAAACGTGGAAGGATAGTACTTTTTGTGCTGATAACCACCTGGGATTCACACCAACACTTTCCAAGTAAGTCTCCTATATGCCAGCACATATAGTCAGTGATCTATCCCACTTTTCCATCACAGCTTCCACTAAGCTGGAAGTCAAACAACTGGTAGACTAATCACATACTTTGTGTATCCCTCTGACATGTAACATGGCACAGCAATGAATACACAATGCCTTTTAGAAAGTTGTCAAATGTCACATATGTTATATGTGGGACTTTCCTAGTAACATAAAGATTCCAGTACTATTTAGGATTGAGTCCCATCCAGGATTCGAACTCACAGTCTCGAAGTAGGGCACAAGGTATATTGTATTTTTGTACACATCATACAAAAGGCAATGTATATTGAAGGATATTAGCAACTGGGTTTGCAGGCCTTCCAGTATTTAAAGAAACCTCATTGAAATTTGTATTACTGACATGAAAGACTAGGAACTTGCAAGTCTTTATCGGTCTTTCATCTCATGACAGAGATCATGTCAGCCTTGATTGTTCTTCACTAATGGGGATCTACTATTGACTTATATATACTATATTATTTAAATTGTGTAAACAGTTTTGACCAGAAAGATACTTGCAAGAAAAATTTGAATGTTAACAAATCCTGGAAAATGAAAATCATATTCAGTAGAGTATGTTTTAACACTGAAGATTTTTTGCAGTTGAAGAAACAACGACCACAACTACTACTACAACAACAACAACAACAACAACAACCACTACAACACCAGTACCTACTACCCCTGCCCCTCAGAGTAAGTAAAAAATATTTGATACATTCAGTGATTTTCTTTTTGCATATCTGTAATTAAATAAAACATGTCAATGCTCCTATGGTTGAACTAATGTTTACATTTGTGAAATACATATGGTTGTGTAAGGATTCAGCAGTTGTTATCAAAACTTATGTTCATATTTCAAAGTTCAGCTGCACCTTCAGGTATATACGTTGGCTATTTTTGACCCGTCTTGCCAGAGTTATCACTTAGTGTCTTTTCGCAATGGAGGAAGTCTCCTATATTTTCTTTGATCTAATGATGTGTAATGACATGTTGTATTAGATGTATTGTAGAATGGTTATATCTTGTCCACTTGTCTGCAATTTCAACATGAGATCTTTCAATAGATATGTGTTTCCTATGATGTGTTCAGATGAACAAGACCCGTGAAGATCCGGGTTAGAATAGATCTTCAGCAACCCATGCTTGCCACAAAAGGCGACTATGCTTGTCATAAGAGGCGACTAACGGGATCGGGTGGTCAGGCTCGCTGACTTGGTTGACACATGTCATCGGTTCCTGATTGCCCAGATCGATGCTCATGCTGTTGATCACTGGATTGTCTGGTCCAGACTCGATTATTTACAGACTGCTGTCATATAGCTGGAATATTGCTGAGTGTGGCTTAAAACTAAACTCACTCACTCACTCACTCAGATGAACAAGGGGCAGTGGGGTGGCCTAGTGGTTAAAGCATTTCCTCATCACGCCAAAGACCTGGGTTCAATTCCCCTCATGAGTACAATGTGTGAAGCCCATTTCTGGTGTCCCCCGCTGTGGATTGGAATATTGCTATAAGTGGCGTAAAACTAAACTGACTCGCTCATGTAAACAAATTGTTTTGTATCTATTGTATATGTGAACCTAATCAGTATATCGATAATGACTCAGTCCATTCATCTGCCTCTATGTATTATATAGTGATTTGTAAATGCTGCATATGTGAAAGTAATCAATATTTGATGATGATATGGTCTGTGTAACATAACTTCTTAGTGCTTGCATATTTCCATTGCTCATGACAACAAGGCAGGTAATATGCTGTTTCGGTTTCAATCTATGGATAGATTACAAGGATTAACCTTGGTGTATCAGCTTGTATGAGGGGTACTGCAATCCAAACATTCTTCAAAGTGGAGTATATTTCATTTCTTGACTGTGTATTTATTAGTGAGTGAGTGAGTGAGTATGGTGAGTATGCTATTTTTCAACCTCAGCTGCCTTAAAGGCATGTATCATATGTAAGTCTGTTAGTGTTCCTTTCCACTGTAGTGCCATGATGCACTAGATTTTCAGTACATGATAATGGTGTGTGTGGTTGTCATAATCTACGCCAAAAATCTTTTAAAAATCTATTTGCCATTGGCCTCTTCTGAAATTCATTTAACTACTGAGTATATGACAGAAGTACATTTTTAATTCTTGAAGACTTACATGAGGGGCCAAAGTGTATTTGACAATTTTCTTTTTCATCAGTTACTACTATGTTAATTTTGCAATTTCTCTGTTTTTATTTTATTTTTTTCTCTTCCTATGTTGGTCCATTCTCTTAAAAACCTGTGAAGCCCATTTCTGGTGTACTCTTCCATGATGTTGCTCGAATAGTGCTAAAAGCGGTGTAAACTAAACTCACTCACTCTTTTATAAACACTAGTAGATCGATCAAACTGATGAAAATACTAATTGAGTGTTCATGTTCCTTTTACATTTCTGTTGTCTTTTTATATGTTGCTAGAGACATTGTTGCAAAATGTAATTTAATGGTAGGCAATGTACAGTTGTTGGCATATAATCCTAAGCATAACACTACTAGGCTTTATTCCCATACTTGAAGTGCACATTTTAAATCCTTTTGTATTTGTGACACATGTCTCAGTCATGTCTTTGTTGTCTGTTGATATCCCACTCAGGTGTCTGGTCTTTGAACCTTACTACTTTAGTAATCTTTTAACATTACACATCTGATATTCTATGTTGTAAATATGATGCAACAGTTGCACGATGTATATCGGGTACACTGTTTATCTTGAAATATACATTCCTAAATTGTATCCTGTATCCTGTTACACATAGTGTACCTGTTGTCATCACTTCTGTGTGTAATTTATGTGTTCACTAATGCATTAGTCTACAACACATCATCTTTTATAGGCTGTTCTAATGCCAGGATGGATCTTGTCTTAATCCTGGATACCTCCACAAGTGTCACAGAACCCAACTTCAAACTCATGCAAGACTTCTTGAAATACTTTCTGGCTAATGCCAACATTGATGGAGACTTGGTCCGAGTTGGTGTTGTCATCTACAGTACCAAAGTTGCCATCCAGTTCCAGATGAATGAATATATTGGTCAGAAGATAGAAGTTTACAAGGCTATTGACAGAATACCCTATATGTATGGAAGTACCAATACTTATGGTGGACTAAACATCATGAGAACTCAGATGTTCACCCCTGCAACAGGTGACCGACCAGATGTTGACAATGTAGCCATTCTTATCACTGATGGTGTGTCCAATATCAATGCCAGGAGAACAGTCCCTGAGGCTGTTAAAGCACGAGACCAGAACATCCACATCTATGTCATTGGTATTGGTCTGACAGATACAAAGGAAATTGATGGCATTGCCTCACGACCTGTTGAGGAGAACCGTTTCACTGTCCAGGAGTTCAGTGAGCTGTCTTCTATGAGGGAAAAGGTCTTTGGATCAAGGTGCCCAGGTTAGTATATTGATTCATTATTGCTTCAAATCACAAAATCTTTTAGACATTTGTACTGTATCCATATATCAGTACCATCCAATCTTAGAATAAGTCATATCACTGAACATTTGAAATAAATGTTGTAGGTAATGATTTGTTTGTCAGAAGCTCCATTGTCAATAATTGATATTTACACCATTATGTGTCAAATGGATGTGTCAAACTTACTTTTCCCTCAAAGTTAAAGTTTGGTCCCTGCACATTTCTTGTTTAAACAGGGCAGTGGGGTAGCCTAGTGGTTAAACAGTCATGATGAAGACACAGGTTCGATTCCCTTTGGGTACAATGTGTGAAGCCCATTTTGGGTGTTCCCTGCCGTGATGTTGCTGGAATATTGCTAAAAACAGCGTGAAACCATAATCACTCACTCACTTGTTTAAACATCAGTTTGTATTTGTGTCAAACCTTGGACAAATCATAGTATTTATGTAGGTCCCTTCGCCTGTATGTGACACAATTTGCAATATCTTTTTCAGCAGTAGATCTTACACCACCCCCACCAAAAAGTGAGTCAGCATTGATCCTCTTTACCATCTCAGCTTTTATTTCTGACTAACTCATATATTTTACTATGGATGAAACACAGTACATCATCTGGAATTACTATCAAAAACTGGAATTTTTACAATCAGTGATTGTATGTTTTGGACATACCTAGACAGGCAAAATCTCAGATACCAGCCATGAACTGTCTCTTCATATCTCTTTATAAGTGTCTCTGTAATCAGTTTTTTTATTTGGTAAAGTCAACTAAATCTATTAAATCAAAATACTGGAATTAAGGGCACGTTTCTTTGTTTGATTTATAATTCCGCAATATATAACCATGGCCCATAAATAATTGAGCTTGTAACAGATACTCCGGGTCCATACAAAAAAGTGACCAAGACGTACTCACAGATACTCCAGTGAATGAAATTATGAGCTTCACATCAAAGTTGTATGAAAACAAGAAATAAGTGAAGTCACTAAGCCTGAACATGCAATTCATTAAGTCACTTCTTGTGACCAGATTACAGCAGGTTACAGGAGGTCTATTCTTACCCAGAGGCGCCATGCTGCTTTTTTGCAGGGAGGCCATACGTGAAGAATATTGAAGTAAATCATACATTTATCTTTTTCTTCATGGCTATGAATGAGTGAGTGTGTACAGTACATTATTTGGCATTATTGTAACATACATCATGTTACATACTTGGATCTACTGATGATAACATAAACATGTCCAGTCGTAGCAGCTTTGATGTACTGTGGTTTCATCCAAACTTACTTGTATATATACTATATTCTATACACTATATACTGTGTAATGACTCTTTGCATTTTGTCTATTTGTGTTCAGCATATATTGGATCTGGAATTAGCACACTTACATCAAGACTATCATATATCTTATGTGTTTTAACATAATACAGGATATCAGTCTTGTCTTTACAGATGCCATTTTTGTTTCACAATATGAAGAAAAGTTACAATTTTGATGTGTGGATAACACTCTATTGTGCTGCTTCTGAACATGGAATGAAAATGGTATATGAATAGAAATGACTGAAGTTCATTTATCAATATGCTTTGTTTCCACTTGGACAAAAAGAAGCACAATCAAGGATATTTATTATGTATCTGACATATGACTATAATGGTTATTACTTTCTACAAAGTAAAACAATTGACAAAGCATTTGATAAATATTATGAGTTGTCTCTCCTGTATCAAATGTGTTAACAGTGTCTCAGGTTACAGTATCTTGCATTATCTATTTGGTTTTTAAAAGAACTTATAAAGAATCATACTTTTAATATTCTGAATGGCAAGAGAATTTTAGAAAAATGTGAATTTTCTTCTAGAAAAAAAACAAGGAACAAATAATTTTGCCTCAAGCTTTAAAAATAAGGGAAAAGAAATGTGTCTGGGCATACTGGATGTCTGGGGAAAATATGTTCTTTTCTTGTGAATCTCCACTTTGGCTGCTGTCCCTGGGTCAGTGATCAATGTGTAAATATCAGGTGTCCAACATAATTAGTAAATATATTGTTGCACAGTCTAAAATGCAGATATGGATTGAGGATCTGTTTGACAATGCTATTGGACAGCCCATAGTTCTGTGAAGTAACAAGCCAAAATCCAAATCATTTATATGGAGAAATATGATTGCTGAAGCTATAAACAGTCAAATCATTAAGATGTTTCTGATGTTTACTTTTCCTGGATTGTGTTCTGCTCCCTTAACTTCCATCCCCGTATCAGATCATTAAAATCAAAGCATGTTAGGAATGAAATGAAAGTTTAGCTAATACTGTAACTTGAGCAATTACTTCTATAACTTTCATAATGTTACTGTTTAACATACTACCATATACATAATTTCAATATGAGCATGTATCATTCAGTCTGTCAATGTCAGTCAAGCAACCATTTCTGTTGTTGCTTCCATTGATGGCTGAAGGTACATGTTTGCAATGTTTGTTTTACTTGGTCACATGTTTCACAAGAATTCTTGTGTTTTGTTGCATCTACATGTCTTTACTTTTGCAAGGTAATAACTGATGGGGGTTTGTTTTTTATTCTGAAAAGTAATATACAATCGAACCTTGCAGTGTCCAACTTGATGGTATCAAATTCTTGGTTGTCTAAAACTCACCTTCCATCCCCTGTGAGTTGCTTCTGTCATTATTTATGTTTTGATCTCTCAACTGAGATATGTTTAATTCCTGGTTGTCTCGGACTTACATGGGAGTACCAAGTATTTTGATGAGGCATAAATTCTTCCAGTTGACTTGATTATATCAAATGTGCACGCTGATCACTGTTTACACATCTGCAAGTTACTGAAGTGTTCTGATATGTGAAACAAATTAAAAACATATTTAGTCATTACAAGACTGCCAGAAGGTAATGGGACTCCAGTTACAAGTGGATGATTTAATGATTAAAAACAGTATTATCATTTATAACATGCTTATCAACAGTGAAACTACATTATGTTTAATATTCTCTGTGATAGTCTCAAACCCCAGATAACTTTCCCCAGGTCCCAACAAGTTTGACACTACACGGTTCAAATGTCTATTTTTTAAGAGAAACGAGATCAAATTTGGTTGCAGTGATCCTTCTGAACAATATACCGCTCTTCTTCTGTCACTGTGTTCTGTAAAGATGTGATGTGTTTTTATGTGTTTCCTTGTCTTGTACCTTGAGATTGCAGACAATTTGAAAAGGTAAGCCATTCTTTCAAGGTGTCAAATGTTGTGTGGTTTTGTTGTGTCCTATGTCTATGTCTTGTACCTACACAAAACAGGTTGTTCCGGTGCCAAGATGGACCTTGTCCTAATCCTGGATACCTCCACCAGTGTCACTGAGCCGAACTTCAAACTCATGCAAGACTTTTTGAAATACTTTCTTGTTCCTGCCAATATTGATGATGATAATGTTCGAGTTGGTGTTGTCATCTACAGTACCAAAGTTGCCATCCAGTTCCAGATGAATGAATACATAGGTTCTAAGAAAGATCTTTACAAAGCCATTGACAATATACCTTATATGTACGGAAGTACCAACACCTATGGTGGACTAAATGTAATGAGGACTCAGATGTTCACACCAGCAACTGGTGACCGACCAGATGTTGAGAATGTGGCCATTCTCATCACTGATGGTGTGTCCAATATCAATGCCAGGAGAACAATCCCTGAAGCTGCCAAAGCACGAGACCAGAACATCCACATCTATGTCATTGGTATTGGTCTGCAAGATACAAGAGAAATTGATGGCATTGCCTCACCACCTATTGAGGAAAACCGTTTCACTGTCCAGGAGTTCAGTGAGCTGTCTTCTATGAGGGAGAAGGTCTTTGGATCAATTTGTCCAAGTAAGATGTTGTTTAGCTATAGTCCTGTTTTCATTATTTTAAAGTATCAAACTTTGTTGTCCTTCCTTATTCAAATTGAAAATTGACTGGACAGGGGTTTTGATCATCTGTTGTCTGTGGTAACATGTATGAGTGTATTATCTGTATGTAGGATATTTTAGGCTGTGTAACAGAGTAACGTAAAGTATTGTCATCATATGCATATTAACACTCATCATGAACTACGTATCGTTATTAATATTATTATTTTTGTTATTTCTCATTGTCTTGTAACACAGTAATTTTGATTGACACATCAGCTTTGATATAGCCGTAAAATTGAATCCCTTTACCTCCGTGTAACATCATGTTCATTGTGTTTACAGTTCCCCCACCAACTACCACTCCAAAGCCGATCCCAATAACTTTTGCACCCAAAAAGCAACCAAGTAAGTGATTGTTCTTATTTTAGGAACCTAAATGTGTTGGATAAACTGCTGCTCCAATTTTGTTCGACATTTAAGACAGATTTGAAGAATAAAGTAAAAGGGGCCTTAGCCCTAGATTTTATCCCAAGGATAGTGTTTTTCCTAAATCTAAAAAAATGAGAGATGTTTTATGTAACATTTAATCCTCTATACCCAAATCAGTACCAAGATTTATCAACAATGTTATTTTTCAAACAGAGTTTCTATGCACCTGTTGAAGAAAGCATAAAAGATCTCTTCCTGGCAATTTCTAAATACAGGTTCTTGTATGTTTTCCTGAGAAACTTAGATTATTATCTTAAGAGTGGGAGTTTTCTTCCAGGTTGTTCTGATGCCAGGATGGATCTTGTATTAATCCTGGATACCTCCACCAGTGTCACAGAACCCAACTTCAAACTCATGCAAGACTTCTTGAAGTTTTTCCTTGCTAATGCAAACATTGATGGTGACAATGTCAGAGTTGGTGTTGTTATATACAGTACCAAAGTTGCCATCCAGTTCCAGATGAATGAATATATTGGTCAGAAGATAGAGGTTTACAAAGCCATTGACAGAATACCCTATATGTATGGAAGTACCAACACCTATGGTGGACTAAACATCATGAGAACTCAGATGTTCACCCCTGTAACAGGTGACCGACCAGATGTTGACAATGTAGCCATTCTCATCACTGATGGTGTGTCCAATATCAATGCCAGGAGAACAATCCCTGAAGCGGCTAAAGCACGTGACCAGAACATCCACATCTATGTCATTGGTATTGGTCTTACAGACACAAAGGAAATTGATGGCATTGCCTCACCACCTATTGAAGAAAACCGTTTCACTGTCCAGGAGTTCAGTGAGCTGTCCTCTATGAGGGAAAAGGTCTTTGGTTCTTTTTTGCCCAGGTATGAATTTCTGCATTTATTATGCCTGTTAACTTTTACTCTTTATTGATATAATTCTATTTTTACTTGTAAGTTGAAAGCATCATTGAACAGACACTGAGGTGAATGATGAACTTCTACATCTTTGAAGGCTTGGCTAAGTAGTCTGTACACATTGGGTGGTACCAGTATATGAATTCAAAATTTACCAGTGAGGTTTTCAAGTTCACATGGCAAGTTTTTACTGACATATTGTTTCAATTGTTTTCTGAAACATATATCTAACAAAAATCTCTGAAATTGGAAAACACTGAGGTGACTTTTGACAATTTATATTTTGGATGTTGCAACCTATGAGCATTTTATTAATAAGTAGCACTACTAATTGTGAAATTTATATATTTGATTTCTTCAGCCACCTACATTGAATTTTAGGCCAAATACATAGTAAACTGGTAACAACTATAAGGTGCCATGATATAATGAGGTACTGTACATGGTAATATTACCAGATCTCATCCTTAAAAACTTCCTGCATATAGCCTAATGAAATTATTTTCTGTTTATTCAGTTGAACCAACAACAACTCCTAGACCTATTCCTATCACTCTGGCACCTAGGAAACTGCCCAGTAAGTAACATACAGATGCAGTGCTTGAATAAAGGGTGTAATTGTACAGATTAATAGCATCATTTTACATCGCAGCACAGTTTGGCATAAACACGAAATGATCTATACAAAATGGCAAATGTCATTTCTACTCTTGTCTTCAGTGTGGTGAATAGGATATACAATTCTATTTCTATGTAAATCACAGAAATTTGTGTCTTGGCCTACTTGTCCAGTATCTGTAAACATCATCTCAATAAACCCTTGGCCTCACAACCATATGGACAAAAATGTGTTTAAGGACCATTCATAATTTATGGCTAGGTGGAGTGATGATATTTTTATGGAGAAGCATGTACAATGTGAATGACCCCCCCTAAACTTTATGCATAAAGTAAGAGACCCCCCTGCATGTCATGTACAAAATCAATTAACCCCCCTTCCCCACTCCCATTGTTTTAAAGCGTACTTTCTCTATATTTATCTGTACAAAATTCTTGGTACACACCCTAGTACATGTGTACAAAACTGTTGACCCCCTCTACCTCCCCAGAACAAAATTGGTGTCCCACCTTAAAATCATCATCACCCCCTAGCCATAAATCATGAAACCCTTACTGCCACAGGGGCATATTAAAATGGAGACCATCAGTCTGTTCGTCCATCCATGTGTCAGGACATCCCTCTGTGTTAGATGCCATTTTCAGAGCAGATCTTATAAACCACACAATATATATACCAAACTTGATATATAGATAATACTAGTGGCAAACTAGTGCCTAAAATTCTAAATAATTATTTTTTAAAAATATTTTTGAATTGTAAGGCAACAAATGTGACTTCGACGGAAATTTAATGCTCATTTCTAATCATCTTCAAAATTGTGAAGTATTTCTTCAACAAACTTGGCACAAAACATATTTTTTAAAATAATACACTATGCCTTCACCAAATATGGCATATGGATAAGTCCAGTGGTTAAATGGTGCCTTTGGATCATTTGTAATAATTAAAACTATTACATTTTGTTTCAAATACAATTTTCAATCTTACCATATTGTAATTTACTTATACCACTGACAATTTGGCAAGTATTTTTTAACGATAAAATGAACTTTGGTACATGTATGCAAGAGCTAATAAAATATGTTTGTATTGTGGAGATGTTTTCACTTTGACCTTGATTTGACCTTTGCACTTTGTCTTTACTGAAAGCTGAAGTTGCTTATTGATTTTACTTGTTAATTTTCTTGTAAAATGTAATGATATTTAGTATATTTGTGCATTAATTTACAGAATGTCTTCATTCTTTCTTATATGTTAAGTTTAGACCTTTACAATACCTTTGCACTTTGATCAAGCCTCTAAATTCTTTCAAAATGCATTGCCCCGCACTGTAAACAACTGCTGTTCATAAGCTGATATATGTTTGAAACTGAATCTTCACATACTTGTTCCCACCAGTGAGCACATCTGAATTTGCTTAAGTTGTTCCAATCTGATTTTCAATATGGCTAACTGGTAGCTCTACTGAAAAAGCTATTTATAGCCCCAGCTATGCTTTATCTGCTATTATACTCTTTCTAAGTTTTCTTTATAAACATCTTCTTATCTACAAAATCCAGACTGAGGAAGCTGAACCTTGGCCTATCTATGTTTGTCATATGATGGCATTTTTTGTATTTACTCTGTTGCAATGAAGGAGATATTCTCCTGAAGAAAGTATTACAGCTCACTTTGTGTAATATGTGTTAACCTTGGGTATTGCAACAATTTTCATCAAAAGTGCATTCAGTGTTTCCAGTTTAAGAAACATTGAGGAATTTTAGTTATTTGTTTCATGGTTATTATTTAAATAATTTCATCATATTTGAATAGCAGTGCTGACAACAGCTGTTGACTGTTAAATTTTGTATTGAAGATTACCTACAACATTGACCTACAGTGCCTTGGCAGTAATTTTATAGCAATGATCAAGATTCAGTTTAGCACTTCTGTGAAGCCTTACTTAGACTTATACATATTTCATATGAAATGGCTTACATTAATGTGAACAAATGTTTTTGTGTGTTTTCATACCACTGCAAAGGATATATATTGTACATTTGCATCAGTAAGAAGAATATATATTGTACATTTTGCATCAATAAGAAATATATTTATTGTACATTTCACATCAATAAGGCAGAACTTATTGTACAACTTACTGAAATAAGAAAGGATTGTATTGTTCAGTTTGTATGAAAAAGAAGGGTTGATATTGTTTAAATATATTAAATATATCTTTCATATTTTTTTGTTTTTCAGGTATTTTACTTTTCTTTTTATGTGTTTCTTTTGTGTATATGTGTGTTTGTCATATATGTTGCACAATTCAAAACATTTCTAAAGACTTATGTATTCAATAACACTAATGACTAACTCATTACTTTTACATCTTTTGAATATTGACATTTATTGTGTTGCTCTCTCACTTATTTTATATTTCATCAGGCTGGTATTTTGTCTTTGTTTTAAAAAGAAATTCATTTGACATTAAATCATCAAAGTAACAGTTTTATCATTTATTAATCAATCAAAAGAGTTTTTTTAGAACAGAAATTCTCTATCTTTGAATATTGTTTAACTGCAGTAATCAACTTCAACTGTAACATTATTGGTTGAACTCAGATGGGTACTAACAGTAGGCATGTTTTTTCTGTCTCAGGCTGTGATGATGCAAGGTTGGATCTTGTGCTAATCCTGGATACCTCCACCAGTGTCACAGAACCCAACTTCAAACTCATGCAAGACTTCTTGAAGTTCTTCCTTAGTGATGCCAATATTGATGGCGACAATGTCAGAGTTGGTGTTGTCATCTACAGTACCAAGGTTGCCATCCAGTTCCAGATGAATGAATATATTGGTCAGAAGATAGAGGTTTACAAAGCCATTGACAGAATACCCTATATGTACGGAAGTACCAACACCTATGGTGGACTAAATGTAATGAGGACTCAGATGTTCACACCAGCAACAGGAGACCGACCAGATGTTGAGAATGTGGCCATTCTCATCACTGATGGTGTGTCCAATATCAATGCCAGGAGAACAATCCCTGAAGCTGCCAAAGCACGAGACCAGAACATCCACATCTATGTCATTGGTATTGGTCTGCAAGATACAAGAGAAATTGATGGCATTGCCTCACCACCTATTGAAGAAAACCGTTTCACTGTCCAGGAGTTCAGTGAGCTCACATCGATGAAGGAAAAAGTCTTTGGCTCTATTTGCCCTGGTAATTACATCTGAGTATACATGCAGTGACTGATAATTCACGTTTTATATTTGAGATATTGTGGAGAAATAGAGAAGAGTTTTTTTCCTATAAGTAGCATGTCTCTGGTTGGTACAGTTTCACACTAAGTCAACGTTTAGTCATGAAACATTTAGTCATTCTTTCATGAAATATCTTTAAGATGCCATGACAAAATCCTTGGTGATATAAAATCATGGTCTAAATCTACATCTAATTCACCATGGTAGCACACATTCCTTCACATGAAAACATCACTTATTTTCTGGTATTTTTGCTCATTTTTATATTTGCAATTCAAAGATGGCAATCATTCAGTTATTCCCAACCTGATTTGTGAAACAAAAAACATATTGTGACATATTGCAAGAGTGTCTCTTATGTTACATTGACACATGGAACATTATGCAGTATATTGTCTAAATAGTCTAAACTATTTTTGAATTGCTATTGAATAATGTGACTATGCATATACAGTGTTGTCTGTTGAAATGTGGAATTAATGTCTTTATGGGTATTTTTTTCAGTTCAACCCCCTACCCCACCACCTGAAACAGGCGGTAAGTTTCAGCATTTTGCTTACACTATAGCTTGTAGCAACTATGGCCATGATAGACATTTATGATCTTATTTTAATGTTAATTTTCCAATTGAAAAATCCACCTTAATTGCACGAATTTCACATCAACATTAATGTAAATATCATTCAAATATTTTTGATCAAATATACATTTATGAGTGAGATTCCTTACTTTTCAAGTCATTTCTTACAAAGAAATTATCATTACAATATCATTTAATTTTATCATTAATAATCATATCATTGAATTTGTATGTTTCTTTGTTTTCCTTTGTCTGCCATGTAACCTTGAGTCATATTGTTAAGCAATCATATTGTCAAGCAGGGAGCATATTATCCATTGCTTCTTCTATTTCATGAATCACTTTGAACCACATCCATGTTCATGAGTAAATCTTTATTCTTTGGTTACTGTAAGTTTGTATAAAGAACAAAAATGTTTTAGGTATATTTGAAAACTGCTTGACAATAGACTTGTTTGTTATGTTACAGTGTGTTTGCTTAGACTATCAAAATTGTTAAGGGTAAATGTGTTCATATTGGATATTAAATACCGGTATGTGTGTCATCAAACAGATGTTCTCACCCAATGTGAAGTGAATCGTTTGTGAACCATATCTGTTCACATTGTTGTCTAATTGTTTGTTTATGAAATTTGTTCATCCACTTTTGATGCCTTATATATTGTCATGTTCTAATAGCATTATCAAATATGTTATAACATACAGAACATGTAGAAGAAGTAAGAAATATCAAGATTTTTCATTTCCAATTTTAATCTGAACAGCACCTTTTATTGACTGTCTGTAACAATTACAAATTTGTAAAACATATTACACAACTGTGAAACCCACATGTGATAAGATCCTACAGATAGCAATGTTTCTGTTTGTCACTGTTACCTCTGTTTGTGTGTTAGAATGTTTGCTGTACAATGTGTTCTTGCAGTGTGGTCTTTGTACATCAGTGGATTATGTCGTACAAAACGTTCAACCTCCCCCCAGTCTTTGTTCATCCAAGGCCATAGGTGTCCTAGCGCTCTAATGTGTCAGAACACACTCTGCAGGCTTATATTTCTCAGGTGCCAAGATCTGTCAGTCACGAGTTTGCATGCCACATACATCTCAGTTATAATCCGGGTTAGAATATTGATCTTCAGTAACCGATGCTTGTCGTAAGAGGCGACTAATGGGATCGGGTGGTCAGGCTCGCTGACTTGGTTGACACATGTCATCGGTTTCCAATTGAGCAGATCGATGCTCATGCTGTTGATCACTGGATTGTCTGGTCCAGACTCTATTATTTACAGACTGCCATCAAATAGCTGGAATATTGCTGAGTGCGGCTTAAAACTAAACTCACTCAGTTATAATCCTGATCTGTTAGCAACATATACCACTGCCATAGTTTTATCAGTGTGGTAAAAGTCTACCACCTGCATAATGTTGGGCTTTTATTCATCGTCGAGCTGACAGACTGTTATATGAGTGGAGTACTGTTTGAAGCAGTGTTTTATTTGCATCCACTCTCCAGCATTTTATGTACTGGTACTTGAGATGTGGATGGTGGATGAGTACTTAAGAACTGCAGTATTATCCTTTTAGGGCCCAACTAGGATTTCTTGTTACAAATGATACCCAGAAACCATGGAGTGGGTGTCAGCTGGTTGATTGCATGTCATTGTACCTTAATAGATGGAGATGTTTATGTGTAGGATAAAGCACGACTCCGAGGTTATGGTTGGGAAAGTAAGACCCTCGACCATCGGGTGGGGAGAAGTAAGACCAAGAGCGCTCAAGGTCTTACTTCTTTCCACCCGATGGCCAATTGCTTACTTTCCCAACCATAACCTCGGAGTCTTGCTTTATTATACATATAAACCGTCAATGATGAATAATTAGATGATCGTGTAATGAAATAACATAAAAGTAACTGAAGTAAGCCTAACTATAAATAGATAATTCAACCATGGCTTCTTTGTCAGCCCGGTGGCCGTGAGGTAGAGCGTCCGCTTAATAACCTGAGAGATGCGGTTCCATTCCTGCTAGGGAAACCATTTGCACATTAACATATATTTCAATTGATTCACATATCATCTGAATTTGAATGTTGATGTTATAGAGTTAGGAAAAAGTAAAACCTGGGAAGAGGTCTTACTTACAAAAAGTAAAACTGTGAAATAGGTCTTACTTACAACCTCAAATGCGGTTATTCCGGGAAAAGAAGCCATGTCTAATATGTATAGGATAAAGCATGACCCAGCGGGCATTACGAAGAAGTAAGGATGTTTTCCCGAGGGAATGCCCGAGGGCCATGTCCAATCCAGACTTGATTATTTGCTGGAAATATTCTTAAAGCTGAAAGTATGTTGTGAGTGCAGTATTACACATGCCACAAACAAAGCCTTGAGTAGTTGATATCATTTACAGTAATAATCAGTCTTTCATCTTTCATGTTGGAAAAGGTGCTGATAAACTGCACACTCCTTCATACATGATGCATATTAGCATGAAAGGACATTGGACAATATAACAACTAATCATTTAGGACTTACATTTTATGGTATGATGTTCTGAAAAACATTTGATCATAGTAAGATGGTTGAACTAAGACAGTTGCAGAGGTCATCTTGTATATGGTAGTTTTATTCATACATTTCTTGCTCTAGCAAAAAAAAACCAATGATACTAATCCAAATAATGCTAATTAACAGTGTTACATGTTTTAGAGAAACATTTCATAAGGAAATATAGTGATTCCAGCATAAGTACACAACAATGTTTTAAATAGAATGTGATTACCATTGAATTACCACTAAATAATATCTGTTGTTAAGATGTATTGCCCTGAATGTCCATCTTAGAGCATCTGTATTCTTCAAATTCTCTCATGAAAGGATGTATTTGAAACAAAATGCTTTACTTTCTATATTCTCAGCCGGTAATTCATCTAAAGTTTTCATATAATATATTAAAATGACAGAATCTTCATGCATACACATTTTTAAGTTTTTAGATTACACAGATTAATTTACAAGAAACCAATGCCCTATAGTTTGAAAAGGGCTGGAAAAGAGACCTGTTCATGATTTTAGAACAATAAAGCAGGAGGTACAGAGAAAATATCATATCATCTGTACAAGATCAAGTAAAATTTGTTTGATATTGTTTTTACTACTTTATTCCATTATCTATAACCTACAGAACAAGAAGACATATTTGCCTTATGTACAGTGAGTGATTCAAATTAACCTTTCAACAATTGGAATTTATACCAATATATATTTTGAAGATGAAAAAATTATCACCTGTTTAGGTAGGTTAATGTAATGAATGTATAGGAAGAGCTCCCAAGATGTTTTATAATGTTTCTAAATATTTGTCACAGTTGCATAAAGTAGCGTTGGTGATTCAAGTTCAACACTTTTTTAGCAAAAGGAAAAAGAATCTTGTTAAGTCAGGTAATTGTTGAATTAAAACAAATGTCCTTTTCTGTCTTTCTTCTATTATGGCACTCTATACGGGTAATACACGTCTTAATGTTTCATGTTCAGGTTACGTGGTACTGTCTCCTGTGTCAGTGGTCCTGGTACTGTTTCCTGTGTCAGTGGTCCTGGTACTGTCTCCTGTGTCAGTGGTCCTGGTACTGTCTCCTGTGTCAGTGGTCCTGGTACTGTCTCCTGTGTCAGTGGTCCTGGTAATGTCTCCTGTGTCAGTGGTCCTGGTACTGTCTCCTGTGTCAGTGGTCCTGGTACTGTCTCCTGTGTCAGTGGTCCCATCTGTTCTGTGTTCTCCCTGTATTTCACCCCTGAAACTATGTTTCCCTATGACCTCCAGGCTGTGCAGATTCGAGGATGGATCTTGTGTTTGTGTTGGATGCCTCTACCAGTGTCACAGAACCCAATTTCAGACTCATGCTAGATTTCTTGAAAGACTTCTTGTTTGTGGCCAACATTGATGGGGGTAACGTCCGTGTTGGTGTACTCATCTACAGCACCAAAGTCTTCATCCAATTCCAAATGAATCAGTACCAGAGAAAGAGTGACATCTTTGTAGCGATAGACGAGATCCCATATAATTATGGCAGCACCAACACATTTGGTGGCCTGAATACAATGAGAACTCAGATGTTCACGCCTGATAATGGTGATCGTCCAGATGTACCAAATGTTGCTATTGTGATCACTGATGGTGTGTCCAACATTAATGCTAGGAGGACAATCCCAGAAGCAGAAACTGCACGAGACGAAGGCATCCACATCTATGTTATTGGTATTGGCCTGACAGACACCAGGGAAATTGATGGTATTGCTTCACCACCCTTGGAGAGGAACAGGTTCACTGTTAATGAATTCAGTGAGCTGAGAACGATGAGAGACCAAGTCTTCACTTCCATGTGTCCAGGTACATCACTTGCTGAGAACCAGAAGCATCATTCTAGGAGATCCCGCTCCTTTCATGCTGTTCAAGACAAACCACTCTACAATATATACTAGATGAAGGCACATGAAAGAAAACCATTTGAACTGCATGCAGTCTGAATGGATTTCTTGACATGCCATCTTCATGCAAGAGGGCATGGCAAGTTCAATGCCTGGTATTAACACAAGCATAGATAATTCCAACACAAGTTTTGTTACAGGTTGTGGTAACTAGATATCTATATAGATGTGAAAAAGTGTATCATATCAATCTGCATGCTTTGATCATGAAGACATGTTGTGTGATACATTTTATCATAATCTCCATGCTTATTTGAATTTCTCTTATCTATGTTGATCTTGTGAAAACTACTCAAACAATTCATTTACTCATGTCATCATTACTTACATTTCATGAAAACATGATGCTGTGAGGGAAAATGTATAGAAGCTGTTAGTATCTCTTGGAAACTTGGTGGACAAAGATTCATGTTGCTTGTTTCAGCATCTTCACTATCATAATTATATTTGTAATTCTCTTTCAGAATTTTGTGCATGTGTTATAACCATTATGAATAGTTTTTTTTCAGCAAATTTCAAAATATCTTTTTATGCTGTCTGTTGAAAAGGTAAGTGCCATATATCTTTTAAACAATACAATCAAGGTAATGAAAAATAGATACCGGTATTGTACATGTTTTATATTTTAGTGTATGTTTCTGTGTGTATCTGTTACTCACTTTTTTCAGGATTCTCCAAAATAAGGTAGGTGTGCCGATCATGTAATTCATGTCTTATTCTGTATTTACCAAGAATTTTTTTTAGGGGAATTTTGTTATTCTCAATTATATATATGAAACTGTTCCCTCTGTAGGTGGCACAGACCAAAGGAATGACCTGTGAATGACCAAGACATGTTCACAGGTGAGTTTGGTTTTTGCCTTTGTTAACACTACACACAAGTGCTGTTGAGATATACTATATCAGAGTGAGGATGTTTGTGAATGTCTGAACTTCCTCATGGGTTATGCAGCATCCACTGTTTTCTGCTCATTAGACTGAAATGTTGCTGATGCAGTTTTTACAAGTAGGTGATAAAAGGTTATTTAAATTTCATGAAATCCCATTGTAAAGTAGACACCTAATATCTAAATTTGCGACCAAGTGCTACACTCATGATAGAATGTGTGATCATTGTATGAAGTTGGGGAACATCATTCTTTCTTCACACAAACACTATATGTGTGGTGGAAACTGTCTTAAAGTTTTAGGACATCAAAAAGAAGGCTTTTATTTGCATTGCAGTCTCTTGTCCTTAAGCGTGTACACAGTACAATTCAAACTGAATTCAGTGTTTCATAGCTGGACCTAGGTGAAGTATTTAATTGCACTCTATTATATACACTTCACAGAAAGGTGACTTATGTTAGAGATCTGGTATGGTTCTAGGAATGTGCTGTTAGTATCAGACACGTAAAAAGCAACATCAGATGTCGTACTGAACCACAATCTATAATCAATCCAGTAAATACGGATAACAGGTGTAATGGTTCCAGAGTCAAGCAGAAATACTTGCTGCTTTCAATATTGGTTGCAGAAACAGCTTGTTGATGCATTTTCATATCTTGTTTGCAGATTTGATCAGCCAGTTATCAACAACAAGTGAGTGTTTAGATTATTGTGTCAATGTTTTGGGGATCGCACTGGTGGCACTTTGCTAAATGCACATGAAGATCTCTTCATACATTCACGTGATCACTGTTTATGAATATTTGGTCACTCAATAACAATGGCTGTCGCTATACAATCAATAAATATAGCATACACATGCACCAATTAGCAATATATTTACTTTGCTTGTAACAATGCTTTTCTTTCACATAGAGGAACATGCACATTTTCAACCTTATTCTTATTCACATTTGCAAATAGTGAGTGAGGGAGTATGGTTTTACGCCACATTTAGCAATATTCCAGCAATATCACAGTGGGTTGACACCAGAAATGGGCTTCACACGTTGTACCCATGTGGGGAATCGAACCTGGGACTTCAGCGTGACAAGTGAACGCTTTAACCATTAAGCTCCCCCACCACCCCTTTCAAATAGTAAGTGGAAAGGAATCTCTGTAGGCTGTATTGGAAACCCTATTGAAAAAACCCCAGACAATATCCTCTCAAGGCACAACTCTCTGCTTCCAATGCATACATCCCAAACAAAACCTGGCAGATAATGAATAAGTGACTATTTTTAATGGATAACAGCCACTTTAATCTGCGTGTGAATATTTCATTATCCCTTTTGTTACATGACGCGTATTAAGTTCATATAATACATGCTAGTATATTAACATAATTTTGGATGTACAGTCATGATCACCCTGACCACAATATTACTTGGCAACAGCCAAAAATCTTGTTGCTGCAAATTCAGTCACTCTGTGGGAGTAGTTTTGTACTGGACCTAACTGCAGGTACTACTATATTATATACATGTTGAAACATATGTAAATGTACATAGCCTCAGACTATCATTTGTAGTACGAAACAGTCCCTTTGTTCACATGAAAGTACAAATGTATGTTTAGAATATGCAGGTGTAAAATGTTTTCCCAGTGGTAATGTGTAACAACAAGGTAACTTTTGATTGAGGGTTTGGGCAAAATTTAAATGCATGTATATTTGACTTTAGGCCAGACCAATTACATTTCTTGTTTTATGGATTTTTGTCCTCAGAAAACGTAAAGGCTGGAGGGAAAGAAAATAAAATCACCAGTCAAAGTAATATTCCTTCTAAATACTCCAAGTATTTTACTTTTGGCAATTTATGAAGTGTATATGGGGCAAAAAACAATCTAAAAAAAAATTCTTGTAAGTTTACATTTTTGGCCCATAAAAACAATAGGATTTTATTTTTTGAGCGGGGAACATTAATTTTGTTTTTTTCTTATTCTTGAAAAAAATACAACAGGCGGATCCGTAAAACAAGAAATAAAGTTGTTCTGGCCTTAGAAAGCTATATTTGTCAACATTAGCTGAAAGACAGTATTTGTAAAGCAAGCTAAATATTTAAGATTAGAAAAAGGCATTATATTTGCTTGATGACAATAGGCCTCTATAACTGACCAGAGTATGGTATGTATGCACTGGAAGTTATCATCAACTAATTCTGTAAGCTCAGCAAATCAAGGGCAGATAAGTGTATTTCTAAAGACCCTTTAAAAGCAGTATCTTGCTATGACCTAATAGTAATACTGGTAATGTGTTTCACGATCCAAATTAGTACCGTTTCATTTAAAATATATATGATATAATACACTCTTCACTCTTCCATGGAAATTCAACACCCACAACTAATTTTGTTTGAAGCAGGTTTTTGTGGAATTCAGTGTCATTGCTAATCTATGTCAGTGCAGTATGAATCGACCTTACATCTTCTACATTAGCAAATCGAGGATGATATGAATGGTTTCTGTAATCATGTTGAAGGTCAAATGCTGTTGATGTCTTATATGCATAGTAATGCTTACAAAGAAGAACCTACTGTATATCTATTGTTATATGTTTCCTTTGTGGATAACTTTTGTCTAAATGTTGTAATGTGTTCATTGATATATCTATAGATATACCACACAGTGTCTTTTTGTAATTGTCTGACTGTAACGCAATGTATATGTATGGCACAGTAAGCACAAGCGAATCGTTTTTGTCATACAATGAAGCGTCTGTGAGTCTGTCCAGTGTTTGTTTGTCTGTCTGTTTCAGGTATCACCTCTACACTCCAGTCAGAAGTGATAATTTGGCACTCACGCCTGAGACAATGTGTTCTTGTTTTGTTTCAGATTGTTGCATGATTTGTGCTGCTATGTTTAGCATGCATGTGCCCATGCTTTTAGCTTCATGCTTTTTGGTTCAATTGTCAATACTTTGCCATTTCCATTCATATCAATATGTTTTAGCTTTTTTTGAAATATGTGTGTTTAGAATACTATCGGAACATTTCTTCAATTTTCATTACTTCTTTATTAATGCAAGGACTATAAATGATTATCCTCAGGATAAAGTTCACATGTAAGCGGATGTGATTATTGCTCTTTGCTTTTAATCAAATGACAGAAACAATGTTTGTGCTTTGCACACTTATGAGTGTACTTAATGTATTGTACTTGTAATATAGTGTGTGTGTTTATGTTTTTGTTTTGTCTGTCAGATAATGTTATATATAACTTATTTCAGGTTCTAATGTATTTATGTATTTGATTTGAAGTCAGATTATCAAACTCCTGGTTGTACATATCGTTTCAAGGCGTTTATATGTCCGGTAATAGATATTGATATTTCATACAAATGTCTGTTACGTTTTCAAAAGTTCAATAACCATTTGTGCAATATTACATTAAATTGTATTTGCACAATCTTAGAAAGATGTATTAGTGTATTGTGGATGTTGTTTGTGTAGTTCTTTATATCTCCTTCCTGCTCTTTTTGCAGGTCTTAAACCTCAACCTTCAGGTAAGATAGAGACTCTTTGATATGCCTCTTCATCATAATAATTTATACAGATATTTCATCATTTTTATTTTGTATTGCAGCTTTGATGAAATGATATAGATACTGTATGAAGAAATGACAGTGGTTGTAATGGCATACTACGCCAAGGAAACCTACATTATATAAGCTATTTTATGTATTTGTTAGAAACTACAGGCATTGTATTTTCTTCTTGAAAATATATCATTATATGTCCTCTGGCATGTAGGTGTTGTTTTGCGTGCCAGAAGTCATTCACTTCAGTATGTATATTTTTGTTATCTTGTGAACTTTGAAATTGTAAGCTTATACATCGCCAGTGTTTTTTTGAGTATGAAACATTCAATAGCTATTAAAAAAACAGGTGGCGGATGCTTGGGCCAGAGGATGGATCTTGTTTTAATCCTGGATACCTCCACCAGTGTCACAGAACCAAACTTCAGACTCATACAGGACTTCTTGAAGTTCTTCCTCTTCAAGGCTGATATTGATAATGACCAAGTGAGAGTTGGTATTGTCATCTATAGTACCAAAGTGGCCATCCAGTTCCAGATGAGTGACCATATTGGAGACAAGAAAGGTGTTTACAAAGCTATTGATGCAATACCCTATATGTACGGAAGTACCAACACCTATGGTGGACTAAACACAATGAGGACTCAGATGTACACGCCAGCAACAGGAGACCGACCTGATGTAAGAAATGTCTGTATTCTCATCACTGATGGTGTGTCCAACATCAATTCCCGAAGAGTACAACCTGAAGCTAAAAAAGTGAGAGCTCAGGGAATCCATGTCTATGTCATTGGTATTGGTCTGACAGACACCAAAGAAATTGATGGAATTGCCACACCCCCTCTGGAAGAGAACAGATTTACTGTCACTGATTTCAGTGACTTGAAGGTGATGAGGAACCGAGTGTTTGAGTCCTTGAACAAAGGATGTGACAGTAAGTTTTTAAACAGATCTCAACACAATGTGTTTAACAGATATAGTTTGTATTGCATCAAGAACCTTGGAAGAATTTGTATTGATGTGTCTTCCGTTATTATGTTGATACTATGTCATTGTACCCAGACTTGAAACTTAAATAGTTTTTCTGCCTTATCTAATTCGCTTCACAAAATGTTGTCTTTGTTAGTGTATGGATATATGTATATGTACCGGCACTAAGAAATGTATCATGCCACTGGTAGAAAATCCAGATTAGATGTTGCACATCCCACCTCAATTTTCAGATACTTTATATACCACTTTTTTCATGGGACTATAATTATGAATTCCTCTATGCAAAAATGTTTCTTTCAGCAACAACCACAACCACAACCACAACTACAACAACTACCACAACTACTCCTCCACCTCCAGGTAGGATGCAGGACACTTATCATTTTAGAAATGTTTCAGTGTCCTACTGATTACAGTGCAAACTTTAAAAAAATGTCAGAGGTTCCTACTTGACAATATCGGTGCCAGGGCCTGGCTTTATGAACTAATGCAAAATAAGGTTGTTTTTTTTAAACTATATCCATCCCTAGTGTTATATTTCCAATACCTGACAATCATTTTCATAGGTTACTTGGACACATTATCAGCAATGAATAAACAAACTTTGTTTTTTAGCATAGGGTAATCAATTCTAATTAGGTATGATAGTAATTGTCATTTAAACAAAAGATGGTGTTATGTATGATGCATATTGTATGACCATAAGCTTTACAGATATACATTGTCAGGCACTGGAAGTGTGTAGTACATATACTTCATAGTCACCCAAGAGGGCAGCCCTGAAGGAAATTACGTAAGCCTTGCAGGAGTTAGTTATTACAGTGTCACACAACTTATGCTGATGAAAAGATATGTAACTGTTTCAACAGTTGGGTATAGAAAATTGCCAGATTTCAAGCTCTGATGTCCCTATACCTTGAGTTGTACTTTCATTCAATAGATTTCATACTCTACCCAGTAGGTATGCTGACACCTGAATATTGTAGTAACCACAACCTCTAATTCTACATGTGAAAGTGACTACCAACTTTCATCGAGGAAGCAGTATTTGTCTATAAACATAGGAACAATAGTTATCATTGTTAAAGGCACAATGTCACACATTTTCGACAATATTTTGGCCAATACTATACATATTGGGGCATATGCACTCACTTTTGTTTCCTATTGATGCAATAAAAGACTTATTGTCAATTACGACTTGACTGAAATCGATAACTGAAACCTCGAGGCGAATAGCTTCCAAACAGAGAACACTTGCCATACATGGAATATAAACAATTGCTCCGCACATCGAAAACTGTCGCATGCGGTGTTGTCGGTGTTTGCCGAACTGGGTTTCAATCACAAGTTGTGCGGAGGATATCCGTAAAGAGAGCTCCAAGGGACATAACTCTATGCGGTTCGCTTGAAATAATGTTCGGCCAGTAGAGGGCGCGAGAGTCTATTTAATGCAACATTGCATTAATTCATTCAAACTTTTTAACTTAATATTGTAGTGTAAATACGTACTTTTGTTTGGAATAAATTATATTGTAGCTTCCCTGAGGGCTGATAGTTAGTATTATTGAGAGAAATGCATTATTTATTTTTAGAGAAGTGTTATGTGATATTGTGCCTTTAATAATTCTAAGAATACTACCTCCATAACATCATTGCCTTGTATCCTGTATTTTGATTGCCATCACACGACATTTTTAGAACTTTTCTTCACTGTCAACCACACAAGACTAGTTCTCAAAGCAATATTGTCACCATTTAGCATCCAGCTCCTCGATTTGCAATTGTGGGAAAACTTCACTTCTTTCCAAATATGCTCTCATCCAGAGACAGAAAACTGAGAGGACTGATGGAGCAATTCTGATCAAATAGAGGTAGCATTCTCAGAATTAGTAACAATGATAACTATTGTTCATGTAGTTCTCATAAATCCTCTACCTATGTCACATGATTGCCAGTATTACCAGCGGGAAATAAGTGGGTTCTGGCTCTGGAGTAGTTGATTGTGGTGTAACATTGCTTTGAAATAATCCATTACATTTGCTAGTATTCTTAAATGGTAAAAACCATAAGAAGATGAGGGTCTCTGTAATCATGAGCTTCTCACATGAATAACAGACTGGAAGAAAAATCTAGGACATCATCTTGGAAATGTATTGTCTTGACTACTAGTTTTGTTTAGTTGAAAATTCTGCAGTTTAGTTTTGTTGCACTGCAGCCAAAATACAGGATTTATGGCAATGATGTAATAGCTGTACAGGATTTGTAAGAATTATTGGCATTGGCAGTGCCGCTGTTACAAAATCAGCATTGATGATGAGAGGTGTTACAGTCTCTGATAGAGCAATAACAATTGGCTATCATTCAAATTCGTTGCAGAATCCGTGTTTGGGTTTAAAAAATGGGAAATATTTACTTATGTTGAATATAAACTGCACATCAAACCTTTCAGGTAGAAAAGCGCCAAATTCTAAAACACCAACTGACATCAATCATACCTGCTCTATAGTGTTTATTAAAGTATGATACACATTTAATTAGGGCCTTTTGTCAATACTGGTAGTTATTTTTGTGATTCAACATTATCACTAGGAATAACATTGCTATATTCTGTAACACCTTTGACTAAAATCATGAACATCCATATTTCATTTCATAGATTGCCCTGGTCAGAGAATGGATCTCGTTTTCATCCTGGATACCTCCACCAGTGTCACAGAACCCAACTTCAGACTCATACAAGATTTCTTGAAGTTTTTCCTCTTTAAGGCTGATATTGATGGTGACCAAGTAAGAGTTGGTATTGTCATCTACAGTACCAAAGTGGCCATCCAGTTCCAGATGAGTGAATATATAGCTGACAAGAGAGGTGTTTACAAAGCCATTGATGCAATACCCTATATGTACGGCAGTACCAACACCTATGGTGGACTAAATGTAATGAGGACTCAGATGTTTACACCAGCAACTGGAGACCGACCTGATGTGCACAATGTCTGTATTCTCATCACTGATGGTGTGTCCAACATAAACTCCAGAAGGGTACAACCTGAAGCTAAAAAAGTGAGAGCTCAGGGAATCCATGTCTATGTCATTGGTATTGGTCTGACAGACACGAAAGAAATTGATGGAATTGCCACACCTCCTCTTGAAGACAACAGATTTACTGTCACCGATTTCAGTGACTTGAAGGTGATGAGGAACCAAGTGTTTGAATCCCTCAATAAAGGTTGTGGAGGTAAGTACATTAAAGATTTGAATTATGTTCACATCTTCTGTTGCAATTAGAATTTTTGAAGAATAAAAATAATATACTCATGATGTATTTGAAGAACAGGAATGGAGTGTTTGGATCCCTTAAATAAGACTCTAAAAGTAGGTGCTTAATAGTTTTGTGCTTGCAAGTCAACAGATCTGTTTGCCTGAATAAGCATGGATGTGAATTTCATTTCAATTAAGTAAGAATAAAAATTGAATTACATTTTGGCATTGAAAGGAATGGAACAACAAGTACATTAGGGATTCTTGATGTAGAAAAAGTAACTTCTGAAGTGTATTTTGGATATATTTATTGTTTGACCATAAATTTTATCATCAGATTTAAGATTTTCACATCGAAAACTGTCTCTCTTTCATTCTGTCTGTATCAAACATAGTGAGTTCATTTATGACTTGGAGCTGAAAAGTATGGATGAAAGTATTGCATAATCAACATCTTTTATCTTGTTTTAGATATTTTGTCATCAGCTCACTAACTCTATTGACAAAATGAATATCTAAAAATAGATATGACTCTTATATATTCACATTTATGATTTAATGTACAAATGAAAGAGAATTTTCAGTATTGAAAATCAATATGCTTTTGTATTTCTGACTCAGAATAACTTTATGCTTCACTGCATTTTTTTGGTTACTATCTCCTGGATGTCTTGTAGGAATTAGCACAGACCAGTTAAGATATTTGGCACTGAATAAAACTGTCAAAATAATGTTATGGTGTATATTTGATTAAAATTGAAACATTTATGCAGGAATTATGCAACGGTATGTGTCACCTAACCCTATACACTCTTAAATATTTGTAAACTGGTTTTGACATTACCATTTTAATAGGCATGGAAAATGTCTCTTTTGGTCCACTTTTGAAAAATCTTTAAATGTTTTATATATTATATTAGTCATGTGTTTCAACAACTAACATTTTATCTACAATAAACATCAGCATGATAAAGCGGAAGTCTGCGTTATTACTAAGTGACTATCATCTACAACAACAATAATTTGGGTCCAGAGGTTTATATCATGAAGTGCACTATAAATATGCTCAACAGAATCTTCTTCAAAATGTTTTTGATTACTAACAACTGGTATTAATTTGAATATGCCATATAGAGGTTGATTTATTCAAATGGCAATTACCCTTTCAGCTCCTTTGACAACTCTACCACCTCCGACACCACCACCCACAGGTAGAGCATACTTACTTGTATACTTGGTAACAGAATATGTCTTCTTTACACATTCCCCAGTTTAGATTTACAATTAAAACAAAATCAGAGTTAGAAAATGTGATATTGAAACTTTTGTTATTTGTGTTGTTGTTGTTGTTGTTTGTGTTCTAAACTGAAGAGAAGAGGAAAATCTGTATGTATACTTATGACCCTGAGGCATATATTAGTGTACAGCAGAATGTGGTTATAATGCACATGGATGTAACCTAAAAATGTTTCTGCAAACTATTTCAAAAGCTTCAATTATATTTTATGCACAAATTGTTTGAGTGGCAGGTGCTAGGAGGACGTGCTTACCCATTTTGCAAAGATCCATTCTTCCGATATCCATTCACATAAGTTTCATCACTTTTTAGCAGATAATGGAAAAGGGATTTTCCATGGTTTTTTAAATTGAAATCATACTGCCATGAAATGTCATGTAATTAATTAAAAGAATGTGGTGCAAATACAAATAACAATATACTGGACACAGAATATTTGCAGGTTTGAATTCTAGTGCAAGGGGGAACAAATAAAACAGCCCAAACAGCATTTCATATCAGGACATATGGACACTTATACACAATGTTAGGAAGGAAAATTTACAGAGGGAGAGAGAAGAAACAAAAGAGAGAGAGAGACACACTCTCTCTCTCTCTCTCTCTCTCTCTCTCTCTCTCTCTCTCTCTCTCTCTCTCTCTCTCTCTCTCTCTCTCTCTCTTTCCACATACACACACACACACACACACATACCACAGTCACACCAAACAACACAACACACATTTTTACAGAACCATACTTTGCAATCAAAAGTGTATCATGTCCAAAAAACACCATCTGTATGTGAGGAAATGTCATCTAAGACTCTAGAATTAATAATATATTTACAGATGATTTTTATTTGAATTTACAGAAAGTTCATGTTTAGGCCAGAGGATGGATCTTGTTTTAATCCTGGATACCTCTACCAGTGTCACAGAACCCAACTTCAGACTCATACAGGACTTCTTGAAGTTTTTCCTCTTCAAGGCTGATATTGATAATGACCAAGTGAGAGTTGGTATTGTCATCTACAGTACCAAAGTGGCCATCCAGTTCCAGATGAGTGACCATATTGGAGATAAGAAAGGGGTTTACAAAGCTATTGATGCAATACCCTATATGTATGGAAGTACCAACACCTATGGTGGACTAAACACAATGAGGACTAAGATGTACACGCCAGCAACAGGAGACCGACCTGATGTAAGAAATGTCTGTATTCTCATCACTGATGGTGTGTCCAACATCAATTCCCGAAGAGTACAACCTGAAGCTAAAAAAGTGAGAGCTCAGGGAATCCATGTCTATGTCATTGGTATTGGTCTGACAGACACCAAAGAAATTGATGGAATTGCCACACCCCCTCTTGAAGACAACAGATTTACTGTCACCGATTTCAGTGACTTGAAGGTGATGAGGAACCGAGTGTTTGAGTCCTTGAACAAAGGATGTGACAGTAAGTTTTTAAACAGATCTCAACACAATGTGTTTAACAGATTTAGTTTGTATTGTGTCAAGAACCTTTGAAGAATTTGTATTGATGTGTCTCCATATAGTATTGATGTCGTGTCTTTGTGTTTTTGAACAAAGGATGTGGCAGTCGGTTTATGAACAACTCCTGAAACAAATCTGTTATGTTATAGGAGCATTAGATAAAACTGGTTTAGATCTGAATAATTTTAGCTAACACAAGCATAAGGGAGTCATGCATGTATGTTGGCATATCTTGGCAACTTACTGCATTTTCACAGATTTGCACAGTGCTTGAAGTCAGGATGGACCTCCATATCACTTATATAAAGTGCAAATTTGCAATCAGTCAAGGCATTAATTGAGATATAGTAAATAACTAAATCAACTAGTAAATAAAGTGTAATTATTTTTCATGAGTGTATTTTTTTTTTACTTTATGTTCCAGCAACTACAACAACTACTACTACAACAACTACTACTACAACAACCACAACTACAACAACTACTACAACCACAACTACTCCTCCACCACCAGGTAAGGCATACACCGTTATGGTCTGTGAAATTTGTCAATGTCCTACTACTTCCAAACTGGAAAACTGCTGTTTGTTTCCTAAAAAAATATGGGCATTACCAAATTTGAGTTGATTGCAGAATTAAACAGAAGTATAGAGTGATGGCTATGGATGGATATCAAAATGGTTTCTAGTAGGCGTAACATGACAATCAACTGGATATGTTGCCAGTGTGCTGTACAGGTGGAAACAACCAAGAAGGACAACAGGGGTTGTGAAACATGGACATTTGAGATGACTTGAAGAGGAGCACTTTTTATGAATAGACAACTTCTTTATTACAATAGATGTGACATTTAGGTGTAGATCCTAATACTGTTATCAAGCAAATGATATAGTGTTAGGATATACACCTAAACATCGCATCTATTGCAGTAAAGGTGTAGATCCTAATACTGTTATCAAGCAAATGATATAGTGTTAGGATCTACACCAAAACATCGCATCTATTGCAGTAAAGGTGTAGATCCTAATACTGTTATCAAGCAAATGATATAGTGTTAGGATCTACACCAAAACATCGCATCTATTGCAGTAAAGGTGTAGATCCTAATACTGTTATCAAGCAAATGATATAGTGTTAGGATCTACACCATCTATCGCATCTATTGCAGTAAAGGTGTAGATCCTAATACTGTTATCGCAAATGATATAGTGTTAGGATATACATTAAAACATCGCATCTATTGCAGTAAAGGTGTAGATCCTAATACTGTTATCAAGCAAATGATATAGTGTTAGGATCTACACCAAAACATCGCATCTATTGCAGTAAAGGTGTAGATCCTAATACTGTTATCAAGCAAATGATATAGTGTTAGGATCTACACCAAAACATCGCATCTATTGCAGTAAAGGTGTAGATCCTTATACTGTTATCAAGCAAATGATATAGTGTTAGGATCTACACCAAAACATCGCATCTATTGCAGTAAAGGTGTAGATCCTAATACTGTTATCAAGCAAATGATATAGTGTTAGGATATACACCAAAACATCGCATCTATTGCAGTAAAGAAGTTGTCTATCCTTAAAAGATATTCCCCTTCATTCAAATATACCTCTTCTTCAGCTTTTCATCCTTCTTGCATTGTGTGGCACAGTTTGGCTACTTGAGCAGGTCACCTGTGACATTGGCATACACTTTTCCCAGTCATGTCCTGACAGGGGTGCTTATCTTGAAAGACAAATGTATACCACTGTAGCATGCATAACTATTGGCACTAGTATGTTGTCTCATTGGCACTGTTTTGTGTTTCTTTCATGGACAATATGCATGACCAGATATGTCCATGTATATTTAGAAAGTCCAGAGTAGATCTAGACTCATCTGAAAAATTCATACAAGATCATCTGTGATTCTCTCGGTATTTACACTCTGAACCCCTTTGAATGTGTCAGTTTGTTAACACTTGGTAAAAGCTTGCAGATTATTTCAAATTGTCTTGTAACTTTTACTCTGGTGTCCTGGTGCAAGTGAACAGCAATCCCTTTGGGACTCCCTTTGAGGGGCTGATCTTAACATTTCGTGTATACAGAAGCCTGTTATAAAGTCTGCAAATCCCAGACTAGGACATAATCAACATATTGGTTATCGCTCCTTATGTCATACCAGTTTAAAGCATTCTGACAGCCCATAGGCAGCAATCATGTTGTAGACACGTCCACAGAGTTATCACAAATAATGCATTAAAGCAAGAGTAACCAGTTAAGATGCTTCTGATGTTATGGAAAATCATTGATAATATTGACTCATAGCATTTTAATGACCCTTCACTGAAGTGTCAAAATCAATACTGATCCCCTTGCCATGTGCATGATGAAATTGTCATTTTAAGATGTACAACTTACATTTTGGCTCTGAAACAGTCCTTTCCCTGTCAGACATTTTACAAGCTGATCTTTCTTCTGACAACCGGTCATGATGTCTGTGATCCTTTTTGGGGAGAGTATATACATACTACATCAAGCTGTGGATACCAAATAACTGTAAATCTATTTGATATTTATTGATTGAACTATTATATTCTGTTAATGAGTTGTTACTTTGATGTATTTTATCAAACTGATAACAAAGGCAGCAGGAATTGGCACACTTGTTCCCAATCCCTTTATCTGTCTGGACTAAACATGATCAGAAGAAATTGTTTCAACATTATCTCTGTTCGTGAGAATATGCTATATTCTGAAACACCTTTGACTAAAATCATGAACATCCATATTTCATTTCATAGATTGCCCTGGTCAGAGAATGGATCTCGTTTTCATCCTGGATACCTCCACCAGTGTCACAGAACCCAACTTCAGACTCATACAAGACTTCTTGAAGTTTTTCCTCTTTAAGGCTGATATTGATGGTGACCAAGTAAGAGTTGGTATTGTCATCTACAGTACCAAAGTGGCCATCCAGTTCCAGATGAGTGAATATATAGCTGACAAGAGAGGTGTTTACAAAGCCATTGATGCAATACCCTATATGTACGGCAGTACCAACACCTATGGTGGACTAAACATAATGAGGACTCAGATGTTTACACCAGCAACTGGAGACCGACCTGATGTGCACAATGTCTGTATTCTCATCACTGATGGTGTGTCCAACATAAACTCCAGAAGGGTACAACCTGAAGCTAAAAAAGTGAGAGCTCAGGGAATCCATGTCTATGTCATTGGTATTGGTCTGACAGACACGAAAGAAATTGATGGAATTGCCACACCTCCTCTTGAAGACAACAGATTTACTGTCACCGATTTCAGTGACTTGAAGGTGATGAGGAACCAAGTGTTTGAATCCCTCAATAAAGGTTGTGGAGGTAAGTACATTAAAGATTTGTAATTTCTTCACATCTTCTGTTGCGATTAGAATTTATTGAGAAACAAATTAGATATCAATGACATATTTGAATCCTTTAAGTGTAAATTGTAGAAAAAAATAAAGATAACCATAGAAATTTGAGCTTTTTCAAAACTGGGAAAATTGCCAAAAATTGCAAATTGACTGTCTTTGAGATGAATGGATTACCAAATGTTCCCAAAACTTCCACATCCCAATACTACCACACATTGTTAAAGCAACAACTCCTAATCACCCCTTTTTAGGTAATAGGATAGCCCAGGAAGTGCACTGGACTGAAACAGCAGATAATGATACTTCAGCTGACTTAGCAGAGTAGAGATTTTAGTAGAGACGGGAGCAGTTATTTAATAAATCTGAAATATATATATTATAAATTTCTGCATATTTCATGTAGGCAAATATTGTAAAAAAAATTTCTTGTTTTACCTTGAAATGTTGTTGATTACGTTCATAGTAATCTGAATATACAAAACATAAATTATGCCAGCTTAACGTACATTTAATGTACATGTATATTAAAATATGTAGTTTTACAATATAACATGGCTGATGGGTTTTGAAATTTTATATATATTGCTTAAAAGGGGCCAACAAGCCAAACAAATCCTTTCAATTCTGATTTGCAAATATAAAGTAATATGTAGCAAAAAATTCAAAATGAGAATCTGAATTGTATTATGCTTACTTAAAGCTCTACTACCAAACATACTTGTACTACAAATTCCAGACATAAACACATAAATCAATTTCAATTAAATAAGGAAATTGATAATGTTATGGTATGGACATTGGCATTAATTGTTATGGTAGTGACACAATAACGGTAGTGACATTTTAAATAAATGCCAGCTTTATATGTTTACTTTAAAATATAATTTAATGAAATTTGTCAGTCAGATATTTCAGAATGTTTGAAGAATATGTAATAGGCAAAACATTTACTTATGGATGTGCCTGTCATGTAAAAAAGAGGTAAAGACTGCATGTTACGGCAGTGACATTGTGAAGGTATTCCCAGAGTTGCCCCAACCACATGACAGAGTGACAGGGTTATGACTGTCAAATGTGCGGGTGAAATCTTTGACTGTATAGGACATAAATTCTACATAAATGTTGTACATAAACTGTTATATCTAACTAGAAAAGATATGTATTTTTGTTAATATATTACTAAGTGATTGTTTGTATTCATTACTGATTAATGGATTAAACCATTACAGACTGAGGTAATCAGTATGCTAAAGTGTGTGTAGTCAACCAGAAATGTTGTTGTTATAAGCTGTGGAAGTTTTGGGATGTGGAAGTTTTGGGAGGATACCATTCTAATTAATATTAAAAAAACCCATTAAATTGTCACAATTGTTCATTGTGGTTTGTGTTTGCCGCGATTAGGACCCCATCGCGGGGCATCGACTTATGCACGAAACATACCATTTTGACACCGATTTTAAGGGTCAAGTTTGGGGGTCGTCTTATCCATGGGGTCGTCTTATAGACGGTCATATACGTTAAAAAAAAAGAGAATGATCATAAGGAATTTACCTTTGGACTGTCATGAGTAGCAACCATTTTCAAGACAACAAATTACAGATTGCATGTTCTTAGATTTTGTTGATGGATTCATTACACCTGACAGTTGAAGGTTCCTGACTATGAAATGTGCATTGTAAATATCAAGTATGAAAGAAACTTCACATGCAGGGTGATCAGCGTACTATTTCTCATGTCACTTAATTTCTTCAGGGCCTGTGACAACACTACCACCTCCTACACCAGGTAAGGCATCATGACTTACTTGCATGCTTGGGTTAACTAAAAACTCAAAGGATTTGCTTGAAATTCTGAATCGTAATTTTAATTTGTTTATTGTTTGTCAATGCATAGTATGATGTAGTTATTTCCACTTCCAAAGTTCAGGGCAATTTGTCCAAGTGTGATATGAAGTTACTGAGAAAACATTATATAATGTGCAAAGAACACCTAATTCCTTTTCAAAAGAGGTCAAATGTAATGTGTTAAATTTTGGATTTGGTGCCACAATCTGAATGTTTGGGTCCAAATCCTCCAATCCTCAAACAAAATAATCTGAAAATATGTACTTGACTATGTAAATGTAGTCTCCAAAATGTATCGACTTTCTCCACTTTATAGAATGTCAAAAATATTTCATGGATTCACAGACTGACTGACTGACTGAGGTTGGTTTTACGCCGCTTTTAGCAATATTCCAGCAATATCACGGCGGGGAACACCAGAAATGGGCTTAACACATTGTGCCCATGTGGGGAATCGAACCCGGGTCTTCGGCGTGACGAGCCAACGCTTTAACCACTAGGCTACCCCACCGCCCCGATTCACAGACAGTACATTAATCATTACCTGCAAAAGTCAAATGAGCACAACTCCCTGTATGAACTATGTGTGAAGTGTTGCCTGAGCAAATAGCTACAGTATAAGTTGTATGGCAGTGTAATGATGCTCTCACTTAAACCATGTCTTGATTTGATGGTTGAAAAAAGTCAGTACTCAGCAATTTGTTCATTTTTATTCATGGTTGATGCTGAAAAAGTTATTGTTTTACAAAAGCTGTTATGTATTAATGATGATTGCACAACCATTTGCAACCATTTGTGTTACGAAAATGTTTTAAATCCAAAGTGCTCTCTGCTGACAAATATTAAGCTTATGCCATATTTCTCACTTTTAGCTGCCCTTTATTTTAATTTTCTTTCAACTGATTCAGACTAAAACCTACTTAATTGCAAATAACTAAAACTGAAAAAAACATTTCAATAATCTTACAAAATCTGGAAACCCCACCTGACAGGGGATATAGCTATAATTTAGAGTAACCTCCCTTTGAAAAGATGAATAAAATGGGGGAAAAGTAAATTGAAACAGTTTGTTAATTTATTCATTCTTCCTGATACTTTTGTGGAGATGTTTTGTCATATTATTATGTTATAATTGACTGCTTTACTGTGTACTGTACATTTTTGTAGGAATGTTGTCTGTATCAAATATATGAAGTAGTACAGGGACGTTGAAATTTGTATTCATTGCAATTCCACCATTTTCCAATTCTTTTCAGGATACTCGGACACAGGATATGATGTTATTTTCATGCTGGATGGTTCAGTTGATGATAGATATTTTGGATGGATGAGAAATTATGCAGCCTACTTTGCATCTCAAATGAGCATTGACAATGGAATTTGGCGTGTGGGTGGAATGACATTTTCAAATGGTGGACCACGTCTCGGTTTTAACTTGAATAACTATGGATGGAACAGTGATGTGGTTAATGCACTTGGTAACTCCATGAACAACAGGCCTGGCGGCAGACCAGACCTGGCTCAAGCTTTTTGACTATGTACGCTCAAACATGTTCACTGCACGCAATGGTGACAGACCCAATGCTCGCAACTATATCGTAATGATGACAGCCAATGAGGAAAGTCTGAACCAAGGACAGACTTTGGGTGCTGCCAATAGACTGAAGAATGACTTGGTGGGTATATACACAGTTGGTATTCACCTTGGCAACACATATGAGTTGGATGGTGTTACCACCCAACCCATTAATGAACATCAGTGGCTTATCAACGATGAGAGTGACTTCAACGGACTAGCTGGAATCATGGGATCTTACATGGAGAGAGGTACAAACTATTGATACTTTACAAATAAATGTAACTAAAGTCCCTTTAGACTACTCCAGTTTCAATTCATAATGTACTGGTAAGATAGATATGATACTTAGCAATTGCATACATCTATATAATCTCTAATTCAAACTGTTTCACTATGAAATTTGAATTTGGTACATTTTACTTACTGAAGGTAAAGTGATGTTGTTACGTCATGGCCTGTTTCTCCATCCAGTGTATTTATCATCTCATCAAAATCATAATAATTTATTAACAGAATTTTGTACATGTGTAGGGTAGTGGGGCTCAATATATATGTTCGATCGTTTTTGCAATAGTTCAAATTTGAAGTATATTTGACTTATATAGTTTGACAATTCTATCATCATGTATTTCCTTACTCTACAAACATCAGCTAAACCTTTATACAAAAATTGCACTGTAATGGCAGTACTGCTTGTTTAATATGCCTGCATTGGCTACTCAGAACCCACTGAACCAGTGACAATGAAAGTTCGCACACATTTTCCTGCCAATGAAGACACCAGAATATGTTCAAAATTTTGAATATATTTTTCACCAGTGAAGATCCGGGTTAGAATTGATCTTCAGTAACCCTTGCTTGCTTGTCGTAAGAGGCGACTAACGGGATCGGGTGGTCAGGCTCGCTGTCTGGGTTGACACATGTCATCGTATCCCAATTGCGTAGATCAATGTTCATGCTGTTGATCCCTGGATTGTCTGGTCCAGATCCGATTATTTACAGACCGCCGCCATATAGCTGGAATATTGCTGAGTGCGGCATAAAACTAAACTCACTCACTCACTCACTTACTGAATATAATTTTCATGATGGCCACCAGTGCAGGCATATTAAACAAGGGTTTTCTGGTCATTACTGAGCAATTTATGTATAAAAGCTTTCCCTTAAATTCTCTAAATATACATATTTGGCTCTGTAAAATTAAGTGACCTAAATTGGTTATGCCTGAGATGTCATCATGGTAGTAATTGTCAACAAAAAGTCATCAATGTTTCGGTTTATGCAACACTTTAGATTCTGCTTTCAAAATTAATCTAAAAAGCCCTGCGCAAGCGTCCTTGTACTTTAACTATAATAGTTCAGGGCAAAAGTGTGCTTTATTACACTATACATGGTGGTAGAGCGAACTGTATTTCTTAATTAAATAAATCATGACGTTGACCGTTTCACAGGTAATGATTTGTTACGGCAGAGTAAATTGATGTTGGTAGTGATAATTTTGGTTTATTGCCAGAAAATGTAATGGTCAGAATTGTTGATGAGGTGTTACTAAAGGGCAACCAAAGCTTAAGACAAGCTAAATAGTTTTTGGATTTGTTTGTATGTTAATGCTTGGAAGTATTAGTGCCTAAGTGTAATAATATACTTATGTTTCAGCTCCACCTATCACCAGGGCTCCACCAACACGCCCTCCAAAACCAGGTTCAATTTATTCACTTTTTGTGTTGTTGGGAATCAATTGTCTGGAACAACATATGAATGCTAAACCATTTTAATAAGAAACAAATTTTATTCATATCAAAAAACATGAAAGTCCCTTATGTGAAATTATCAAACATCAAAATATCTGAGATTACTTAAATTTGTATTGGTCAAATATGCATCATTTTTGCATCAGTCAAGTACTTGTGATATCTTTAAAGGCACAATATCACATCACACTTCTCTAAAATTATATAATGCATTTCTCTCAATAATACTATCAGAACTCAGGGAAGCTACCATATAATTTATTCCTAAAAAATTACAAATTCAGATTACAATATTAAATTAAAAAGTTCAAATGAATTAATGCAACATTGCATTAAATCAACTCTCACGCCCTGAACATTAATTCAAGCAAACCCCATAGAGTTATGTCCCTTGAAGCGCTCTTTACGATTATCATATAACTCCTTTGGAGACAGAAGTCAGTCCTAGACAAAAACATATATGATTGTGATTGAAACCAGTTCGGCAAACACCGACAACACGTGTGCAACAGTTTTCAATGTACGGAGCAATTGTTTACATCCCATATATGGCAAGTGTTCTCTGTTTCGAAGCTCTTTGCCTCGAAGTTTCAATTATCAATTTCAGGCAGGTCGTAAGGGATAATAAGACTTTTAAAGTGAATGCATATGCCCAATATATATAATATAAGCCAAAATATTGCTGAAAATGTGTGAAATTGTGCCTTTAATGTTTCCAGACAAATGAGACTCTTTATATTTTAATTCAGTATCTATTTGTTGTTTTTCCATACGTGTTCATGTGGGATGTCTTGGTTCAACATTTTATAGCATATATTTGCTGACTGGACTATCACTGGTAAACAGCAATTGCTTGGGTTTATTCTTAATTCAAACAATTTGCTAGAGGAAATATTTCATATGTTGCTGTTGTATACTTGGGGTAGGGATTTTAATTTGTTTTTTGAATCTTCAAGTCTTTTCTGGAACACAATCTACAAGGGTCTTCATCAGCAATATTAGACGCAATATAATGTGACTAAAATGGCAATAATCCTTAGATAAAGCATAATGTGACTTAAATGAGAATATGAAGTTAGTCTTTATAAAAAAACATTTTTTTCGAATCACTGATATTTATTCATATTATGTTTTGTGCACCCTTTGGGACTTAATTTTGAAGCTATGATAATCATGCAGTTAAATGTGATGTTTTTGTTTTATGTGTATTTTTTCAGTGTATTTGTGCTGCATTGTTGTGCATGCCTGCACTCATGCTTAAAGCTTTATGCTTTTTATTCACTTTAGAGGATATTCAAATGCCAGATAGTTATGTAGATCTATTTGCACAATATGAATGTGTACCATGAATGGTATTTGGGCATTTTATCATTGTTCTCGTTTATTGTTTCAGGATTATGTTCCTTGGTGAATTTCTTGAACTATTTGTTACAATCTATTCACTCCAATTTGCCATAAATACTGAACTAATTTGATGTTTATGTCTTTTGGTGATTGTAATAAACTACTCTACCTGTAATACAAAATGTATTTTGAATGTACCTGTTCTACAATCTCTTTCATGTTTTTGTCAGTTATGTCATACCAGCCATGTTCAATTCCTACATCAGTAATTAGACAATAACATTTTATTTTTATTTGAATAAACAGACGGTTCATGTCTGGGCCAGAGGATGGATCTTGTTTTCATCCTGGATACCTCCACCAGTGTCACAGAACCAAACTTCAACCTTATACAGGACTTCTTGAAGTTTTTCCTCTTCAAGGCTGATATTGATAATGACCAAGTGAGAGTTGGTATTGTCATCTACAGTACCAAAGTGGCCATCCAGTTCCAGATGAGTGAATATATTGGAGATAAGAAAGGGGTTTACAAAGCTATTGATGCAATACCCTATATGTACGGAAGTACCAACACCTATGGTGGACTAAATGTAATGAGGACTCAGATGTACACACCAGCAACAGGAGACCGACCAGATGTAAACAATGTCTGTATTCTCATCACTGATGGTGTGTCCAACATAAATTCCAGAAGGGTACAGCCTGAAGCTAAAAAAGTGAGAGCTCAGGGAATCCATGTCTACGTCATAGGTATTGGTCTGACAGACACAAAAGAAATTGATGGAATTGCCACACCTCCTCTAGAAGAAAACAGATTTACTGTCACTGATTTCAGTGACTTGAAGAAGATGAGGAACCAAGTTTTTGAGTCTTTGAACAAAGGATGTGACAGTAAGTTGTGTTTATCAGACATTGTTTGTAATTTATGTGTCATCCTTTAGTACTGACAATGATACCTAACAGCCCAGTGAAACGGAACTGATTTAAGGTTATATTTGAAATGTAATTTTCTTAGGCCTTCTGCGCAAAGATTATTGATGTTAGATATTCTTCTTTCATTGATGTCTTCCAACTAGTGCTGAGGAATTCTGTTTGCACATGTCATGAATATTCAAAGGTCAAGGTCACAATATAGACAAAACACTAAAGAGCAAAAATGTTTTGCATAAATGTTATAAATGAGTATCCATGCATTTAGTGCAGTATATACCTTCTGCAGGATGGGGCTCTGTTTGAAATGATCTTGGTTAAGATTTGTATCAGGTTTTTGTAAAACACAGTCATATGAGTATCGGTTTCTGAAGCCTCCTCCTTATCCCCGCCAGCATTGACCAAGATTATTGATAATAGAGGACATCTACCATGGACATATTGTTAAAGAACTTTAGGCTTTTCTTGACATGTTTTGAGTTTTACATATTTAGGTCTTGAAAAAAATGATCAGACCCAGAACATATGTGATGACATTTTTTTAAATATGATAAGACAGGTTATTCTCACAACCTTGTAAATTACACACATCTTTTCTTAACATAAACACATGATAACTGATATAATGATGGTGTGTATGTAGCTGATTTAAACATATAATATCATGTACATGTATTTGGAATGATTTTCCAATGAAGGTCAATGTGAACAAAATCTTTGTGTGTCAGTCTGTTTGGAGATACGTTTATCATGCTTGATTAATGTTCTTTATGACAAAGTGTCGAGCATTTAATTGTACTGGTTGTGTATTTCAGGAGATGGGGAAGGGGTTTGTTAAGTCCTTGAATCTAATCTCTGGAGCCACCATGATGATTGTTTTATTCCTGTTCAGTGGCTAAATCTTTACTGATATAATGTGTAATTGTTATATTTTGGAAAGTTGTTTAAAGTAGAGGTGTGGCAGTATTAGGATGGAATGGAAGTGTTTGGAATGGAATTACATTGTTCATGGTATGTTAAGATTTGGGGAGCTTTGGGTAAAAAGCAGTAAAGTTGGAAAACAGGAGCAGCAGCTTACTCAAGTCTATGTATCCACCTTTAGTCCAGAAACATTATTAAGAAACATTGTTATTTTCATTTATATTTCATATTTGACTATAAGTTGCTAGTGTTTATGCACCAATATTTATATATTTTTGACAATGTCTAAAGTGCCTATCTTTGATGTTATTTAAGCCAGTTTGAAGCTGTCTCTTCTATTACATAACTGCAGATAGAACCTATAGTAACTCAAAAAGGAGCCAAGTGCAGCCTGATAATGCAAGTAACCAGAAGTAATCCTCCTAACTGATACTTTGTACCAATATCAATCTAATGGTGAAGTGGTCCAATTTGAATATTTGTTTTTCTGTTTGCGTATTTCTATAATCCAGTGTTGGCCTTTCCTAAGGTACAGAGAGAACCAGTTTCTAGAGCAAAACATTATTTCAGTGTCTTCATCAACCTTTGGAACCCTCACTATTGAATATGTGATAAAGAACAGCTTGTGGTGAGAAACATTAAAGATCAGTTCTCATTCGGCACTTCTAGAATTGCACCCAGCCTAGGCAGGAACTTATTGACACAGGTCACACATTTACTGAACTGGATTTAAGCTAAATGTGTTTTTTCATGTGAATGTCTTCAGTGTTATTGTACTTAATTTTCTCCTATTTCAGCAACTACAACATCAACAACTACAACAACAACCACTACTACAACCACTACTACAACCACTACTACGACCACAACTACTGCTCCACCTCCAGGTTAGATAAACTTGTTGAATATGGTTGACTAATAAATATACTGGTGATGTAGATTTACCTCAGCTGGCATGAAAACCTACCTGAGCTCATGTCATTGTTAGTTTCAACTACTTCTCTAAACATGGTTTGACCGCCTCCGTCCGCCCGGAGAGCGGAAGGTCGCGGGTTCAATCCCCGACCGCGTCATACCAAAAGACGTTAAAATATGGTACTTGTTGGTCCCTGCCTGGCGCTCGGCATTTATGGGTAAAACAAGGACTGGTTGGCTCGGATCAGTATAATGTGTCTGAGTGGGGTATTCAGGCTTCACTGCGGCATGGTATCTCAGTGGGCTAGCACTATAAAACCAGCTTCAGTCTGGGCTAGTGCAAGCAGCCGCACATACACCCACACACATATGCACGTCGTCATATGAGCGAAATATTCTCAAGCACGACGTTAACCCCAATTTCACCTCACCTCACCTCACCTCACCTAAACATGGTTTGATGGGTTTAGCTGAAATTGTGTAAAATGGCCATTAGACATCCATGTTTTATTTCAAAATGAAACATTTAAGAAAAAGACCTAAAGGGAATGTGAGATGATCATCCTATCAAGATCCAAGTAAATTTAACTTTATTGGATATATATATGCCTGATGGCAGCCAAGCTTGAAAATGCAAGAAATCATGCATCAACCATCTTAAACATCACCCAGTGTACAAATGACTCCAAACCTCTGCATACTTGTTCCCACCAGTGACACAGTGATGTGTTCATGGTGTTGAAATTTGATTTTGATGGTAACCTAGGCAGCCATTTTGGTGATCCTGTTTATGGCCATTACTCAAACAGTTTCTTTTTCAAAATAGTGAGTGGGGTTCAAAATATATGTTTACCTTCACTTGCTCCTAGGTTTGTTGGTTGGTTGGGGTATTTTTGTTTAAGATTAAACTTATTTGTTGAGTTTTCTTTTGCAATATTGTATTATTTACTTCGCTTTGACTATGCTCTTAGTCATCTCAAAGGACACATTTGGCAAAAGGCCCTCCAATAAAATAGTCATCATGAAGGAACTCAACTTTGGCAGCATTGTTATGTTAAATTCTCAGCTTTGGTAAGTTTGTTGGACTTCAGTGCTTTAACACAGGATGTTTTGGAATGTCATTGCTGCCATCATCCTGTTTTAAGTGTCAGTCGTTTAAAGTGTTGAGACTACATATTCTGGCGAGTTTCAGTACCATAGAACTATTTTTTGTTAAACAGTATATTCTTGAACATGGACATTACAGTTTAAAGACAATTTTCCAATGGTCAGCTGGTCTTGCATTAAATATCTAGCTTTTCTTGCACTTGAGACTCTGGACCTGAACCATAATTGCAACCATTACCTGTGTATCCATATAACTTCAAGAATGTGTAACCAGTATCTTCACTTTATATCACTCACTTTATCCCTTCAAATTACAGATTGTCCTGGCCAGAGAATGGATCTCGTTTTTATCCTGGATACCTCCACCAGTGTCACAGAACCCAACTTCAGACTCATACAGGACTTCTTGAAGTTTTTCCTCTTTAAGGCTGATATTGATGGTGACCAAGTAAGAGTTGGTATTGTCATCTACAGTACCAAAGTGGCCATCCAGTTCCAGATGAGTGAATATATAGCTGACAAGAGAGGTGTTTACAGAGCCATTGACAGAATACCATACATGTTTGGCAGTACTAACACCTATGGTGGACTAAACATAATGAGGACTCAGATGTTTACACCAGCAACTGGAGACCGACCTGATGTGCACAATGTCTGTATTCTCATCACTGATGGTGTGTCCAACATAAATTCCAGAAGAGTACAGCCTGAAGCTAAAAAAGTGAGAGCTCAGGGAATCCATGTCTACGTCATTGGTATTGGTCTGACAGACACCAAAGAAATTGATGGAATTGCCACACCTCCTCTAGAAGAAAACAGATTTACTGTCACTGATTTCAGTGACTTGAAGGTGATGAGGAATCAAGTGTTTGAATCCCTCAATAAAGGTTGTGGGGGTAAGTATTAATGTTTTTGTGAAAATGCTTCACCAGATGTGTAAGCAAGCTTCAACAGATGTGTAAGTCTGAAATTTTATTATAGAACATCAACACAGAGCATAATCAGTCGTTCAGTAAAGCTTCTCCATACACAGTGCCGGGAATACAAATACTAATGCGGGTTTCCCATGACTCCACCTGTGAGAAAGTTAGGGCCCTCATATCAACTTCCAAGAAAATATGTCCTCATGATCATTTCAGCTGACTAGGGAAGATGGAGTGGTCAGACTCTCAGTCTCTTGTTTAGCTAACTGCATGTCATCATGCAATAAAGGCATCTGTTTATTTTAGCTTTCGGATACTGGTTTCCATGACTAAATTGTATTTAGGTTGACTTGATATGACTGTAATGTTGCTGACTGAAGTGTTGAACAATGTTCTCACACTCTTGGTGTTATCATGATTGAAACAATAAGATGTTCATCATGTTATTCAGTTTGACATTTCAAATTCAGTTTCAGTGACAACTCTACCTCCCCCCTAAACCATCACCTAAAGGTAAGTAATTAAACTAGCAATATGTGAAAGAAACTTAAGATAACAACACTTTAATATTTACTCCACATATATGAAGATATTTGGTATTTGTTGTCGATGTGTCTGAGTACGTTTCATCAGGATTAACTATGAAAAAAAAATGTCAAACAAAGATTTGGAAAGTTTTCAGAATTCGTGGCTGTACACCAGTTGAGCTTATGGCATGCACATAAGCCAGGGGTTGTACCACTTTCCTTTCTTAACCACTGAACAAAAAAAATAGAAGCTTAATTCAAGAAAAATGTACAAGAAATCAGCATTTCGTGCACATTAAAATCTTGGCAAGTAAAACATGACCATTATCATAACCATCATACCCATAGCAGCCATATTAAAAGGCCCATTCATCTTCAATCTCTTCAAAATGTAAAAGAATTAGCCATGCCAGTATCTGTAGCAAGTAGTGGTCATGTTTTCTGTAATAGGGGGATATAATGAATTCCAACCTTTATTCATCCTTTGGCACCTTTACAGCATTTTAGTTGCTGTTTTTCACAGTGAAATTGCTTTCATTGAAAAAGTGTCATAGAAGGTGCAAAACTGGAAAAGTATATCTTAAACCCCAATGCACACGCACCTGCTGCCACATTTCATCTTCAATGTCTTTGTACATTAGTGAGAAGTGATATAATGCTTTGCAAAAATGATGTTCAAGGCAAAAACTTACCACTCTACACCTTGTGGTAAAGAGAAAGTATTTGTGAAACAATTGGTGAAAGCCAGCATACTCTCTGCTGAGGCAGTCATAGCATGGGCAAGGGCCTTCAATTCTTAGAAAAGAGATGTCTCAATGCAATGGACTGCTTAGAAGTTTAGTGACCTTGTCATCCACACTGACCCTGACATAGACCGTTTCAGTGGATTAAGCTTTGCAGGTTTACCATGTGCTAAACTGGGTGTCCTTTGGTACTACCCGACTGTTGAAGCTGAAATGTGACATACACTTGATATGAATATGTTTGTTTTTTAAAATATTTTATGGAATATAAGTTTACCGAAAGTCTTACAGTCATTTTCTCAAGAACCACAAGGAAAGCAATAACCTCGTGTGAATTATAAGCATTAAAAATAGCTTGCAGGTTGGTCAACGCGTAATGACTGACATCTTCAGTGTTGTAGATTATGATGGTGTACTTCTTATACTAAAATATGGTGTACATGTAGTTTCTTTCTGTTTTTTTCTTTTGCACTGTGTTTGCTTTTACTTGCAAGCTGATGTAGCTTCCTATAGTGGAAGTGGAATATCATATTTTCATAATTCAGCTGAAGTTCAGCATTGTGGCTTATATGTTTGAGTTGTGTACTGAGTAATGGCTGAAATATATACATATATATATATTGATGGAAATTTAATATATTGGATAAATAGATGCAGTCCTTCATAACCTCCCTAGAATGTCAGGTTGGTTTACTGAAACAACTTCAGCACAGACTAAATATGGTATCCAGCACACAACAGGCCTTAGCATAAACAACTCCTCCCACAATGAAAATCAGTGCCTGATCACAATAGATTGATAATAAGCACAAAAGTCAGTGTAAAGAAGGACATTTGTTCCTAAAACTTGTTTTGAGTTTGGTTTGTAGATTATTCTAACACATTTCATTTTGTAGACAAGTCATGTACGATCTTGTATAAGAAAGGCCATAATGTACGATCTTGTATAAGAAAGGCCATATAACCATATACTGAAAGGGATGGATGGTACCAGTTCATATCCAAAAAGGAGTTAAAAGATGAATTCTTTGTTATTAACGTGTCATGTGTTTACCCAGATATGTTCTGATAATGTCACTGAGTTGATCAACATTTGTTTGCAGCTTGTCTTGGCCAGACTATGGATCTTGTATTTATCCTGGATACCTCCACCAGTGTCACAGAACCCAACTTCAGACTCATTCAAGATTTCTTGAAGTTCTTCCTCTACACTGCTGATATTGATAATGACCAAGTTAGAGTTGGCATTGTCATCTACAGTACCAAAGTAGCCATCCAGTTCCAGATGAGTGAATATATTGGAGATAAGAGAGGTGTTTACAAAGCTATTGATGCAATACCCTATATGTACGGCAGTACCAACACCTATGGTGGACTAAATGTAATGAGAACTCAGATGTTTACACCAGCAACAGGAGACCGACCTGATGTGCAGAATGTCTGTATTCTTGTGACTGATGGTGTGTCCAATATCAATGCCAGAAGAACAATCCCAGAAGCTGCAAAGGCTCGAGATCAGAACATCCACATCTATGTTATTGGTATTGGTATAAAAGACACACGGGAAATTGATGGTATTGCTACGCCACCTCTAGAAGAAAACAGATTTACTGTAGAAGATTTCAGTGATTTGAAGAACATGCGGAACAAAGTCTTTGATTCCCTTAATAAGGACTGTGACAGTAAGTTTGTAATTTATGACACCAGTTGTCAAACTCATTTGAATCATGAGTACTGGCATCTGTGTGTAATATCATTCCTCTAACCTTAACAGTTTTTCATATTTATCCCACTGAGATGCATATGGACAGACTGATAGATGGACAAACTCCATTCCTGTATACCCCACCATGTTCATCGCAGATGATAGTTATTTTGATTTAACACTTAATAACTTATCCTTATTCATTTATGACCTAACTGACTGGATTAGTTGATTGAGTAAGTTGTTTTCACATTTATTAAGAAATTACTGATATCTTCAATTGTTTTTGATATCTGCATTATATTTAAAGATAATGTACTGAAGATATCCGAAAATAATTGACGAAATATTTAATTAATTTCTGATGTCCAAAATAAAATTTCTGATATCAGAAAATGTTACTGAGATATCAAGAAAATATTTATCCAATATGGTACATAATTATATTAGAAATAGATTGAAGATATCTTAAATTCCATGCAAGATATCTTGAAATTAGTTATACATAACCACAAACACATTGCAGATATCTTTAATTCAGTTACAAACATCTTCAATTCTGGCAATTATCAATATCGAAAATCAATTATTGATATCTGTAATACAAGTTACGGGAAAGAATGGCAAAACTTATCTCTGTTCAATATATCATTAATTTATTTTAAGATATCTCCAGTTACATTCAATATATCTCTCTTTGTATTCAAGATATCTTTAAAACAATTAAGATATCAATAATTTCTCATTACTGATTTGAGATTTCTTTAATTTATTTCAAGATACATTTGTATCTCAAATTCAATTCAAGATGTTGTCAATTAATTTAAGATATCTGTATTTAATTGCAAGATATCAGGAACTGAATTACAGATATCATTAAAACATGAATTTTAAATTCTATACTGATATACTTAAATCCAATATTAAAGGTCACATGCAATGCAAAACACAACTTTGCAGATTCTGATACCTTTCGGTATGGACTTACAGTAACAAATGATCAAAAATGCAAATTCAAGTTATAAAGTTGAAAAATAACGCGATGAAAGCTTTTCATATGTTGTGACAGTAGTTATATAATTTCATTTGACTATTTCACCACACGTTCTTCTTACCAAGTCATTTTCTCAGTTCAATACTTGAAAGCAACGTCATTATTTAGCATTGTCAGAATTTTTTACTGTGATATAGATATGCCTTTGTCACAGACAAAACTCAATGTCTTTTTTATTGACACCTATGTGTCTGCCTGTCTGTTAATGACAATATGCAATACACAACTTCGATGACTGACCACATGCAATTTGAACTTAAAACCTATCAGGCTCTACACCATAAACAAAACGCATTGATTTATGGCTTGTGCACCTGGGTTCTGTCTCTGTTACATTATGTAATTACACAGACAGGCAGGTGTGATACTTGTACACATGACATGTTATGATGTCTGTTGACTGCAAAATGTTATACACAAAAAATTAGCAAGTATTTACAAAACCCAACATCTCTATACACACTCAAAGAGCCCTTAGTGTACCGGCAAAGGAACCAGCCAATGAAAGTCCTCGTTACACTTGAGTGCATGCCCACACGCTCTGAATATTGCACTTTTGATTTGCGATTGTACGCTTATAATTTTGTTTATTTATTTTTCATAATCAGCAGTGTATATTATATGTCACAAATAAATGATAATTGTGCTTTAATTATGTTTATATTTTTGGTTGCATCTAAGCTTTAAGATATCAGCAATTTTGTCATTTATATGCTTCATTATATCCTTAATTCTTGTCAAGATGTCATGGATTTTATTGCAGATATCTATAATTATCTCTATTTGAGATATCTTTAAATCATTTTAAGATATTCTCAGTTCAATTCAAGATATCTCTATTTTCATTCAAGATATCTTTAAAACAATTCAAGATATCAGTATTCCTTAAAGGTCACATGCAACCAAAAAATCAAACATAATTAAAAGAAAATTATCACTTATTCATGACATATAATATACATTGCTGGGTATGAAAAAACATAAAAACAAAATTATAAGCGTACAATCGCAAATCAAAAGTGCAATACTTTGTACTTGGGTTTTCTTCCCTAGAAACGAAGCAGCCGGGGTACCGAACCCAGTCAGAGCTGGTGGGTGTGCACTCAAGTGTAACGGCTGGTTGTTTTGCACATTCCCTCATGGCTTATTGTGTGTGTATATATAGAGATGTTGGGTTTTGTAAATACATGCTCATTTTGTGTGTATAACATTTTGCAATCAACAGACATCATAACATGTCAAGTGTACAAGTATCACACCTTCCTGCCTGTGTAATTATATAATGAGTGACAGAGACCGACCTCGGGCCATTAATCAATGCTTTTTGTTTATGGTGTATAGCCTGATAGGTGTTCAAATTGCATGTGGTCAGTGATTGAAATTGTGTATTGAATATTGTCATTAGCAGACGGGCAGGCAGACACATAGGTGCCAATAAAACAGACATTAAGTTTTGTCTGTGACAACGACATATCTATATCACAGTTAGAAATTCTGTCGACGCTAAATAATGACATTACTTTTAAGTATTGAACTGAGAAAGTCACTTTCGGTAAGAAGAACGTGTGGTGAAATAGACAAATGAAATTATATAAACAGTTAAATCGGTAATCTACTGTAATAACATATTAAAAGCTCGTGCCTGTGAAATATCAACAAAACATTAGAAAAATAGCTCACACCAAAGCCATCACAGAATATTCACCGGACAACCCGCTTCCAAGCTCCGCGAACCTATTTCACTGCGCATGTGCTATGAGCGCAGCCCAGCTGTTGAAACCACTTCAATTCCCCCAAGCGCTTGGGGAAAGTTAGTGAATCGTTTGAACTACGATTTCGCACGGGTTTTTTCATCGCGTTATTTTTCAACTTTATAAGTTGAATTTGCATTTTTGATGATTTGTTTCGGTAAGTCCATACCGAAAGGTATCGGAATCTGCAAAGTTGTGTTTTACGTTGCATGTGACCTTTAAGGAATGTGAAAATGTCTTGCTTTGGTTGACCCACTTTTAAGGCTCCTGACAGTGATGTGCCTTATCTTTTGGATGAGAGTGATGGATGCATATGCATGTATAAAGCAGTGTACTAGGCTCTCTCAGTGCAGTGATGCATTTGACAAAATAATCATTATGTTAAGTCTATAATGTAGAAATTATTGTTCTGATTTACAAGGGTTGGCTGAAATGTCTGATCTTTACTATAAATTGCACTTCACCCTTTACTATTTTCATGTATTACATATAATTTTTTCCATTTATACATACTCATATTATTCATACCAATTACATAAAGGGGCAAGATAATTCTCCTAGCATGAAAAAGACAAGGTATTCTCATTTTTGGAAATGGACAAATTTGGAAGACATTCAACTGCAACCATAAAGGAGCATTTTATTAACAAACATGATATTATTATAGATGATCAAGAACACATCATTCATCACATCACCTTCACAGTAGTCATCTCTCATGGCATATTTGAGAACATTCCGCGGAATGAACTGTTAATGGCAAATGTTTCAAAACACTGGGCTACTGGCTCATGAACAGAAATACTCAGCATATCTTGTGAGCATTTACATTGTTTTGAAGCAGACCAACTGATGCTGTTTAGTGATTTGTGACTATGAATGTGTCTGGTTCACCATTATCAACCAGAGACTGAACTGTCAAAACAGTGGAAACATCTTATGTCTGTTATCTGGCAAGGCTATGATGTCCGTTTTCTGAGATTACTAAGGAATTAATCAGGACATCCTCCATATTAGTCAAACTATTAATGGCCAGTATTATGCTCCAACAGTAAAATACACCTGTGCACAAGTCTATTGTTGCCTCGGTTGCAATGTATGATTGTGGTATTGAAGTCATTGAACAACTTACAAAGTTAATCATTTTCTGCCTCTTCCAAAGTTTGAAGAGGGACCTGTCCAGCAAGCATTATGTAAATGATGATGATGTCATTTCTCCTGTGGAAAACTTTTACAGCACTAGGAAGAAGCTCTCTATTCCACTGGGATCCAGGCACTCCAGCCTCAGTAGGAGAAATGTATAGAGCTGGAATGGGACTATGTTCTAAAATGATTGACAGCCACCAGCGCAGTCCATGATATATATCTTCTTTGAGAGGAAGGAAAACCAAGTTCTATGGATAGTCAACTTCTTTATTGCAATGAATGTGACATTTTGGCATAGATACTAACATCGTTATCAAGTAAATGATGTTAACGGTGTTAGTATCTACACCGAAATGTTGTATTCATTTAAATAAAGAAGTTGACTATCCATAGAACTTGGTTTTCCTTCATGATATTTATGCATTGAATATTTCAGCCTCCCCTTGTATGACAGGATTTTCCTTTCATTTACCCAATATATTCTTGTTCAGAGACATGAAATGCCTATATTTTGGTTCATTTGTTTTCCATTGTAAGTTCCAACAAAACAGATCTTGTGAATGCAGTGTGACAATCCAGAACAGATATATACTGTTGTAGATAATATTCCTAGATTAAGGTTTGTGTGAAATAGATTGTACATGACTTTATGGTTGTGAAATGTATGCATTTAAATTTCAGCCACACCTGCCCCTCCTACAACCACAACTACGACCACAACAACCACAACAACCACCACTACAACTACAACAACCACTACTCAACCAAAGATAGGTAAAGACATTTATTGGTATTTTTAGACAATTTGTAATATGGCCAAACACAATGAATAATTCCAGTGGTATGTACATTTGCAACCTATGATATATAAATAAAAAGTAACAAACTTTTGAAATGTTTGTGGAAAGAGCAAGATTAATTGTCTCTCAACAGTTTTTAAAAGCAGACAAAAGGTAAGAGCTGCTGGAATATTGACTATTGTACAATTGAAGCCATTCCCATTGTCATATAATATTATTGAGAGTTTTTGTCAATCGGAAGTTTTTGGCTTAGATGGAAATAGGAAATAGATGATGCATTTTCAATGGTCTCCTTTATTTCTAGTTCAGATGGTAAATCAGTTGACTGAAATTTGTTATTTGACCATCCTTGACCATCAGTATACCTGAAGCTAAAGTTAAAACTCCTGAGATTTCCTTGCTTTGATTTTACCAATCCAAATATATAGTCCCAAATGTTCACATCGAAATTGTGCTAAGTGATTAAAACATTGAGCTGACTCAATATGGTCATTTCTCATGTGTTAAACAGTTTGTCCTGGACAGAGGATGGATCTTGTATTTGTCCTGGATACCTCCACCAGTGTCACAGAACCCAACTTCAGACTCATACAAGATTTCTTGAAGTTCTTCCTCTTCGCTGCTGATATTGATGGTGACCAAGTTAGAGTTGGTATTGTCATCTACAGTACCAAAGTGGCCATCCAGTTCCAGATGAATGAATATATAGCAGACAAGAGAGGTGTTTACAAAGGTATTGATGCAATACCCTATATGTATGGAAGTACTAACACCTATGGTGGACTAAATGTAATGAGGACTCAGATGTTTACACCAGCAACAGGAGACCGACCTGATGTTAACAATGTCTGTATTCTAATTACTGATGGTGTCTCCAATATCAATGCCAGAAGAACAATTCCAGAAGCTGTAAATGCTCGAGATCAGAACATCCACATCTATGTTATTGGTATTGGTATAAAAGACACACGGGAAATTGATGGAATCGCCACACCCCCATTAGAAGAAAACAGATTTACTGTGGAAGATTTCACTGACTTAAAACAGATGAGGAGTCAAGTGTTTGATTCCCTCAATAAAGATTGTGGGGGTAAGTGCTTAATTGTTTTGTAAAAATGCTTGTCAATCCACAGATGTGTACGTCTGAAATATTATTTAGTAAGTCATACTTTCATACTCATCTTTTGCACCCACCTCTCCTGCCATTTTTATTGCAAAATAAGTTTCAATTTACTTTTGGACCATGAATGTGTACCTATTGGAAGACATAGGCTGGAGACAACAACAATGGTAGTTGATATATGAACAAGTGAAATAATTACACATGGATGAAGCTTCTATCTACTGACAAATTCCATCTGTTAAACATTCCAGATTTGTATATTTTTTTCTGTTTTCATATTTTGAATTTTGAAAAGCATGATCTTGAAAACATAAAGCCTTCAAACTCAAGAAAGCTGATTTATAATTTGCTGATGTTGACTTCATGTAAGTCATTTCATTAGTTTATCAAAGTTTGCTAAATGTGATTCTAAGTTGACCTTTAGTTGGATGTCCTTAGATCATTGTGTGTCAGAATGTGAGCAGTTGGATGTAGTTTTATGATACATGTAGTAGAGAAGGACACTCTGACATCCCCTTTCTGCTAAATACAGAATATATTGTAGCTGCATGATTACATTCAATGCTTTATCATTTGGGACCAGTTTTATCCTAATCTGTTTGAAGTGCTGAAATATTGCCTGGTATGTTTAAGCCTTGATGATGTTCTACCTCCACATAACATTTACACAATGCATATGCTTCAGTTACAACGGTGCCTCCTCCTCCAGTAACGACACCTAAAGGTGAGGCATTATCTCAGTTCACTGATCATAGGTATCAAGCCAGTTCGAATAATTCCGTGATCTTGAAAATTACCACTGTCATGGGCTATATTCGGAACTGATGTTGAGATAAGTGATCTTGTTTATCCTTCAGTACAATTATTGCCTCTCTGAGTATATCTGACCTTGTGCAATACAAGGTTTATCATTATCTAAAAATGATTGCAATAATTCTTGCCTCTTAATGAAAATAAAGATAAGTTTTTAAATAATATTTGAAGATTAATTTTCAATAAAATGACATCAGATACAGTGATTAATAATCATATTGAATTGTAATACTTTGTTTCAGAGTGCCCTGGGGACAGAATGGATCTAGTTTTCGTCGTGGATACTTCTACCAGTGTCACAGAGCCAAACTTCAACCTTATACAAGATTTCTTGAAGTTTTTCCTCTTTTTGGCTGATATCAAGAACGACAATGTCAGAGTTGGTATTGTCATCTACAGTACCAAAGTTGCCATCCAGTTCCAGATGAGTGAATATATAGCAGACAAGAAAGGGGTTTACAAAGCTATTGATGCAATACCCTATATGTACGGAAGTACCAACACCTATGGAGGAATAAATGTAATGAGGACTCAGATGTTCACACCGGCAACAGGAGATCGACCTGACGTTGATAATGTCTGTATTCTCATTACTGATGGTGTGTCCAATATCAATTCCAGAAGAACAATTCCAGAGGCTGTGAAATCACGAGATCAGGGAATTCATATATACGTGATCGGTATTGGTTTGAAAGATACCAAAGAAGTGGATGGTATTGCATCACGACCGATAGAGAAGAACAGATTCACTGTAAATGATTTCAATGAATTAAAACAGATGAGACAAATTGTATTCCAGTCTCTGCAGGGTGACTGTGAAAGTAAGTATGCTTTCTTCTTAATTATTGCAAGCAAAAATTGTAACAAGTATTTGAAAAACATATTTATACAACTGAAAGGTTTTTCTTTGTGCATTGTCTCTCTCAGTGTGAAAATTATAAATTATAACTTGATTATATATACATATATTCAATGATTTACATGACATTAATTTGTGTGATAAGAGAAATCATAATGGATTCCATTACCATCTTTTTTCCTTTTCTTTTTCATTTGTTGTTTTTACATGTACCCCATGTTAATCATAAGTGTATTTTCATCATATTCAATTTGTGTGTTGAGTGTTGTGAGCATTGGAGGAATTGGCTGTATCAGATATACAAATCATTCACACAGATTCGTTTTTCATGCATGTGAAGTAAGCATGCTATTTATGATTCAGCATCATTACATGTTTACACATCAAGAAAAATAGTATCATTTTGGCCCACCTTTGCTGTATGGGAACAGCTTTATTCTATGTCAAGAGACATGACATCCTCATGGCCTCCTTTGGTGTAGTAAAGGATTAGGACATCCTTATACTCTGTGCCAAGTAACATGATATCTTCATGGTCCTGTGCTGTAGGTAAAGGATTATGATATTCTAATGATCCTATTGTGTTGTGTGTCAAGGAACATGATATCCTCATGGTCCTCCTTGTACTGTGTGTCAAGGAACATGATATCCTCATGGTCCTCCTTGTACTGTGTGTCAAGGAACATGATATCCTCATGATCCTCCTTGTACTGTGTGTCAAGGAACATGATATCCTCATGATCCTCCTTGTACTGTCCTCCATGTACTGTGCGTCAATGTACATGGTCTCCTAATGGTCCTTCTTGTACTGTGTACCAAGGAACATGGTATCCTCATGGTCCTGAGGTGTAGGAAAAGGATTATGAGATTCTTATAATCCTTCTTCTGTGCTGTGTGTTAAGGAACAGGATATCCTCATGGTCCTTCTGTACTGTAGGTAATTGTTTTATCCTTCTGTGCTGTATGTCAATAGATGTGATATGTTCATGGTCCTGTGCTGCATGTCAATGTACATGATGTCTTCAGGGTCCTCCTGTGCTGTATGTCAAGGAAGATGATATCATTATGGTCCTTCTGTGCTGTTTGTCAGTGGATGTGATATTTTCATAGTCGGGTGTTGTATGTTAAGGGACATGGTATCCTCATGGACCATTTGTGCTTGTACCTCAATGTCTAAACAGTCAGAGGTATACAGCACAGACACAGGTTACTGGTTTACTGTGACCTGATGGAGGCAGTGTTCCAGCCCAGTCACAATGCGGTGGAGTGGTCTCAAAACTGAGGACCTAATCATTAATCCTGAAGGAAGCTGCTCAGAAGACATACATTGTGTGTCATTTGGTCTTCTTGGACATCAGAGAATGCTGATAGAAAATGATGGCCTGTCAACACTCAGACCTGGATCTTTTCAGGATTATTGCATGCTTTTGCTTTTTGCATTAGTATAGCTAAGGTAAAATTGGTCATGAAATGGTATGTAATGTTGATATAAGTATTATGTTAAAGCTGAAACATTGCACTCATTATGATTTGTCCACCAAAGTTTCATAACTTATCTATTGATCAGCATCAGAATCTAATGCTCTGATGTGTTTGACTCTGATGTTGACATGTTGACAATGAACAATGCTCTAGGTTTGATGTTCCTCATCTTTTCATTTACACGTTGATATTGTTTAAATATCCATTGAATTATCTACAAGTTGAATACCAAGGTAAGATTACAGCACACATGAACACTTGTATCATCATGTTGCACACATTTTCATAAACTCACAATACGAAGTGTCACATGATGTTTCACACTGTTGATATTGCTCTGTTATGTCATCATCACCCAGTGTTCCTATTTAGCCATATCATTTGAGTTATTCTGTCATCTTTCCATTTCATTAACCTTCTTTTCTCCCAATAACACCTGTATGGCTTACTTTCTAAGCTTTTAACTGCCAGGCTCTTTAAGAAATAATCCTGTGCAATACTGCACTATCGCTACTAACACACAGAACTGTGTGGTTGTAAGACAAGCATTGACTTTTGCAGAAAAGGCTTATGTCTGCTCACCTGGCTAAACATGTTATATAGTCAAAGGAAATGAGTCATCTCTAAAGCATGTGTGGGAGCATATGAATTTGGTAGATACCTGTAACATTCATCAAACAACATAATTTAATCTCCCAGGGAAATTTAGTCAATACAAATTAAGTATGAATACCACAAGTTTGAACCAGAGTAGGATGATAAATTATGTACTTTTATAGCATGTATTTGGGGATTTATTCTATTTGTACATTGTAACAAATCAGAGCAGTTATGCTGCTTGTGAGAATACCAATTCTTTAGGGAATCAAATGATTATACATGTGATCTCTACAACTTTCACACTGGTCTTCCCAGAGCTTGTATATGTTCTTATATTCTAATCATTAATACTAGTTTTTTAAATGCCCAAAGCTGATATCTAGCTTTTTGTTTAGCTTATGTCAACAGCACATATATCTTCCATGCTTATTATATAAATATGTGTTTTGCAACCAAACATACATCTTGTGAATAAACGTAAGAGGTGTTATCTATAGAAACCACCTATATTAGTGTCACTAACATCTAACTTTCTGATTTCAGTGAGTCCAGTAGCCTCATCCTAGAGAAATGATACTCCTTAATAGCATGCTGGTCAATAGACCAGATATCTCATGGTAAAAGAGAAATTAATAATTAACATGTTTCTTCATTAATAACACAGTTCACTTTTATTTGCATTTTATACTAATTTTTGTTTTCTCATTTCATTAATTTGCTTTATTAATTATATTAATTTTTTTATTTGTTCACTACTAATTTGGCCATCTTTGTTCCAGTGTATGTATGTGGTTGTCCAAAAGCTTTATGTGTTACTAAATCTTGCCCACTGTTTTGTATGCACAAAATCTTCACAATATTTGTATATTTATTCACTGTCTCATGGAAACTGTTGTTTCCTCTGTGTGTTATAAAGTACAAATTGTACTTTTCAGTATCCTTGAAAACTGTTTCAATTCATGTTTTATTATCGCATAAATGAAAATGTAATTCTATAAACTGTAAGAAATGTATATAAAATTATCAGAAGATGTTTGAAAAATATGCTTATTAATCACTTCGTTTACCAAAGTGAAGATTTTCATCTTTCTCTGTTAACAAAAAGAGACGTGTAAATGCATTTGTAAATAGATATATGTGTCTTGACTAGAATTTAGGATTAGTTATGTGCAATTTTAACTCCACCCCCTTCTCTATGGTTTGAAATGTATTAATACTTTTGATTGAAAGCAGTCTTTTGCCCAGCTTGTTCCAATCTAATTTAAATTCTAATAGTTTCAACCTTACTTTCTTTTTTCCATTCCTGCTACAATTCCCTCATATCACTTCCCATTATCTGACTATGGATATGAATCTTAAGAATATGCCTTTCCAATTGAGAATTTCCAATACTGATTTTTCACTTTTGTCTTGTTTTCCAGGAGCCACGCCACCACCAACCGAAGGTATGGTTCTTGACAATTACATTACAAGTTGTAGCCATGTTATAGAAGACAACTTCATTATATAGGCAGATTTAATCTTGATCATTTGTGTCTGTCTGTGGACTGTTTTGGATGGTAGGCCAATATAATAGGTATGTCACGATATGTCTGCCTCATGTATCAATACATTTTCTGAAACTGAAGTCATGATGCAATCCATATTGCAATACTTAGTTGCATGACAGGTACATTTGGTCTCATTCTCTTAATACTATGCAATCAAATTTAGCATTTTGTTTCTGACCTGTGTATTTCTCAGGCCAGGTTATTGCAAGTCTTTTGAAACTCACTAAAGAACTAATACATTAGTAGACATATCGTGTATAAATTTTTCTGGTTAAATTTGCAATGCAATGATAATTGAATCATGATGAATCATGACATCCCCACAAAATAATAGAAGGAATAAATTCAATTACCTTAATCATTATTATTTCTTTTATAATTGTTTCCTCTTGTTACCATGAGGTATTAGTTTACCATAGTGCTATTTATTAAGCTGTTTGAATTATGATTTACAAGGAATATTTCTAATTTCAGCCATTTGTTCTGAGAATAATTGTTTCATGCTTTACACTTCTTAATAATTTTACTCTAACATTAACATGTTTTACTAAAATACATCTTTGTTTTATTCACTAGTATGACTGAAGCATGACACATGGAAGTCAGGCATGTGCACGAACATAAATGATCCAGTAACCACGTCCCTACTTATACATCCCTCCCTACATACTCCAGCAGTAATGTCATATCATATGGTCATTACCATTCATTCAAAAGATTCCTGTTAAGAGGACATTCCCCATCCTGTTTCAGAGGGAAGAAATGTCATGGGTCATGTTTAATACCAATAACTGATAACTGTAAGAATAACATGGACATTCTTGGAGCCTCACATGTTGAATACATCAAAGAAAAATTGTATCCCCTTTAAACCACTTGGTATTTCAAAACTATGCTTCCTTTAGTAACAGGATTTATTTTTGTGGAGAATAATTGTATGGTAAAAAGTTAGTGGTGAATGTATTATTGAAAAATATAGCCTGTGACAAATATTAGCCCCCCAAATGAGTCATGCAAAATATATCTTCTACAACACAGGCATCATTTTGCATGATGGGAAATGCATCTTCATAACTGTAACTGTGTCATTTTATCATACTGATTAATGCCATATCCAGATGTATCAACATGGTATCCCTGTATATCCTACAAGTGTCTTTCACCCAGAATCCATCATATATATTACCCATATTCCTACCACATATTGGACGAGATTGCCAGTGATATGATATATGCTATAACCATAGCATCCCAGTAAATCCTTCCTATGTACCCTGACGCATCTCAATAATACCTTGTCTGATTTGAGTGACATGCTTCATACCAGTATACCAAATCAGCATATCCCATCACCGTTCCTGCAAATGTTTCAGGATGTGGTATGGCTCCTACAGATCTAGTCATACTCCTGGACTCCTCAAGCAGTGTCAATCAGTTAAATTTTAAGAAAATGCTCAATTTTGTGAAACAGTTGTTGAGTACTGCCAACATTGACTCAGGTGATGTGAGGGTAGGAGTGTTGAGTTACAGCAATAAGGCCAGGATTCACTTCAACCTGAATGCTCACAACAAATACAGAAACATTGCACAAGCAGTCAGCAACATCAGATATGTGTATGGAAAAACCAACACAGCAGATGCAATACGTCTGATGAGAGAAGAAATGTTTCTCAGTTACAATGGTGATCGCCCAGATGTTCCAAACGTCTGTCTGATCATTACTGATGGTGTGTCCAGTGTGAACCCTGAGAGAACTATTCCAGAAGCCATTGCTGCTAGGGACGAGGGCATTCATATATATGCTATAGGTGTTGGGTTGTCTGACACACGTGAACTGGAGTCCATAGCCACATCTCCAGCCTCTGATAACATGTTTAATGTGCAGGAGTTTTCAGAGTTGACTTCCTTGGCCAATGTGATATTTGCAGATGTCTGCCCAGGTAAGTCCTTCCAACATGACCTGCCATGGTACAAACCAGAAACATCAACTGTAACATCTCAGTCAAAACTAATTGTATCTATCAAATTGAAGAGAAATATAGGAATATGAATTCACGATTTCCCTTGAGTTTCAGGATATAATTTTTAGAGATGTCTAGTGAGCAAGAAGGCAAATCAGTTTTCAGTCCCTCTCCATGTTCTTAAAACCTACCTAACCTTTTCACCTGCCCGTTTTACAGTGATCACATTCCCCCCTCCAACACGTGAGTTGTTTCCCTTAGTGTCTGCTGCAGGAAGTGGACGGTAGTCCTTGCATGCCATCCTCATATGTGTTACCATCATTGTATCATCATTGTATCATCATAAGTCAGAACAGTAATATTCTGTAGACCTGATACTTTGTGTGAATGAGGCACTGTTTGAACTTGTAACATAAATACAGCATGATGTGCATGTAATTACTAATTTTATCAAAACCTGCAGTTGTACTACTATATGACTGCACTAACCTTATTTAGAAGAGACCTTTTTAAGTTAGAAGCAGTTTCACTATTGATGTAGGAAGCTGTGCATGACCTTTCAAATGCAGCTTTATTCCAAAACATTGGATAGATTTGATCACTTCATTTCAGTCTGGAACCTGAATACACTGAGGCATGCATAAAGAAAATTCATGAAAGATTTTACATGGAATTTTACAAAGTTAAGGCAGATCAAGACACCTGTTTTCCATTTATGAAATACAGACTGTCACGTGGAAATTCATTTGAACCAATCAGTACAAAAGGCTATTTGAAGAATCATATCATTACATTTGAGAGATATAATCCATAAAGTGTATTAATTGTTTGGTAGCTGTTAGTTCATCAAGCTTTTCTAGCATGACTATATACTAGTGCCCTAGAGGGTGCTTACTGTAGCACTGTTCCTTGCAACTTTATACAAAATGCTACTTGTTTCTGGATTTAAATTTGGTTGTTTCAAAAAAGAAGGGTCTTTTTCACAGCCTCTAATGAAACTAAAAGGAAACATGCTGCTTCAAATTTTATGAATTTGCTATTTAGCATAAAGAAAAAGTAATCTTTTCTGCTAAAGCACGAAGATTTACTGCTAAGGTTGCTAGAAAATGCTTTAGAGGTAGTTGCTTAATATGTAGAAAAGCGCTTTTATTTGTTGAATAGCTTACTTTAAATAGTACTTTTAAAACATTTTCTCTCATCTAACTACAATTTGTGTGATGTGTATGATTTAATTTCAAGAGACACTAATCTATCTGTTTGCATAATAATATAGTAACCATCAACACATCAAAGTTTAGTGTCATGAACCATATAGCATGCTAACTTTTTCACAAATCTGGATAATCACATTAAGTAACTAATGATATACTAACAGTCATCATGAATTCCAGGATCAACCTACATGGCTCACAGATATATCTTGTATAAATTAGTAATTTTCAATTTCCCTTCTTTTTCATATTTTCCTGCTTCACTTAAACAGGTAAGACATGCTATGTTTTTATTCTTTATTTAGTTCTTTATTTTTCAGTCAATGTACAATCCTGGCTATACAGGGCATCAGTATATGTGAAAGATTTAGGGCTTTCTTTCAGGGAGCATGTTATCATATATATATATAATCAAGTACATGACACTTACCTATGGATAAACATTCTTGTGTTCTTTGTTGTGCTTTAGTGTTACTTCTTGCCTTTTCATCAGGTGATTAATTAGTAAGTGTGCAGAATTTAGTTTATAACAATACGAAAGAGCCAATGAGTTTAACAGGATAGAAGACAATTTTTTTACTCGCCTGAAGAAGATACTGCATTGTAATATTTTTATGGCAATATTACACTAGTGTAATAATGCTAAACGTATGATGTCATAATGGTTTACAGTTTTGACATCACAATACTAAGTATCTCTGTCACAATGGTATTAGACCTTGCTTGACTCGTGGAAAGCTCAGAGTCATCACACTGTAGGCAGTTTCTATCAATTTATGGTGGAGAGTAATAAACAATAAACAGAATACTAAACTCACATTTCCACTGTATTATTCATGAGCATTGCATTGTCCTTTTGCAAACATGTATGTCACTGACACTGACACACGTATTTTGCTATTTCTTCAAATTTAGATTGAATTTTATTCAGTTTTCCAACAATCCTGAAAAACATGATCTATACCAAAAAAGCACTTAACACATTTTAAAGGAAGTTCGAGTCACATTCTGAATATGTCTGTGGATTTGGCAGAACCTCTCAATATTGTCATTCTTGAACTCCCTCCTTGTCCTTGTACATGTTGACATTATCACAATATTCCTGTGTATATCAGCCCCAAAGTGTAGACTGACAGAGACAGACCTTGTAATGGTCCTCGACTCATCCACAAGTGTCACAGCTAAAAACTTTGACTTTTTTATTTGATTTTTTTTTTTTTTAAGGATTCAGCTTACAAGACGATGTAATAGTTTACTTACAACCAGAATCATGATAACTTCCATCAACACCTTCCAAGGATAGAGATGAAAATCACATATTATTTGCTGTAGTCCAGTTTACATTGTTGCGCAGTGACAGAAACTTGCTGTGGCATCCGTAATGCAACAAACAAATCATAGTAAACCGGTTAATTGATTTGGACAATTTGGGGATTAATTCTCACTAGTTTTGAAGATCATCTAGTTTGTTTTTAAGCACTTTACACAACTAGCCAAGCTGTGAAGACAAGCAGAAATCTAATGTCAGTCAAGTTGAGCACATAAACTATGTATCATATGTCTTTGTATGACAAAGAGGTATTGGTGCCTGACACTAACACTGAAAATAGCAGAAGCGTCACTCTTCACCATTTCAAATGTATTTGTCAAATGTCTGAGAGGAAGTCCTCTATGTTTTTGTATGTGTATTTACTTGAGTGTTGGGTTGGATGGCCATTGTTGAAGCATCAAGTGTAATTTGACATTGGTCTGCACAAACAACAACTAGGGCATATGTTCGGTCACAACATGTTCACGTGATTGTAAACACCTGCTGTCATTATTGTCACTCACTGATTTTGTCATTTTTGTATGTGTTTATTAGGGCTGGGACGGGTAACCCGAATACCTGGGACGAGTGAGTAATGAGTCGGACCAGGGTACCCGTCTCAATACCCGGACCTGTTATGATCATGCGACTAATAGATTAAACAATGTAATATGTTATTCTTTCACGATAAAGAGGTTATACTGTCTTTGAAGATTTAGACATAATTTACAATCACTTCTACATGGTTAAGATGTTGAAACACTCAAAATATTAGTGTCAAACCTGAAGAATATATTACCATATCTTCCAAATTTGATGTCAGGAATTAACATAATGGGCATCTGGGTAGGGTAATAGAGGGTAGGGTACCCGGGTAGAAAATTTGGACCCGTCCCAGCCCTAGTAATCCATCAAATGACAAAGATGTGAGAATGAATACCCAGAATCCTGCTGAAAAAAAAAATGAAAAAGGTCATAGAGTGTATGTTGTTATTGTCACCTTTTCTTCTAGAGAAGAGAGTGTAACAGAATTTTTGGGAAATAACCGTCTTTTTCCGGTTTTTCACCATTCAAATTACTTTGTATGTGTGAGTTCCTAAATTTTCGCATTCACAGGATTGTTTCCCTCAGTTATGTAGCAGCCAATTAGCATAAAGCTGCTTGCAGTGTTAGAATTGACCCAAAGTAATATGAATGAAACTAAATGAATCAGGTGGGCTGCATTTGATGTTGCTCTCATATCAACCCCTGGATTGTCCTGTCTGGGTTGTATACTACAAGCCCTCATGTAGCTTAAATATTGCAGTTTTAACAATGAAAATAATTCAGCAGCTTTGAAAGATGTTTGAGAAAGACTCTTGAATTGTGTCTTAAGTTTTACTAGATTATACCTTGTTTTTGTGTTGTATTACATGGCCTTGTCACTTAGAAGAGTGTCTTGTCTTGTTTTATCACTGCACACCATCACTAGTTACATTGTACATGTCAAATACATGAGGTTTTTCAATCAATCTCCACAGTTGATACCATATGCATATAGGATATTTAAGTGTTAATATTTACTTCAAATGTTCTCTGTATATGCTGCTGTTCTATAATACTAGTCTTGTTTCTTTTGTTCCCTTTCGGGGCCTTTAGATGTGCAGGTTATCGTACAGTTTTTATGTTGATTCTGTGAGAAAATCAGTACCAATATAAATATGTTCTGAACTCTAGTCTAAGGACAATGAACTTTATATCTAAGTCTATAATAATATATAATGATAATGACAATGCTGCTAACTGAATATATTGAATTCTTATTTCTGTCTTCTCTCCATATTTCAGCACCAACACCCGGTAAGCAAAATAGTTATATATATTTCTGATTTTTTGTTAATATTCCTACTATTCTTTGAAAAATAAAGGTTTTCAAATTTCATTTGAAAAACAAATAATGTAAAATATGTATGCAATTTGTAATCATAATTTTGTGTAAATACTTTGATGTAATTTTAATTGACATATTATCTTGTCATAATTATTGCGATAACATCAGAAAAGATAAATGTGTAAATATGTATCTCTTCTGAAATTCATTTGAAGCACTATTCTTCATGGCACAAGCACTTTCACCTATGCAAACTTGCTACATATTCATCATCATCATCATCATCATCATCATCATCATCATTCATGTCCCATAAGTGCTTTTTGTGTCCTTGGCACTAAAAACAATTTTGTATTCCATTCCTCATCAACAAGCATATTTGCTTACATGTATTTTTTCTTCAGAAAATGTGTTTTTCTCTTGTAAATGCTATATATTGCTCTGTTTGCCTGTGCATGATATGTTTCTCAATGTTTCCTAAATGTATTATATATATGTTCTGTGTTTAACCCCCTGTGCTTATTTAGTTGTACTGTAGTATGATTAGATAACAATGGCTTTAATTAAAAATTACCTCGCCAAATGCAAAATAAATTTGCCATGCCTGAATGGCTTCACTGAATTATTGATTGATTGATTTAATTAACTTGGCTAGTTGACATCTTAGTGAGGAAAGGTGTCTGTCTAATATATGATTGTTTCATGGTATGCTAGAAAAATACCTTTAATCATTATTGACTGCTATTCTTGGAACATAGACAGCATGTGCTTGATTATTGTACATGCATGGTAAAACACTTATATTCTATATATTACATAAATTAGGCTTTATTAAATCAGTTATGTTGCATCAGAAATGCCTACATATTAAATGTCAAGAAGATATGATCTAAAACTTACATTGTGATAGCCAACTTTAAATTTGTGAAAAAAAGGTGAGGTAAATTTCCAAAATAGGTTGAAAGAACAAATGCCTACATATTTAGTGTGAGGAAGATTTGGTCTAGAAAACATGTTAGGGTAGCCAACTTTAAATTTCCTACAAAAATCAAGAGGTAAAATTTGAAATAAGATTGAAAAGAAAAATGGCTTTTCTGTATTTCAATTAAAATATAGAATCAAAATAGATCCTTTTAAATTGATATAGTGGCTAATGTAGCTCCTTAATTCCTATAAAATGTATTTGGATAGGGATGCAAATTGGAAACCGTGACCTGTAAAATGTATATGAAAACATATAAAACAGAGATGAAAATATGACACAGATGTCAATTTAGACATTAAATTATAGAGCCATCATTCCTTAAGGTTTTGTTTTCAATTGTACATACAGTGTATTCCTTGCACTTTCTGTCTCTGACTACCTGAGAACTCATCTGCCAGTTTGACTAATGACAGCCACACATAAAATATAACCTCCTTAAGGCAGGGGAAAGAACTATACCAACAACTCTGCTCAAAAATGGAACCACTCGTATGGCATCTAGGGATGCTCATCTGTTTCATGACCATCTACAGTAACTGTAACCACACTCTTAGTTTGTTTGTGAATGTGTGAATTTCAAAATCATGATTACACCTTAATATGAAAAAGAATTATGTGCCTTTCTGAGAACAGTGTTATACTTTAGACAACTGCTGTCATAATTCACTGTCTAGATCAAATTAGTAGGTAAGAACTATATTTTTGTTACCAGTACCAAACATAATATGAAACATTTAGTGAAAATGTATTCAAGTCTGATGATACATGAAAGTTTCAGTTATTTTTACCCTGTATGACGTACTTGTATGACACTAATAAGAAAACAATGCTTGCTATATGTACCTTCTGTGTATTGGAGGACTTGCTATTTTAACTATTGTAGCTGGTAAATTGAGTTACATGTCTAGTATGTAGGCACGCATGCTTTAATGTTCCTGTTTTGTGTTGTTTATGTCCATTTGTCTTTCCACTTAGCCTCTTAATAGGTAAGTCACATTTATTTAGCAAACATTTAATTAGATAACTTTGAAAAAATCATGTGTTAAGCAGTAATTAATATGAAGTAAATATAGCAGAGATTTTATTGAGTCGTGTATTGGAAATGACCAAATTGGCTGTAGTTTCCTGAACTGCAATGTTAGTATTTCCCTTGATGGACCAGAGTCTGGATTCAAAGGCACTGTCTTGTCCTTTATTCTGATGGGAAATTTGTTGTAGATCCTGTGGAAAAACCGATCATTGGCCCAGATGGAAGACCAATAGTAGGTCCAGATGGGAAGCCAGTATTAGTTGGACCAGATGAAAGTGTAGTTCTTGGTTCTGATGGTCATCCTATGATAGGTCCAGAGGGAATGCCAATCATTTTAGGCCCAGATGAAAGTGTAGTTCTTGGATCTGATGGCCAGACCTTAGTTGATCCAGATGGATTGCCAGTTATTATAGGACCTGGTGAAAGACCACTTCTTACCCCTGATGGTACACCTTATATCGACCCAAGTGGCAATCCAGTTATTCTTGGACCAGGTGACAGTTTAGCTGTTGGTTCAGATGGAAACCCCATTCTTGATCCAAAAGGAGCACCGATTGTGCTGGGGCCTGATGAAAGTTTAGCTAAAGGTCCAGATGGCAACCCAGTCTTTGGGCCTGATGGTGCACCAGTTGTGTTGGACCCTGGTGAAAGTTTAGCTATAGGCCATGACGGCAGGCCAGTTACTCGTCCTGATGGAACACCAGTCATTGTAGGGCCAGGTGGAAATCGTTTCACGAAAGCAGGTTAATAACTCAATTATGCAGAATTCTAATGTCCTATATTCTGGTGTCACATTTCTGATAACATACCTAAAATTGAATTGTAACACCTTCCAAGAAGGTAGACTGAAAAGAATGTCTTTCCTGATCTTGATGAGTTGATGGTTTTAAAAATATTGTGTATTTGACTTTGTGAAATGCCAAATCATGGTTCCTAGATAATTTAACACATGTTGGACAGAAAGCTAAAAAGTGGAAGAGTAAATATTAGCAAGACTCACAATGTTTATATTACAATATGACATCACAAACTTTATTAGTAATTTACATGATAGCTGGTTATTCTTAAATGAATATAAACTTACTATCTTGTGGTATGTTATCATTCGTTTGATACCTTTAAAATACTTAAATGCCAAGATGGGAAATTACAGAGGTTATTTCAATTATCCCTATGTTTGTTTTTTGTAATGTCCTGTGTATATGTGTAAATATTGTGCATGCTTTTTGTTGTCTGTACATGTGTGTCACATTGTGAACTGTGCATCTGTCAATTTAATCTATGCAACAAGGCTATTGCAAAGGGATCTTTTTGATATCTAACAATAGAAACGAATGTCATTGTCAGGATATGTGTCTTCAGTTAAGAGCTAGTAATTGTAAATACTTAGTAGAAATTTCAAATTTAAAGTGTTCACTGGAACATCATCAATTTCTTCTTTACAGAAAGACTGACAGACTCCTTACTGAAACAGTCATCAAATTATTTGGAAATATCTGTTCTCAATGTCACAAGTCAAAACATTCTTTCATGGTTCCCTATTCCAATATTGGTCATACTAATACCACTGTCATAATTGTCCAGTATTGTACCCTTTCAATTTCTGTTTCCTGTTTTTGTTTTTGTCAATGTGTTAAAACCAGTGTGTTTGTCTTTCATTTGTCCACCTGTATGTGTACTACGTGTCCGTTCATGTCTCGGTTCATCTTGTACTGTCACTTGATGTACAGCACCAACCACAACGACAACAACAACTACTACTACTACAACTACCACCACGACTACCACCAGGCCTCGTACAGGTGCACCTTATTCTTGTGGCACAGTGTTGTCATTCTAATAAGTGGCATATTCCAATTCAAAAAGCAATCAATGTTAATAGTCATACAATTCTTGTTGAAATGAGACTTGTTGAGGATGTGGCATTTAATATGTTTGTACAACTGGTGTCCCTAGCCATGATATTGCTGGAATATTGCTAAAAGAAGCATAAAACTAAACTCACTCACTTGAACAAAGTTTGAGCTTTGTCATGACTGATTCTTCAGTCTTGTCACTCAACTAAGTGTTACCTGAGGGTGTCTGGGTGTTATACCCTTCTCCCTAGGCAATCTGTCTATCCACTCTTGTTCTGGCGATGATGTAGCTAAGATGGATATTCAAAGATAAGTCCAGTATGGTGTTTAAGTCCTGTTTATTGTTGGCAAGAATTCTCACACAAAGGTCCTCTGATATTGCCTAGTTTTCCTGGTCTACACACAGCACTGATTCACAAATCTCCTGGAAGAACTTGTTGATTCCTTGAACAACTCCTAATGCTATAAGTTCATCTGAGCCATTCGCTCAATATTCAGAGAGAACCTCTCAAGTCAACGGTGGGGCCCAGAATCGCGCACCACTTTTCCAGTCAACTAACAAAATAGTCCTCCTGACAATTTTGGCTCCTCCCCCTGAAATAATGTCCTATATCATATAAAAATGACTCATATTCCAGCTGCAATACTGATTACTATTATTTCCTCTCTTCCAAGACTTAATCGGTACCATCAAATTCTTCCATTATAAATTTACTTCGTTAGTGAGCTTAAGTCATTTGTGAAGCATTTTCAACCGAATAAAACTTCAGACTGGCAGGCGCCAGAAGATGCTTAATCGAATCATTACGTGTGTCCCTTTTCTGATTCTTAGTATCTTAAATACCAGTAATTTCGTAAATGGTATATGAGTCACCCGATCCACATGTTCCACTCATCTCCCTTATTAGATTTGTTGTATGCAAGGGAAATGAATCGATATGAATTTGGTTACTCTGGTAAATGCACTTTCCAAACACAATGACACTTCTTAACTGAACTTCAAAGTTTCCTTAAATATTGACCAAAGGTATTCTAAGTTTTATAAGACCCATTTGAGACACTTATTGGAATGATCACACTATAATGTTTTTATGTTGTAGTAACAGTCATCATTGTCATCATCATCATTGAAGTCTTCTTTCCTGTTTCTCTGCTGTCATAAACTGTACACATGCACCTCCTTTAACGTGATTAGAAGGCACACCTTTGTGGATATAGCTTTTCTGTAACAGCTGAGATACATACATACTGTTTCATCTAGGTACTCAGCTTAACAATGTTTTGCTGACCTTCTCTCAGGCTTGTTCCGAAGACCTTTATCTTACTAGATATCTACCTTTATGGAAAACAAAATATCTGTCCCTAGTTGTCTGAGCCTGCTTGCATTAAACATACTCTCCATTCATTGAATATGTACTTATATAATTCATAAATAAACTTGGATTGTAGTCATTCCAAATCTCTTGTAGCCCATGTAACATGTATGTACAAACTTGTGCTTGTAATTCCACAATTCAACAATTCTTTCAGATAGTGTAATATGACATTAGTGGTCCCTGAAAGAGCAAAAACACATCCATTATTATTGTGACTCAAGAGTTCTATAATTTATTGACAAATTTATTCCTTTAGACCAGGCACAACAAGTATGTATGAGAACACATGGAAGTACTATACACAACCAAATTGAAGACAAATTCTTCACTGAGAATTAAATATGACTAATTCATAAACATGCATATTAACATTGAAAAGCACTGCACACTCCGAATATCTTCACATAGTTACATACTAGTATATATATATGGGGTGAGGTTTTCATGTTAACAGTTTCATTCATCTCACTCTATTTCATATCAGTGTCTCTGTCTCCTATATCCTTTCTCATAACTGTCCTCCTTCTCGTGTCATATCGTCACATCATCACATGTTATAAAGATATATTTATTTCAGGAATGTTGACCAGGTCCCAGTCATTTTGTATAGTACTGTGATCTTTTATGTTGTATTCATTGCAATTCCACCTATTCTGTCATTTTAGGATACTCTGACACAGGCTATGATGTTATATTTATGCTGGATGGTTCAGTCAATAATAGATATTTTGGATGGATGCAAAATTTCGCGAGAAACTTCGCGTCTCAAATGAGTATTGACAACGGTATTTGGCGCGTGGGTGGAATGACATTCTCCTCCAGTGGACCAAGTCTCGGTTTTAACTTGAATGAATATGGATGGCAGAGTGATGTGATTAATGCACTTGGTAACTCCATGAACAACAGGCCTGGCGGCAGACCAGACCTAGCTCAAGGTATTGACTATGTACGCTCAAACATGTTCACTGGGCGCAATGGTGACAGACCCAATGCCCGCAACTATGTCGTAATAATGACAGCCAATGAGGAAAGTCTGAACCAAGGTCAGACTTTGGGTGCTGCCAATAGACTGAAGAATGACTTGGCGGGTATATACACAGTTGGTATTAACCTTGGTGACACGTATGAGTTGGATTCTATTACCACCCGACCCATTAATGAACATCAGTGGCTTATCAACGATGAGAGTGATTTCAACGGACTGGCTGGAATCATGGGCACTTACATGGAGAGAGGTAAAAGACCAAGTTTTGTATGGATAACCCCTAATGAAAAACAAGTCACTTTTGATGATCAGCGACATTGGATATTAAGCTGGTCCAAGTTTACATGACTAATAATGACTATCTACAAATAATGACTGGACCAAATTCATTTTGTAAAAATTGTTTCATACATTAACAGAAAGATTTATATGTTCATCTGGATCAGTAGGAATACAAGATGCCATGAACTTTGTGTCAAGGTGCTATTACATCAGTTATTGGAGGATAACTTTGGAAATTGTTGTAATGTTTCAGCACCACCTGTCACAAGGGCTCCCGCAACACCTGCTCCAACTCCAGGTTCAGTTTATATCTTTTATCTTTTGTTTTTCCCTTTGGAACTTACAGGTCTGGAACACTGCCAGTTGTAAAATCATTATTACGTAGTAAACATGTAGATGTTAATTCTAACTCTTGAGTCACATATTTTCAGACTTCTGTTTGATTTGTAATGGTCATATGTGCATCCCTTTTGGTATCATTTAAGCTATTGAGAAACATAGAGGTTCAATTGTTCCAGACAAATAAGATCCTTCATATTCTAATTCAGTATTTGTTTCATTTCTGTCATTGTCGTGAACATGTCATCTGGTGTGATCTGTTTTTTATGTTATCTATGTTAGTTTCAGGTAAGTAAAGTGTGTCTGTTGGTTATGATCATGGGTCAAATATGCTGTATGTTGCAACAAAGCAAACATTGATGATATGTCAAAGTACAAAACATATAGCAAGATGTGTTAATTTGATTTATAATTTAATCAGCTAACACTGGTTTTTCATTTAGCACTATCTGCTGTAAGTACAATGCAATAAAGTAGTATAATTGTCTTTGTCTGTTGTTTGTTTTTAGACAAGAGTATCATGTATTGCCCCTTGTGTCATCTTCATCATCATCATCTTCATCATCAGATAACAAAGTTTATTACATGGTGTACTTAACTCACCATTGTTTATCAAAGGTTTTGCATGAGCACTCAGAAAATGTCATCTGGCAAGGATTGTCAAGAGAACTTCCCCTTCACCAGTGCACTTCCTCAGATGCATGTATTTCTGTGAAGACAGAAGCTATTTTCACTTTTCATTTAGCTTCATTTTGATGGATGCATCACATGTCAAGCCACATTTTGATCCAAGTAGCACATGTCAAGCCACATTTTGATCCAAGTAGCACATGTCAAGCCACATCTTGATGCATGTATCACACGATGTGACAGAAGTATTTCACTGTGTGTTGTACTGCACACTGCTACTGTCATATTGGCATCAGATAGACAGTTTTTCCTACAGACTACAACAGTTTATCGTTTTCACTTACTGTTTTGTAGCCTACAGTGAGACAGGTTATGACATCATCTTCATGTTTGATGGGACCTCAAACTCAGATCAGTTTAGCTGGATGAAAGGATTTGCCAGCTCATTTGTTACTGAGATGGCTGTAGACTCTGGAGAGTTCAGGTTTGGGGCAGTTGTTTATGGAAGAGATCAGAAATTGATGTTCAACCTAAACACATATGGATTTAGTAAGGATTTGAAGGAAGCTGTTTCATCAAGAATAAATCCAACCCCTGGAGGTAAAGCGGACCTGGCAGGTGCCTTTGACTTTGTTCGGCAAAACATGTTTACAGCTGCTAATGGTGACCGTCCCAAAGCTCGCAACTTTGTTGTTATGATGACCTCTAATGACAAGAGTCTGAACACTGAAGCTGCTGTTGGAGGTTCTCGTCGGCTGCAGAATGAAGGTGTTGGTATCTATTCAGTCGGCATAAAATTAAAGGATACAACAGAGCTGGACAGGGTGACCACACCTCCACTTGATGAGTATCAGACACTTGTTGATGAGGAATCGCAGTTGGGAGAACTGCCCGGGATTATGTCATACTACATGTCAGAAGGTGTGTGAAACACTTCAGTTATTTAATATCTAATGCTATATTCCATCATCATGAATAAGCACTTCAGATATTAGCATAAAATTGCAGTATCCAAAACATCCAATAAACTTCATTAACATTCATCATGCTGAAAATGAATGATGTTTTTAATCCTCAGCTCAGCCTGTTACACCAGAACCAACCACTCCAGCTCCAACTCCAGGTGCGAGACAAAAATATTTTCACTGTGCACCATTTTTCTACTTGCTCACGTTTGATGACCTGACACAACTTCTCTGTTGCATCGTTTGACTGCTCTTCTCAGTTTGGATAAAAACGTACAGCCAAAAGGGAGATTATCTGTCCCACAATGTCTTGCTCATGCTCACTTATCTAGGGCAGTGGGGTTTATCAGAGGATAAACTCTTGGTCAGTCACAGTGGGTTCACAGATGGGTTCATTCCCCAAATGGGCAAAATATGCATACTTTGTCTCAAGTGTGGTATGCAGCTGATAAATGAAACTCACTGATTCAATGTAAATTCTCTCACTTTGCGTGATGTCTGCACTTCTCTGAAAACAGTGTATCTTTCATCCCACTTCTGGTTTAGTATCAAACTGCTATGCATGTGCTGATCAGTTGTGATGACAGTGAGCTTGTCAACCACACTGAAATAATAATGAAAACTAGCTGTAATCATAAGAAGTATCTGCTAAGAGCAGATTCCATTGTATGATTCTAAATGTGTAATCACATTTTATCCACAAATTTCAATATTAAAAACCTTGTGTAAAAAACATCCTTCATCCCAATCTTGGGCATTTCCGTATCTTGTTATGAAAGAATTTTTCGTGTCTTATCTTTCATTTACAGATTCTTTGCTTGTGGTATTCTTTGTTGTTCACATCTTACATTCTCTAAGTGGTTTTTAGCCAAGACTACAAAACTTCACTTATAAATGTCTATTATTGATTCATGGGCATATTTCTACATTCACCACAAAACATTAATGCTGATGTTGATTCTTTTAGGATACAGCGAGACAGGATATGATGTTGTCTTTATGTTTGATGGAACGGCCAGTGACAAACACTTCAGCTGGATGAAAGGCTTTGCCACCAACTTTGCTTCTCAGATGGACATTGATTCTGGTTTGTTCCGAGTTGGAGCAATGACTTTTACACAAGGTCAGAGCCTTGCTTTCCATTTGAATGCAAATGGATTCCAATCAGAAGTGATGTCAGCCCTTCAGTCCAAACCAGTGAACAGCCCAGGTGGAGTACCAGATGTTGGCACAGCATTTGATGTAGTTCGCGAAAATATGTTTACAGCAGCTAATGGAGATCGTCCAAAAGCAAGAGACTTCATTGTTCTAATGACAGACAAGGAAAGAAGTCAAGATACAGCTGCAGCTCAAGCTGCTTTTGGCAGATTGCAAGAGGCAGGTGTTGGTGTCTTCACAGTAGGTATGGAACTTGGCAATACAGATGAACTGGACTCCATCACTACACCTCTTGTGGATGATTTTCAGCATCTCATTTCCCAAGAGGGAGAACTTTCAGAACTTCCAGGCTTCATATCTTATCAAATGGAAGCAGGTGTGTGCATGACTATTTCTGGGTAACATAACTCCAATACAACAGTTAATACATTGAATGGGGCGGTGGGGTAGCCTAGTGGTTAAAGCGTTGGCTCGTCACGCCGAAGACCCGGGTTCGATTCCCCACATGGGCACAATGTGTTAAGCCCATTTCTGGTGTCCCCCGCCGTGATATTGCTGGAATATTGCTAAAAGTGGCGTAAAACCAAACTCAGTCAGTCAGTAATACATTGAATATCCTGACATATTCTCATTCTGTAAACCCAGTTATGCAATTGTCTTTGAATTTTCTTAATATCAGAGTCAATGATCTGGTTTCCAGAATTTATACTGATAACTCTATCTAAAACTGAACCATCAATGATTCACAACCTCTGCAAATTGTGTGAATTTCCTATTTACAGCTGATCCTGTGACACCTTTACCAACTACACCAGCTCCAACAGCAGGTTTGGAAGTTGATGGCATCCCTCACTATGCATTCACTTCTGTCATTCCTATCACAACTGAGCACTTCCCATTGACTCTTTATTCACTGCTGTTCCAATCATATGTATGGTCTTTTCCGATGCTGATAAATGGTGCATCCACCATTGGTTATCTAGCTCAGCTCTCCAGCATGGGCACCTTTGTTGTGTTTGGTTTCAAGTAAACTTTACAACTTTGTTGTGGAGGTGCATGTTTATTTTCTATAGCCTTTTGGTTTCATATTAGAATATGGGTGGTTTATACAGATGAATATCCAAATGACTCTATTTTTTTCGTATCTCTCAAATGCAACCAACCTTATGTATAGCACCAAGATCTGGCATTTTTCTCTTGCTGGCATTCATGTCCTTCCAAACAGTCAAAGGGAATGCAGGTCTACAGCATGTCCACTGATAAATATGAGTGATTTCTTATCAAGGTCTCAAACAGAACACCTGTCTGCACTTAGTTTCTGTCATTTACAGAAGAATGTTTCCTGGATATGTTCTGAATAAATATAAAAAGTTCTTCAAATTTCATTCCCTTCTTAACTGAACATCACAAGCAATCATCATAAATACTAGAATCACATTTTGAGCGGTACTTCTTTAGTATCATTAATAATGCTTATTTAACACTTGTAGGATACAGCGAGACAGGATATGATGTTGTCTTTATGTTTGATGGAACGGCCAGTGACAAACACTTCGGCTGGATGAAAAGCTTTGCCTCCAACTTTGCTTCTCAGATGGACATTGATTCTGGTTTGTTCCGAGTTGGAGCAATGATGTTTACACAAGGTCAGAGCCTTGCTTTCCATTTGAATGCAAATGGATTCCAATCAGAAGTGATGTCAGCCCTTCAGTCCAAACCAGTGAACAGCCCAGGTGGAGTACCAGATGTTGGCACAGCATTTGATGTAGTTCGCGAAAATATGTTTACAACAGCTAATGGAGATCGTCCAAAAGCAAGAGACTTCATTGTTCTAATGACAGACAAGGAAAGAAGTCAAGATACAGCTGCAGCTCAAGCTGCTTTTGGCAGATTGCAAGAGGCAGGTGTTGGTGTCTTCACAGTAGGTATGGAACTTGGCAATACAGATGAACTGGACTCCATCACTACACCTCTTGTGGATGATTTTCAGCATCTCATTTCCCAAGAGGGAGAACTTTCAGAACTTCCAGGCATCATATCATATCAAATGGAAGCAGGTGTGTGCATGACTATTTCTGGGTAACATAAATCCTATACAACAGTTAATACATTGAATATCCTGACATGTTCTCATTCTGTAAACCCAGTTATGCAATTGTCTTTGAATTATCTTAATATCAGAGTCAATGATCTGGTTTCCAGAATTTATACTGATAACTCTATCTAACACGGAACCATCAATGATTCACAACCTCTGCAAAATTGTGTGAATCTCCTGTTTACAGCTGATCCTGTGACACCTCTGCCAACTACACCAGCTCCAACAGCAGGTTTGGAAGTTGATGGCATCCCTCACTATGCATTCACTTCTGTCATTCCTATCACAACTGAACACTTCCCATTGACTCTTTATTCACTGCTGTTCCAATCATATGTATGGTCTTCTCCAGTGCTGATAAATGGTGCACCAACCATTGGTTATCTAGCTCAGCTCTCCAGCATGGGCACCTTTGTTGTGTTTGGTTTCAAGTAAACTTTTCAACTTTGTTGTGAAGGTGCATGTTTGTTTGCTATAGCCTTTGGTTTCATTTTAGCATCTGGCTTATGTATATTGATAACTATCCAAATGACTCATCTTTTTTGTTATCCTTCAAATGCAACCAATCTTATGTATGGCACCAAGATCTGGCGTTTTTCTCTTGCTGGCATTCATGTCCTTCCAAACTGTCAAAGGGAATTGGCATGTCCACTGATAAATATGAGTGATTTCTTATCAAGATCTCAAACAGAACACCTGTCTGCACTTAGTTTCTGTCATTTACAGAAGAATGTTTCCTGGATATGTTCTGAATAAATATAAAAAGTTCTTCAAATTTCATTCCCTTCTTAACTGAACATCACAAGCAATCACCATAAATACTAGAATCACATTTTGAGCGGTACTTCTTTAGTATCATTAATAATGCTGATTTAACACTTGTAGGATACAGCGAGACAGGATATGATGTTGTCTTTATGTTTGATGGAACGGCCAGTGACAAACACTTCGGCTGGATGAAAAGCTTTGCCTCCAACTTTGCTTCTCAGATGGACATTGATTCTGGTTTGTTCCGAGTTGGAGCAATGACGTTTACACAAGGTCAGAGCCTTGCTTTCCATTTGAATGCAAATGGATTCCAATCAGAAGTGATGTCAGCCCTTCAGTCCAAACCAGTGAACAGCCCAGGTGGAGTACCAGATGTTGGCACAGCATTTGATGTAGTTCGCGAAAATATGTTTACAGCAGCTAATGGAGATCGTCCAAAAGCAAGAGACTTCATTGTTCTAATGACAGACAAGGAAAGAAGTCAAGATACAGCTGCAGCTCAAGCTGCTTTTGGCAGATTGCAAGAGGCAGGTGTTGGTGTCTTCACAGTAGGTATGGAACTTGGCAATACAGATGAACTGGACTCCATCACTACACCTCTTGTGGATGATTTTCAGCATCTCATTTCCCAAGAGGGAGAACTTTCAGAACTTCCAGGCATCATATCATATCAAATGGAAGCAGGTGGGTGACCAAGAATACTACCACTTAATTAACATAGAATGGGATATTACTTAAATAGTCAAGAGCACTTTATGGATATACACTCACAAAATGGTAAATCGTATTGCTAATCTGGATGAATTGTTCAGGTGAGCATTTGTTTTGCTTCTGTCTGTTCATCTGTCAGTCTTCTACTGGCAGGGGCAGTGGGGTAGTCTTGTGGTTAAAGTGTTCGCTCATCACGCCGAAGACCTGTGTTCGATTCCCCACATGGGTATAATGTACCGGGTATGAAGCCCATTTCTGTCAATATCACCCGCCGTGATATTGCAAGAACATTGCTAAAAGTGATGTAAAACCATAATCACTCACTCACTCATTTCGTTGTGAATTTTTCTTATTAGTAAGTGTGTGAATTTAAAAAGAAAGGTGAGCTACAGAGCCTCTAACATCTACAGTTGTGGTGACCAATCTCCCTAGGAAACTACTTGCAGATGTTAGTTCAAACCATTCAAAAATATTAACCTCAAGTTACTATTTCTACCACTATCCTTCTTACAGCTGATCCAGTGACACCCGTACCAACAACACCAGGTCCAACTCCAGGTCTGATGTTTACCTCATAATCTTCAATTCACATCGCAGTTGCACTCATGCACTGAGAACAATTTCACATTTCAGACCTTTTCATCACCAGCACTCCATGCACCTTCATGCTATGCTGTTAAGAGATTTGTTTGTTTCTTGACAAAGTTCCTTTTCTGTATAATTTCAAACTTGCATACTTTTGGGTAATGATATGCATCATGTTGGAAGGTTTCACTTTGTTCTTTTCAAAGATGGCATACAATATATATAGCCCATTTTTGTTGTGGCACACAAACCAACCATATCATACTCACTCAACCAGCCAAGTTTTTTAACCTTGAATGGTTCAAATGTTGACAAAATAAGGCTTCAAAATCAAATGTTGAGTACCTATAACCTATAATTTTGTCAACAACTAAGATGTTCTTTTAGTCCTTGTATGTGTTTCATACCAGTGTTCAACTGCTCTTGTCTGGAAGGATCTCCCAACAGATCTGAAGCTTCATTGGCATAATGATGTAATCAGTGCCCAGGCTGATACGCACATGAACTGCCAGAATGGATTGATCACCTAGAACATCACAGCCTTGGAATGAATGTTCAAGTGTCACTGTTCACACAAGCACTATCACATCAGCACTTTCATGTTCTGTAAATGTTAGCAAAGCACATGTCTAAGAAATGCACTGCAGGTCAAGTCGAAGTTGCCATTACTATGAGCATGAAAAGTTCATCAGTACTAGATATACATGGTATGAAACTGATTTCAGTTTTTCACTTACTTGTTTGTTTCAGTAGTTCATTGAAACAAAATTCCTACATTCATTTGCCAGTGATGAGTTGATATATGTTGTGAGTCCTTCTGGATCAGATCGATTCGTACTAGATCTTCAATTGATTACTTGAAAGAGCACTATGTTTATAGTTGATAGTTCAATTTGTCTTTGATGTCATTGAATTCGTCAAGTTGACTTGTGGCCAACTGGAATATCACCTAGGAAGTACTGACACTGCTGTCCCGGGAGAGCATCTTTTACTGTTTCTTCAAAAGGAAGATTAACAGATTTTGTCATCGTTTTGTGAATTTCAGAAATCTACATGCATAAATTATTTTCATGAATTGGCAGTCTTCATTTTCGACATGAAGACATTTTGTAAAGCCCTTTAATAATGTGCTAAGGCAGAACCAAGATGCTTGCTCATCATTGTAGAAAGATGATGGCGTAGCATTGACATCAAGACAGTATCACAGCATGTGCTTGACTTCATTCATTTGTCTAACACATGACTTTGACAAGTGTTGATGAGTTAATGAGTTGAGGCTTATTCTAATGGAAAGGCCACATATACTTAGATCAGATCAAATGAAGTGGGATGTGAAATATGTCTGTATCTTTGAGTAAATAGGTATATGAATATTGTAAATCAAGATTAGGTAAGACAATTATAAAAGTCACTGTTTTGTGGATTGTCACCCAAAATTAACTAACATCACATGGTCATCTTTGAAAAGAAACCAAAAAGTACTGACTACATAGGGCTTATGAGATACCCTGGGTTTAATGGGTATCAAGACAGATATTATTGTTATTTTGAACTCTTCTGCTAAAATAATGTTTTGTTTGAAATGTTTGAAATTATGTATATTTATAGTTATATGTTCAGGTATTCTCAGTCATTGTCAAGACTTGACATGAATCTGTTTCATTACTTCATTTTTGCTGTTTGTTAATGGATTTTAGGCTACAGTGATACAGGCTTTGACATCATCTTCATGTTTGATGGAACTGTCAACAACAGATACTTTGGATGGATGCAGAACTTTGCTCGTAACTTTGCTTCACAAATGGATATTGATTCTGGGGAGTTCCGAGTTGGAGCCATGACCTTCAACAGAGGGCAAAACCTAGCTTTCTATCTGAATGACAATGGTTGGCAATCAGAAGTTATTGGAGCCTTTGGATCCAAAACCAGGAACACTCCAGGTGGAAAACCAGATTTGGCTGGAGCCTTTGACTATGTCAGAAACAACATGTTCACTGATCGTAGAGGGGATCGTCCCAATGCTCGCAACTTTGTAATAATGATGACAGCCAATGAGGAGAGTTTGAACAGTGGCGCTGCCATTGGTGCCTCTCAGCGACTCCAGAGTCAGGGAACTGGAATCTTTACCATTGGTTTCAACCTGGGTAACACAGATGAGCTAGATGCAGTAACAACTCATCCACTAGATCAGTATCAGTATCTCATCAATGAGGAAAGTGGACTTCAGGAACTGCCAGGGATCATCGGCTACCAGTTTTCAAATGGTGTGTTTGCACAATCCAGACTCATTAAAAATGAGTTGTTTTTTCTTTGTAAAGGAATAAATCCATTTTGTTACATAATTGTGATAATATATAACTAAAATCTCTTATCTTTGATTTCATCTCAAAATGTTAATACTTCTGTTCCCTGAAATATTAGAGGAATTTCTGTTGAACAGTTGCAATAATCAACCTTGTTTCACAGAAAATAATACTTCAAAATAACAGTTTGGATTATTTGCCTGGTACATTTTGTTGACCAGATAGTGTTATGTTTTGTCTACAGCTTATCCTGTGACATTGCCACCAACAACTACACCACGACCAACAGGTTGATTTTTATATTCATCTTGATGTGCCAATATTTCCTCTGCACATCTGATGTCATGCTCCCTCTTCTACTCCCTGTCACCCTCATGCACAGAACCAACATCTGTAGTCTATTAGAAATGTAATAGTTCCTTTACCCAAGATGATAGAATTTCAAAGTAGAATTTTGTCCATGGAAATTATCGGACAGTTATCAGGCCTTAACAATCTGTAGTTGCTAAGACTTTTCTTGCATTTGTCATTTTTTGTGACTGGATTACAGAAGCAATTCATGACAGTCTGTAAGAACTTCATAATATGTTTTTTCCCAACAAATGAAATGCATTACATTCAAATGTATGCTGACTGTTACTCAATAGTACTGGTAGTCATTTCCTCATTCAATCACTTTGAAAATGGAGATTCAAAGATTTGCTGAATGCTTTCTCCCTTTTGTATGTCAGCACATACTGTCTATTTTCCTCTCTATTTTGCTCAGCCAACAAACCCCTCTTTACCCTGGGTAAAACCTTAAATCTTTGTTTGGACACCAATGTCAATGTCATCACTTAGCCCTCCCTGGATTCACACTTCCTTATGTTTCACTCTTGAATATTTTCGCTACATTTTCTGCTTTTCTACCTATCTTGCTTCATGTTCTCTTCAATGCTTTGTCTCTTCTACATTCTTAGCTGGCATATGTTCTTATTTTCCATCTGCCACAGTCAATACCACACCAAACTCTCTTCTTATTTCCCTACTGTGCTTGAAGCTTGAATGGTGTCTAGGTCTAGACCCCTGTATGTAGAACCAGCACTTTGGACCACATAAATGTGTTATCCTTGTGACTATAGAAACACATGAGACTCCCCAAGCATCTGCACATTGCATGCTTTGACAAAAGATGTACAAGAAAATAATTCATAAAATTATTTTGTTTAAATCTCATTGTTCTTAATTTTTTAACTTGTGCGCAAATTTTGTTTGTACCATTTTGTTCTCAACCAATATTTTTTTCAGATTTGTATATAAGCATGATAGATTAAGGATATGTGTATGTTGTAGTGAAAGTCTTGTGTTGTCTGTAATGGGTTATTGTGTTGTCTCTGTGAGGCTTGTGGAATATAGATACCGGCAATATAGTGAATGTTTTCAAAACAATTTGTAGCTTACAGTGATACAGGCTATGACATCATCTTCATGTTTGATGGAACTGTCAACAACAGATACTTTGGATGGATGCAGAACTTTGCTCACAACTTTGCTTCACAAATGGATATTGATTCTGGAGAGTTCCGAGTTGGAGCCATGACCTTCAACAGAGGGCAAAATCTTGTATTTAATCTGAATGACAATGGTTGGCAATCAGAAGTTATGCAAGGTCTCAAATCCAAAACCAGGAACACTCCAGGAGGAAAGCCAGATTTGGCTGGAGCCTTTGACTATGTCAGAAACAACATGTTCACTAATCGTAGAGGGGATCGCCCTAATGCTCGTAACTTTGTAATAATGATGACAGCCAATGAGGAGAGTTTGAACAGTGGTGCTGCCATTGGTGCCTCTCAGCGACTCCAGAATGAGGGAACTGGAATCTTTACAATTGGTTTCAACCTGGGAAACACCGATGAGCTAGATGCAGTAACAACTCATCCACTAGATCAGTATCAGTATCTCATTAATGAGGAAAGTGGACTTCAGGAACTGCCAGGGATCATCGGCTACCACTTTTCAAATGGTGTGTTTGCACAATCAGACCTCATACAATTTGAATATATATATAATTTTTGGTTTGCATATTTGTGTATAACCTTGAGGAAATGCTGAAAAGAAAACCTTTTTTAATTCATAAGTGGATCTGGAAAGAAAGTTACATTCAAGCTCTTTTAGACCTTGAGTCCTAAATATAGAGTCCTTTTCAAAATATGAGAACAAACGATAATTAGAAAATATGAGAAAACTAATTGATAACTAGAAAATATGCTCTCCCTTCAGCTGCTCCTGTGACACTGCCACCACCCACTACTCCAAGACCAACAGGTTTACACTAGTCATTGTGAAATTTCATAGTCTTTCCAAGAATATCAACAGTTTCCCCAATCAAGTCATTCCATAGTTATAGTCCTACCATTGTCAACTCCACAACTTCCCATACCTTCTCCATAGTGTCTTGAATCCCAAGTCAACCTCTCTTGTTCTTTATCATTAGTGTAATTTCTGTTTCCAACTATGATTCTAGTCTCTCATTCTGCACTTTCCATACTCCCTCCTTTCAAGAAAGCAGACAACATTTGCTGTTGCTGTTGCTTTCTAAGGTTGGATTTCAAACATTAAGCAAACTTTCTTTTAAAATATCATCAACATATAGAATCATGTTCACCTATGTACAAGCTATCAGAAATATGATTTTAAAGAAGTGGAAAAAGTAAAGTAATGTTTGTCCCCATTGTAAGAGTTACAATTCAGCAATATTTTGATATTTTCTCAGTTGAATTCAGCAGGAGTTTCAGTCATTATATTTTTTGCTTTAGCCTTGTTCTGTTGGCCTTTATCCTTTCCTTGTGTCCCATTCTTTACATTTCTCTCAATTTCATCATTCATTTTCAATAGCTTTAGTTACAACACCACCACACATGTAGCAAGATTTGATAGACAAGTAGAAAATTATGGAATCCCTAGCAGTTCCAGAGATGGAGTGACCCTTTGTAGACTGAAGTACAGAATGAATGCAAAATTAGATGTCTTGCCTAGCTCATCAAGAAAACAGACCTCAGGGATCCAGGAATGTGAGAACTGGACACTGAGAAGATTGACCAGGAGTTCCTCAAGATTCTCCATGAGCATGTTTTTCAGAACTACATTCTCCCTGCATGATGAATCCAACATCGTTGTTGTGTTTTGTGCCTCTTAGAATTTATGTTCCTATTACATTTATTGAAGTCAAGATTGTTGAACTTTTGTTTTATTTTAATTGCAGTAAGATAATGTTAATTTTATTGGACATATGTTATTGTGTTTCATCCTTGTGTTGAATGTCATGTCCAGTAATGTTTGTATTCGTGTTGTTGCCCCAGTGTGCCTTGTCTCTATGATCTGTGACATTGTTCCTGTCTGTGTGAAAAGAACATCCCTTCCCAATTGAAACATTGACTTGTATATGTAATATTTCAGCAGACAGGTTTGGATATGGCTCAGTGACAAGAGTTAATATGTGATACCATATGGCTCTGTGTTAGAGACATAATGTGTGAAATGATGAACTGAGCATGGAGTTTCATTCAACAAAACAGATGACCAAGGAAACATGACAGTTTTGAAGTGACAGTTTTGAAGTAACCGTTGTGATGCTGGGTACTGCTGACGTTGAGAACATTGGGGGCACCCTTACTTTGGATACTGACCTAATTCCATATTAACATTCAGGACAAAGCACAAACATATCCTCAATATGTTTCCAAGTTTAATTCACCTTTCACCTTATTACCTTGAAAACCTTTATATCTTAGTGTCTATAAGTGTTTATACAATTAGTTTCTTGATAATCTCACTATATGATTTGGGGAGTGGTAGACTATGTTCATATATTCAGTATCATTATAGCTTCTGACAAGGAAGGATATGACATCATCTTCATGATGGATGAAACAACAAGGTTGCCACACTTTAACTGGATCCATGAATTTGTGAAAATGTTTGTATCTTCCCTGGACATAGAATCAGGGGAATACAGAGTGGGGGCTATGGCATTCAGCCAAAAACCCAACACCATTGTGGATCTTGATGAATACATGGAACAGCAGCAGGTCCTGGATATCATAGATGACAAGTTCATCAATCTGCCAAGAGTGTCACCATCAAATGTTGCTCAGGCCTTTCACCATGTCCACACAAATATGTTCATCCCTCAAGCAGGGGATAGACCAAAAGCTTCAAACTTTGTCGTGCTACTGACAGACAGTCACGAAAGTGTTCACACAGAGGAAAGCATTTCTGCTGCTCAGAGTTTGAAGGATACAGGGGTAGGGGTGTATTCAGTAGGCATCAAACTAAATGACACATATGAGCTTGACGCTATATCCTCCAAACCACTGGATGAGTTTCAGTACCTGATACAAGAGAAACAGGAACTAGAGAACCTTACGCAACTGATCCAGCAAAGAATAAAAGAGGGTAGGTGAAACAGGGCTGGGGAGGAGAACTATTGCTAGCTGTGAGAGTTTTCAGCAGTTATATAAACTACTTTGGCCTTGTCTTGTAGGTAGTTACTTCATTAAATAGGCATACCTAGGAAAACTACATGAACAAATTCCACAAATCTATCTTAATCAGACTGTATATGCTAAGACTGAATATTACATAGGCTAGTCATACTGAATAATCTGGTGGATAATTGAAGTCGATAATATAATATGATGTACATCATGTTTATTCATAGAAAATCAAATTAGTTTGTCATTTTAGATTTAGTTTTCATGTTATTCCTGATAAATTAATAATTATGCTTTATATTTGAAAAATTCCCTATCACCATGGCATCACTGATTGGTCCTCTGTCAGCCAAGCTCACAGCAGTCCCAACTACTCTAAGTCCTGTCACCAAATCACCAGGTTACCATTCACATAGTTGTCTTGACCAGTAGGTTTCTCAGCCTGTTTACTGTATACTGAGCTTATAATGCACTGTAGTTTTGCTTATTTCTCTAGAATCTGAGGTGATAGTGATATGATGCTCACTTTCCTGTGACACATTCTTAAGTATGCTTAATACTTCTCCTAAAGGATTATGACTCCTATAGCAACCTCTGTTTCCTCTATGCTTAATCAGCCGTCATGTGATAGATGCTAGATATATGAATGAGATTCAGTAGGTTAGCCTGACAGATGCTTTATAGGTTGACAAACTCACTTGACTCCAGGTATCTGCCATTCTGATCTTTGGCTTGTCTATAGAAAGATGCTCTATAGGTTGACAAACTCACTTGACCAGTTATCTGCCCATTCTGATCTTTGCCTTGTCTATAGAAAGATGCTCTATAGGTTGACAAACTCACTTGACCAGTTATCTGCCATTCTGATCTTTGGCTTGTCTATATTTAGCACAGGTTGCTATATACAATATGTTTTGGGAACAGTTACAAATTTAACACATTATGATCCTACAAAGTGCACCTTAATTAAAGTATTCAAAAAGATTTATGACATACTAGTAGTATGCAATAGTTCACTTAGTACTAACACAATATTTGTTTGAATTTTCCAAAGTATTTTTTAAGAAAGTTGTAAAACACCATAAAGTAAAGAATTTTCCATTCTATGGATAACTATTATGTACCAGAACCAGTTTCATGATAACAAATGTTCATAATGTAAAACTTCCATCTCTGTATAAAGCATGTTACCATTAATATCAAGCTATTATAGTTTGGGTGTTTTTTATGGTGCATTATTCAGGAGCAATATACAAATATGTCATCAAACAGTCCATTCAAGTTGTTTTTTTCTCTCCTCCCAGTTGTCCATAGTGAAGATGGTTATGACATTGTATTTATGCTGGACATGTCTGTGGACCGCATCTACTACGGATGGATGACAAATCTTTCCTCTGAGATTGTAGATCAGTTGAACATCTTCTCTGGCCAGTACAGGATTGGAGCTATCACATACTCCAGGTTGCCCAAATTGCGCTTCCATCTGAACACCTATGGCTACCAGCCTTATGTCTTTAAAGCTATCAACTCCAAGTTCTCTGGTTCCAGTCTTTACAAGTCAAGTCTTGATAAAGCTCTTGATTATGTCCGTACCAGAATGTTCACCTACAGTAATGGAGATCGTCCACAAGCCCAGAACATTGTTATAATGATGACAGCCAACGATTATAGTACTCATCCAAACAAAACCCTACATGCAGCCAAACGATTAAAAGAGAAGGGAGTTAGTATAAATGTAGTTGGATTCAACATTGGAGACAAAGAGGAACTTAATGCTGTGTCGTCACTGCCATCAGATCAACATCGCTTCTACATTAGGACTCTTGATGAGTTGCTTGAGCTGCCAAGGATTATCAACTCTAGTCTTAGAGGTATGCTAGGCCTGAGAAGTCAAAGACACAAGAAAAAGATGAACTTCTGTAAAGTCATCATAAATCCCAATCCCCAAATACCTCTTCAATGCTTGATATATATATTTGTATATAAGTATTTTTCTTTACCTCATTGCATTTTCCTACAGAAAATATGTGTAGCTAAATAGAGATTTTAATAAGTGTGTCCTTGTAATGATTAAGTTCAAAATAGAATCTTGTTAAAGTGGAATGAAGTTCTAAGTGTATAATATATTTGTTTGAAATTACTTTCTGATTGGTATTTGTGTTTGTTGTTCAGTTGGACAGGTTTTTCCAACCAAGCCTCCCACTCCAGGTGATTTTTAGTAATAGTAAAACAAATCATGTTGTGATAATTCCTGTTTGCAATCCTATGAGAGGAAATTACATTTTATTTAATCAGTTTTAGATCACTATATCCATGTATTAATTGCAGATGTTCATGAATTATTTACATGAGTTTATACAAGTTGTATGCAGTTTATACAATTATAACAGTTGTGCGGCTTTTTATATGATGAGTTAATAGACATTTTTGAAAATGAATTACCAATATGTGTTGGGCTAATGTATTCACAACATGTGTGTTTTACATGCATCTTCATATCTAGTGCTGCTGCTTATTGGCAACTAACAGCAGAGCATCAGTGACTTCCTGTACAGATGTCAACTTAAGTAGGATTATTCTTATTCATCTAACGTAAGAACTGTATCTGTAACTATATGTACAATAATCTAATAATTTTAATATGCATAATACTGTTAATTGATACTTTTTGGCTCATTTTTATTAAATCAAACACTATGCAACTTACAAGTAATTTACATCTGGTAAACATGAATCTTTTTATTATTGAAGTGTATCTAATAGCATTGTTACTAAATGTGTGTGATACTATAGAGTGTTATCTTTGATTGGCTGACCTCCACAAAGACACCCTACCTCTCTCTCTTGTAACACCTGAACAAAATAACAGTTCTCTGACTCCCAGTGGCAAACCTCTTGTGACGGCTGCAACCACTATTAGCTCCATGGCTGACAAACAGTATGTTCGAAGGCTGTCACCTCAGCTCTGGCTCATATCTCCATCTGCAGCTTCTAACCCAACTTTACCACCCCCAGAAGACTGTTCTATTACATTTGGCCAGTAGGAATGGCTTGGTGTGATGAGTGAACTTACATCTTCCAATGCTCGCTCGCGGCTCTAACTGGATGGCAAGATGGCTGTTTGTCATAGTCAACTCACCAGCGCGCAGATCGCTATTGGCTGTCGCATTTACCTTGTGGCATCTGCAAGGCATTTTGGAAGCCTTTGGATCTTTGACGCCAGGAAAGTGTATGCTGTTTTGATGGATGATGGCTCCAGCTTCAGGCAGGAACTAACTATCCAGGAATCATCTTGTTTGTTGGAGTTACTCCGTGCTCAGATCATTTTCAGAACAATTACTATTAACACCCTTGTCACTGAGTCCTTTCATAAAACTGAAACATTTCTCTTTCCTTACTGTATCTTATTTTCCATTATTTTATTTTAATTTTTATCATAAGAAATGTAGATTAATCCAAAATATGTAAAGTAGTATGCAATATGATAATCTGTGTTATGAGATGACATTTTATATACTATGCTTGTCTAATTATCTTTTCTCTTTTTCTTAATAGCTTACATGGACACAGGTTTTGATGTCATCTTCATGCTGGATGGAACTGTGAATCGCCAGATCTATGGATGGTTCAAAAACTATGCCAAAAATTTTGCTAATCAAATGAGCATTGATAATGGCGAGTTTCGAGTCGGAGGCATGGCCTTCACTAGATCTCCAAGCATGGGTTTCCAGTTGAATGACAACGGCTGGCAGACAGATGTTGTCAATGCACTGGACAACAATCTCGACTCCTTCAACCGTCCTGGAGGAGCACCAAGCTTTTCCCAGGCAATGGACACTGTAAGAACACGGATGTTCACCCAGGGTAATGGTGACCGTCCCAATGCAGGTAACTACATGGTCATCATGACAGGTAATGAACGTGGTCTGAGTGCAAGCCGTGCACAACAGGCTGCCAGAAGGTTCCAAAACACAGGAGGAAGAATCTTCACTGTTGGCGTCAACCTGAGGAATACACAGAACCTGGATGATATCACCACCAAGCCACTTGATGCTTACCAGTACTTGCTGGGATCAGAGGCAGAGTTCAGAGAGCTGCCTGGCATCATGGAAGCTGTTATGAGTAGGTCCAGCTCTTATAGGTCTTTATTATTGTACAATGATAATAATGAAAATATTTATAATGCGCCTTTTCCAGGCTGGATATCATGCTCAAAGCGCACAATGTGTATGTGTTACAGAATATGGGTAAGACTGAAAACATAAGAAGTCATTGTTATTTTCGTTCTGATGAATACATTACCTAAAATTTGCCATCAGTGCCATTCAGTGTCCATAATGAGATTTTGTATTGCTCTGATGTGATGTTTTTAATATGTGAGAAATGTTTTTTATTTATGAAATATACTTCCAGCTCTTTGTCTATTTTGCAATGTATTGATTTTCCTTGAATAAAGAAACTTACTGATGTGTTGTTGGTTGTGATTCTCACATACTGCTGATGCTGACAATTGTCTTCTCTTTCCTCTCAGGGGGATCCACCACCACCACCGACAACAACCACCACAACAGGTTTCAGATACATTGCACCTATGTCTATTAGAGCCCATTTATCCTTGCATTTCCATATATCTTGTGTTCCTGGTGTTTCCATTTTAGAATCATGATGCCCTTCCTGCAGCACAACCCACCAGCAGCAAACCTCCTGCAACACCAGTTACCCCTGTGTATCTCAGTCAACCTTCCTTCCTCATATCTATGCACATGTACTTGATCATATAGTATATATTTGAAGAAGGCTGACATGTTCTTGGAGCAATATGCTTGATAATGAACATTACAAGCTTCTTCTTTGAGATTTCCATATTCCCATGCACATATATGCTTTACTCCAAATCTCCCATCACTGTGTGAAGAGATGTTTTGTTCCTATGCACCACCTCCTTGAGCTTCACCCATTTTAAGACTTTACCATCCAGCAGAGATGTTTTGTTCCTATGCACCACCTCCTTGAGCTTCACCCATTTTAAGACTTTACCATCCAGCAGAGATGTTTTGTTCCTATGCACCACTTCCTTGAGCTTCACCCATTTTAAGACTTTACCATCCAGCACATTATTCCTGAGTCTCCTTAGTTACCAATGCTGTTGTTTTGTAATTTTGTTGCACAAACGTTGTTTTGAACCTCCACCTGTATGTTTTGGAAGACTTCTGTTGTGTCTTCTGTCATAGATGCATGTGGTGTAGTTTCCTGGTCAGTCAAACCTTGGCACAGGGACTAGGTCTCGGTGTCTTCCTTAAACAGATACTTCTACTACATTTAGGTCTATTTATTATACTTGGTTTACAGATTATAAGTTCTAAAATATTATTGAAATTCAAAAAAAACTTTTAAGTACATGTTGTAAGGAGAAAATAGAAACGATTACATGAAAGAATTGTGCTATTTTCAGTGTTGATCCCTATACCAGTCTATTCTGTGCCGCATTAAAAACACCAAAACTTGATGCAGATTTGGCAGGAAAGAGAAAATTGACATTTATTGATTGTTTGGGTGCTTAATCTGTAAACCAGTGTATGGAAAGAAGCCTCAGAAAAAGAAGTCTTAAAGCAGTGACTTAGATGTTGATAAGTGAAGAGTCTGAATGAGAATTATATTTGTTCGGCTAATACAATGCAATGTGTGGGAATATACTGTTATACTCAGAACCATGTCACTTTAGCTTTTTGCATCGATCCACCTTGATTATATGCTGAAACGGATTCCAATGCATTAAATCAAATGAAAGGAAAAATAGTGGAGAAAATCATACAAATGGATCCCTAAAAATCAGTGATGACGTGTTCACAAAAAGTGCAAGTATGTCCTACTCTACCAGTAGTTGTTGCCACCCACTCAGACATGATTTATGATGACTTCTCTCTCTGTTGTTCCATCCTGCCTATATATATGTATATATTTATGTGTATACATTATAAGCAGCACATTTTTAAGTTTAAAACCTAACTGGAATATTCATTGATTTAAAGTCTTTGAATGAAAACTCTAAAGCATAAATGTGAATATACGTTTCAGTCCAGTTTATGTGTATATTGTTACACATGTCATTTACCCTGTTACGTAACTGTACTTTTCTCATGCATATTCCAGTTTGTTGATCTATCTTTCTAATTCAATGTTCCTTGTTATCCAGACAAGAACTTTCAGTTTCTTTACTTGTAGGTTTGATTCAGTTCTGTGTAACATGATAAAGTTAGATTTAATGATAATAATACTTCTTATTTCTCAAGCTGTTTAATATATTAATTGCTTAACAACTTACACTGATCTTTCGGATTTAGTCTCTTAACAATTTCTCTTTCTTCAATTCGTACAAATGTACAACCTAACAATGTTTCAGAGTATGTGTATACATAATTTCTTAATTTGATACAAAGACAATAAATAAACAAGAATATTTGCTCACAGCAAATCTTTGTAACTAACTACTACAAAGATGTGACGTCCTGTTTATGTAAGAATTTTGTGTGTGGGTATATATTGTTCTGTGTTCAAGTTATTCCAGCATTTGTTAGTATTACTCACCATCCCTTCAAGTTTATAACTCTTGTGTTGCTCTGTCTTCCAGCTGCTCCAACAACCACTACCAAACCAATTGGTAAGAATAGACAAATGGAAGTAGCATGCCACATCTTCTCTGCTCATATATCAAACATATGGGCTACTTTTCTGTATTTCACCATTGCAGTTAATCTGTCAGTGAGTCATGTGAGCACGGCATGGTGAGCCATAATTGTTATACAATTGAAAGTCTTCTCTGTAATCACTGTGAGCTATGAAAATTGACAACCAAAGTTCCATTTCTTTCTCACTAAAATTATTATTTGACTTCACTCCTTGGAAAGGAGTGTCTTTGAACGTATCAGTGACACTTAAGAATTTCATTATTCATTTGAAATGTATTGAATGGATGTTTGCTTTTCCATGGTATCCAACTGAAGTAATTATGTTGACAGTCTACAAGGAGACAGGCTATGATGTTATCTTCATGTTGGATGGTACTGTCAATGACAGAACCTTCACATGGATGACCGACCTTGTGAAGAACATGGCAAATGAAGTGAGCGCTGGAGTTGATGATGGCACATATCGTCTGGGAGGAATGACCTTCACACGTTCACCTTCTGTGGGCTTCCAGTTAGATGACTATGGCTACAGTGATGACTATAGGAATGCTGTTGGTAGAACAATGAGGAACAATCCTGGTGGTGCCCCAGACATGGCCCGTGCCTTTGACACAGTTTACAACCAGATGTTCCAGTCCCGAAACGGTGATCGGCCTAAGGCCAAGAACTACATTGTCATGGTCACTGCCAATGAGAAGAGTTTGAATACTCGTAGAGCCATCAATTCTGCCCGCAGGCTAAAGGACCGAGATGTTGCTATATACACTGTTGGCATCAACCTGGGCAACACCGACGAAATTGACTCAGTTTCTTCCTTGCCTCTGGATGACTTCCAGGTACTGCTTGGAACAGAAATTGAGATGGCTGAACTGCCAGGAAGACTGGCCTATGGAATTGAAAATGGTGAGTGATTACTACTGTTAACTTTAGCAAACACATCAGTTGACAATACAAGTGCATATGATGTGTTCATGCATGCTTGAGGAACAGTGAATCAATAAATCTTTCCGACATTAATAGACTTGTTTTATTGAAGGCCCTCCCCAAGACACCCTTCCTCCACCAACAACAACACCACGCCCAACCAGGACCAAGTACACTGGACCCCCTCCAGGTAGGAAACAAATACCAGTACTCCTGCTTAACTGGTTTAATGTCATAATGATGTTGTGTAGGGAAAGTGTCAGAGATTGAGATGTGCCATCTGCACGTTGTAGCAAAATACATGTTTTATAGTCAGTAGTTCATCTGATACATTATGTCATATATATTTCTGTGATGAATGTATATATTGTTTGTTGTATCCCCAAACAGTGTGCACCTCAACAGCAGATGTTGTCTTCGTCATTGACTCCTCTGGAAGTGTTGGAACAGTGGACTTTGACAGAATCCGCAACTTTACTATTGCAATCATCAACGGTATTGATGTTGATGCTGGCCTCTACCGAATCGGTATGGTGACCTTCAGTGACTCTGCACGTATTGTGTTTGGCCTGGATACACATGATAGCAATGAGCAGATCATCAAAGCAGTCAGGAATACACCTTACATCTACGGTTACACCAATACAGCTGAGGCTCTGCGCCGAACCAGAAGAGAGATCTTCTCAACATCTGCAGGAGATAGACCAGGTAGGTTTGGTTTGCATGTTGTGTGAAGTACCTCAATAATGCATTACACTAGTTACTATGTATTCTGGGGTCTCACATACTCTGTATTTATTGGTTGTATCAAATAAAACTGAGATGTTTATCTGTAATGGCTATGACATAGTCAGAATCGTACAATGGCAGTTGTTGATTTCTAATGATTATAGATGGTATCTTGTCACTTTCATTGCCACCTACATATCTGTGCTCATAGGGTTTATTTTAAAAAACTTAATAATTGTAAATAATGGTTGTCCTTCTACACTTTCCTTCTACACTCTTACCAGGCTTTCCTCTCTCATCCCTCCAATCTATGTATAGGTGAAATACTATTCAAGGAGCAACTCATTCAAGTACTATCAAAAGCTGCCATATTTGAAAAAAGAGTATTGTATGTCTCCATTGGTGGTGCATGATGATGATCAGACTTCACCTTGCTACCAGCTGTCAAATGTTAAACTGAAGCTGAAGTTGATTAATTCTGATCAGGTTTTACTTTGGAAATCTGGGATATGCCCACCTTTTCGCGAACATCTGGTATCATCACTATTTCATAGTGATTCATAAACACATGCTCTGTCACCGTATCACATGGTGACAATCACTGGATTGTCTGGTTCAGACACAATTTGTTTACAAACAACACCATACACCTGTAATACTGCTGAAACAAGTATCTGCTCATGATATAGTCACAATTGTACAATCAACTCTGCTTTTGGCAGATATTTCTTATGAATGTGGAACGGGTTTTGCCGCTTCTACCTATTGAAGCAATGAAGATTTCCCTGTTTGCTCCAGTTTATTTTCTATCCTTTTAGGTTCACCAAACATGGTTGTGCTGATCACTGATGGTCAGTCTAACATTGATAACTTTGAGACCCTCCCAGAAGCCCAAAGGATGAAGCGTGAGGGTATTACCATCCTTACCTTGGCTGTTGGTTTCTCTGGTGCCACAGCTGAACTGACTGGCATGACCTCACCACCCATCCACGAGAATCTCTTCTTCGTAGATGACTTCTATGCATTGAGAGAACTCACGGACTACATCATCAGACCAATCTGTACAGGTCAGTGGAATAGATAGTTATGATAGCTAGTACATTATACTCAAGCAGAAAATTTCCACAGCTTTCTCTGAGCCTGCTTAATAGACTTTCAAACAGAAAATATTACAGAAGTTGTACAGTAACTAGCATGTCAAACAGAAAATTATTTGTGAACTATAGGGTTAAATAGTTTTCATGCCAGATTAATTAAATCTCTTGGTTTACGGAATTTTGTTTCATTATGCCAAATGACAGGGGAAATTGTTTAGATGAATCAATAAAAAAAATTAAAAAAGAAGGTGTTGAATATATGCATGATTTACATCAAATAATTTTTTTTTTTTATTGTAATTATTAAATGTTTAAGAAAGCAAAACTATTAATTCTTTTACCCTTATGTTATTTTCTTATAGTTTGTTGATGGTGTATATATCATGTTCCATAATTCACATTAAATCTATCAATTTTAGATTTTGTATGTTGGTGCCTGTGGGGATTACATGGTAGAAATGGTATACAGTCACATATGCTTGCTGTAGATACGGATTAAACCAAACTCACTCAGATAATCTACCCAAACTTAATCGCTCTCATTCCTGGATCAGGAGGTCAGGCTTGTGACAAGCTGATTGCTGTGCCATTGTGCCCCAATGCAACAGATCATTCATTAGTCTTATGGAGTGTGTGATACAGCCTGAGGGGCGCTGGGGTAGTCTAGTGCTAAAACATCACCAACACAGAGTTCTAGATTATCTGTATGTCATGTTCAGTCTGTATCTTTCAAGGTTTGGTGGGGTAGCCTAATGGTTAAAGTGTTCTCTTGTCACATCGAAGACCGGGTTCGATTCCCCACATTGGTACAATGTGTGAAACCCATTTCTGGTGTCCCCCGCCATGATATTGCTAGAAAAATACTGAAAGCGGCATAAAACCATACTCACTCACTGATACAGCCTGAATAAATTACAGACTGCTGTGATATAGCTCAAATATTGCTGTACAACGAGGAGAGTTCTATAGATATACAACTTCTTTAGTATAATATGAGCGACGTTTCGGTGTAGCTACACCAAAACATCGCTCATAATATATTAAAGAAGTTGTATATCCATAGAACTCTCCTTGTTGTTCATCACACCAACTTCTAAATGCCACACAAACAAGTTCATATTGCTGTAGCTAATCAGCATTTACACTGACATCTATGTTGAAGAGCCTCATGTCTATATTGCTTTCAATGTTCCTTCCTCAGATGCCAATCAATGCGACGCAAACCCCTGCCAGAACGGTGGAAACTGTGTGGATGGGCTCAGGAGCTACACCTGTATCTGCCCCTCTGGATTCTTTGGTGATAACTGTGAGAAGAGTGAGTATTGGGCATGAAAGCCATTATAATGCACTAAATACAATATTACATTATATATTCCAAGACAGTCAATAACTTCCCAATAGCTTTGTAAAATAATTCACTGCACAATCAATATGTTTTTCAAAATGCTTTGATAATTAACATATGACAGTAATTAAGATCATAACACCTTTACTGAGTAAACACTGATGGTTATTGTTCCTTTGTAGTCAGTTACTTAAACAGATTTGAGTATTTTTCTTTACAGTTGGTTTAAGAATATATGTATGAAGTATGACAAAAAAGTAAATACATATTCTTTTAAAGTAAAGAATCAAGGAAACACATATATATATATATGGTGTCAGTCTTCTGAAAAATCACCCCTTAGACAGGAGAACTGTAGTTCAAAGAGTCCTAAGAAACATTTTGAAATAGTTTTCTTTAAGGTTAAAGACTGAATAGAAGGTTAAAGACTGAATAGAGCTTCTTGTGTGAAAATATATCTTACATCTGCTTACAATATTTGCATATTCCTGAAGAACTTATGACTAGTATCTATCTTCGGGGGACACAAGTTGTCTATATTTACCAATATTTGCCCATTGAACACATAACAAGATCTAATGAACGTACCTTTAAACCCCAGTTTCACTCTGTTTAGGATATGTTGTTTGTAAGCAACTTAACACAGTAGGTTTAACCAAGGCTTGTAAATATATAAAAAACAGTACAAAAAGCCGAAAAGCAGTTATATATCTGCAATCTCTCACTCAGCTCATCTCACTTTCAAAGACAAAGTTTTTTATCCCCCTGGCATGTAATTCGGGGGGATATAGTCGATGCCTTGTCCGTCTGTCCGTCAGAGCGTCTGTCCGTAATCAATTTGTTTCCGGAGAACAACTCGAAAACCGTTCATCATTTTTCAACAAAACTTGGTAGATATATCAAACAGAGCCCAAAGTGGTGCCTTTTGCTATTTACAGAGTTTTGTCATTTTTATATTTTTTTGGTTTCCATGGAAACGTTTTGGACTTAAGTCTAAAGAAATCAAGTTTCAACTGTCATATGATTTGCTCTTTCATATTTGTGTGGGCCGGGGCAATTTGTCATCTTCAGATGATTCTTGTTTCAGACTAGCAATACTATTTCAATGTCAATGCAAAAATTATATATGTTGCTAATACTGTGGACTAGACCCTAATCAAAGCATAATGTTTTCCCAGCATGTGGCAGTGCTGCTGATGTTGTCTTCGTCCTCGACTCCTCCACATCAGTCGGCCCCTTCGGCTTCCAGCAAATCCTGATGTATGCTCAGCAGATCCTGGCTCAGATGAACATGGATGCCTGTGACATCAATGTTGGTGCCCTCAAGTACAGCTCAAGTGCAATGGTGCAGTTTGGCCTAGGAGCCTACCAGGACCAGGAGACTATCAGCCGAGCTCTTCGCGGCATCCATTACACACGAGGCCAGGCCAACCTTGCTGATGCCCTTAGAGTTACCCGCCAAGTCATGTTCAATGGTGCATCAGGTGATCGCCCCTTTGCCAGGAATATTGCCTACTTGCTGACCAGTGGAGATGTCAACATCAATCGAGATATCACAATGTCTGAAGCTGAACTTGCCTTTGATGCTGGAATTACTGTTGTTCCCCTCGGTGTCAACCTACGTCAGCGTGATGATGTTGAGAACATCGCCTTGTACCAGGGTTTGAACCTCGTGGAAATTGAAAGTGAAGTGACACTGCAGGAGATGGCTGATGATGTGCTCAACCCTGTCACCACTGGTATGTAAGACAAGGCATAAATACATTGATTATAGTTAATATGTTGATTAAGATATTTGAAAAGTAGCTTCTTTCTGCTACAATCTCATTTAATTGTTCAAAATGAAATAATTTTGGAAGAAATTTTTCAAATATATTTTTTTTTATACATAACAGATAATCTAGAACTTATGTAAGAGAACATGTGATACCATCGTGTGGTATAGTGTTGTAATAGTAATTTCAAGCTAGTTGTTCATTGTAGTAATTGCTCAAATCTCATCACAGCACATGACCTTCATTTGCATTTGTGCAATTCAGTATCTTATTTATTTAATATGCTTTTTGATTGTGCTTAAATCAAAATTTAGATGAGTAACTTATATGAATTAGTTGCACACCATGCATCACAAAAATATACTGCTTGAATGAAAATCGTCATTTATGTCTAATTTCAACGTGTTTTTGATTCTGATATCATTTACTCATTGTCTAATACACACATACATGGTGGTATGTTGAATGTTTATGATGGCTTTAAGCATACTTTAATCAATGAGTAATGGCATAACATCAACATGTGCTTAACTATAACTTTCATATCATGAATGTTCTAGAACATGTATCAGTGTCTTCTTTCTGCAGTCATGAGGTTGTGGAGTTATCAACACTTTGGAGTAACACATATATATATATTTTCGTCAGCTTCATTCTTGCATCGTTCAACTTTAACTAAATTTACTTTTAGAAGTATTTTTAGAAAATAGAATATTGACCAGGCAGCCCTGAAGGTCGGATAGTACACTGTAGAGACATTCTGCAGCTAACAGTATTTTATTGTTGTTTATATGTACACATATTCATTTTTCACAGTTATATAATGGGTCATGGCAAACACCTTTAGATGTTTGGAGTCTTAAGAATATATGTAAACTTTTAAAATGTCTTGTTATTATCATAGCCTCATTCCACACAGCGATTTTGACACAAAGTGAAACACAAATCCTATTCATTAACAACAATTTATACTGTTGTAGGGCTACAAGTACTTTCTGGAATTTAGCCCAGAACTCTAGTGATAATTCCTCAAAGTCATGGATAATGAAGTAGCCCATTGGCTGAAGCATTTCACTCTGAAAACCTACTTTAATTCCCCACAATATTGTCTAGAATATTGCAAAGTGCAGTGTAATACCTCACTCACTCACTCACTTATTTTGAATCTATGGAAGGGAGATAACTCTAAATTTGTTTTTCTTGTCATCTGCTTGATTCTATGTCATTGGCTAATTGCCTGACTCTGGTACTGACAACATGATATGAGATAAGACACACCACTCATGGTGGTATCAATACACCATTGTTTAATGTTCCTGGTGAGTGGTAGTTAATATGTGTATTATCCAACTGAAGACCATGTAATAACAGTGTCCCTCTTTGTCTGGTTTCAGCGAGAGGTAGGACTATTGTGTGATTCAGATATTTTCAATGCATGTGTCACAACTTTGTGTGTCAGGGGATGACTATAAAGTGTTTCTTTTTCCATTCTAAGATCACCCTTTCAAAATCAAGAATAGATTTGTTTGTATAAAAAATCAATATCACATTCCCTGATGGAAAAATGAATGTTTTATTGTGATTTGTTGGGCACTACAAAGATCCAATGGCCTTCATTGTTTGTTTTTGTCATCATGCAGAATGTTGTTGAGTCTGAGAATCAGGAAGGGACATATAGTCTGCCAAAAAAGATTTGACAAATAATAATTTTCAGCAATCGCAGAACAGCAAAGCTTAATAAGTGGGAGCATGACTTATGAACAAGGAATAAGTATTATCTGTCTACAGTAGACATATCATCAATGTCTCTAACTTTAACAACATTGATTGTTAAAAAGTTGAACATGCATAATGCCAAGTTTAAAGTGAGTTATTATTTGTATTACCTATTTTCCTTTAGAAAATGTGGAAAGTTTGGCAATCATTTTTATCAGATATTGGCAAGTAATGTAATGTCAAATAAGTTATTTGTAAATGACATGAAGTCATCTTCAACCATTGTCAACATTCTATTTATATCACATTGTCAAAAGCAACAATGAGAACAGGAAACAGCACAAATTGGCCAATTAATGTGAAGCAAAATATACTTTCTCCGTGGAAGGTTATGAGAATGGTACACTTGTTGTTAATGCTTTTTGTGGTATCATAAATCTATATCTCCCTTTCTGTCAGGTAAGTACAGTGTTTATGATGTTCTTGTGATGTCTGTCATTTGAGCGTATAGTTCACAAATCATACACTTTGAGCCTGTAGATCACTGTTTCTAACATTTCTTTAACAATTGTAATGCAAAAATCTAACCCATCAGAAAATACGCAATCATATGTTTCAAACTTTCTTTTCTGTTAGAATATAACAGATGGCGACAGTGTCATTGTTACAACATACCTTTAACAAGCAGATTATGGAGCATACACAAATTTGAAACTGAAGTCTTTGACAAAGCCTAATATGATTTGGATTGAGCATTCATTAAACTTTTACAGGAATCAATAAAGTCATAATCTGCTTGATAACTATATAAACAGTTTCATATGTTTTGCATATTGTCCTCTTCCAACATCTCTTGCATCTGAACTCAGAATGAAGATAGAGTTCATACAGCACGAAGATGCCCACTTTATTTGCCAGTGTTTCCATCTTTAATTAACACGATGAAATTGACTAACATTTGCACAGTTTTCATCTTACTCAAACAGCATGAGACTACCTACATTGTAGAACACAAGAACCTTATAATATGAAAGGTATCCCTCTCGTCAGTGAAGGAAACTGTCAAATCTTATTTATTCAAATTACTTCATTTAAATTATGAGAAAGAGAATTAATCTCAAATCAATTATCAAGGTGAATGTTTATGTTCTACCAGCCTTGGGATTGCTTCAGTTTCTTTACATTTTTACATTAATTGTTTTCCAACATCTAAAAAAATCCTCAAGAGTTTTAGCTCATCTGCCCTGAAGTCAGGTGAGCTTAAGTCATGGCATGTCGTCCATTTGTCCTTCTCCTTCACCATAGTTACCTGTCTTCAGATATTTACATCACATCTGAAACTACTAGGCCTTTGATATAAATATTTTCAGCTGTGGTGTTTTAAAAACATACATTCACAGAAATAAGATTTGATGTGAGATATATTGAAAACATTAATGATTCATAATGACTTGTTTGTGCATTGAATATGAGGTTTTTGGAGTAACTGATAATACTATTTGGGGCATATTTGATCCAGTTACGTCATTTCATTCATGTACCTGTTTTCAAGTATTACTACATTTCAGCATCTCTGAGACTATAAGGCCCATGAAGCTGAAACTATGTGTGAAAAATATTAGCTATGGTGTATCTAAAGATGCTCAAAGAATGCCAAACCTTTTTTAAAAGATACCATCGCATCCTCGGAACCCCATTAATTGCTATGGTAATTTAAATGAATTGAAATTTGGTATCGGTATAGTTAGAAGAGGTGCCAAACATAAGTGTTACATTCTTTGCTTTATTTTGACTTTTGACCTTAAATCAACATTTAAAGCATAACAAATTATCCCCAAAGTAAAAAATATTGTCATGGTCAATAAAATTCAATTTGGACAAGCATATGTTAGATCCCTCCACACACTGTTGCCATGTTCCATTCGTAAAAGCTAATATTTTTATACAAACCTTCTCTTTGTAAAGAGGAGAGTATTGTCTGGGTATAGTTTTATCATCCTTCATCTGTTGATATATAGGAGGAAATGGGGAAATAAGTGTTAAGAGAACTTATACATAGGTCAGGTGAGCTACAGAGCCTTGTGGTTATGTTGTAAAACTTCACAAAGAAATCAGTGTTTGACAGTGTCTACTTGGCAGTCTCCAACATTTTGCCAATGCATTGCCATGAATGTTTTTGTCACCCCAATGTTATGCTCCTTTCCCTTGAAAGAAAATGTCTCTGATTGCATTAAGGAGATAGAAGATGCATGACCAATTCAAAGAAAGTTGTTGTGAGTTGGTAAAATGCATTCAAACAGTTGAATTAATATTTTCCAATATTTAAGTTATGCCTATTCCAAATCATCATGATTTATTCTAGATCATATTTCTGAGACCAACAAGCTAGTTGAAAAGAAACTGTGTTATGATGCAGTGAAAATATTACCCCAAACTATATACTTTCCAAGCTGTGTGAGTGTTGTGTCCAGAATGTGTTGTATATACATGTAGTGTAATTAAAGACTATGTGTATGATCAGTTAATTCCACTAAATATTAATGATAATGTCATCATGTATAATGTTTGTCTTCCCAGTGGTTGTGTTGTTATTGCACATCATTCGAGACTATTTTGTTAGATGTCTGTTGCTTTTCATCATACTGCTCCTGGATGCAGAGACCCTGCATGGGTTTTCAGCTGTGAATGTCAGCTTTAATAGCAGAGGCACCATTTTTCAGCTTCATAGCTTTTACCTTGTCAGCTGTAAATGGCTGTTGATGGTGGTAATAATTCCCTTGAGTCTGGTATGTTGAGCTTACAAGGTGTCATCACAAAGAAAGTGTATGTCCTGCACTGAGTGAATATCATGCAACTAATATAGGAGTCATCAAATGCAAACCTTTTCAACATTCTTGGTGTAATGTATACCCATCACAAAATATGTCAACATTTGATGACTCCATTGCATAATTGTTAGTTGACATTTTTAATGCTAAGATTTACAGCAAACTTCTAATGTTTCTGATCTTTAATAATTAATTAACAACTGTAACTATTAAAAAATCTGTTTTGTATGCTTGTTTGTAGAAGACATTATCATTTTCAAATGTTTGTTTAGACCAGGACTTCTGTGCCAGTGACCCTTGTCAAAATGGAGGTCAGTGTCGCAGTCGGTCTCTTTCACATGTCTGTGATTGTCTCCCTGGATTCACAGGGGATAACTGTGAGAGAGGTGAGTAGTCATCATTATTTGGTTTGGTTTGGTTCCTTAAGTTATTTTATTCATGCCCTTAACTCTTTCATTTAGTGAATATTAGTACATCATTCACTGTACATTATTGAAGTAAAATCTAGAAATTATAAAATTCAAAAATAGAAAAAAAAAAATCTATGTGAAAATCTAATCTTGGGTACACATGTGATAGAAATCAGTTATATTTGCAAAAGATTATGTAATTTGGTTTCAATGAGGATCTCATTCAAACAGTCTGAGTCAATGAAAGATCTGTTGAAATAATTCCCCAGCTATAACATTGTCATTCAGTTACCTGCTTGTTGTATGTAATCATTATTGTTTTCCACATCAGGCAACTTGTGGTGTGTTTTCTTGTTTTAGTCTGCAAGGGCAAAGCTGATGTTGTGTTTGTTATTGACACTTCTCGCTACATGAGTCGTGAAGAATTAAGAAAAACCAAACGTTTTGTGCGTGAGGTGATCAAGAAGATGACATTCCGTACTGGCAATTATCGTGTCAGTGTGGTCAGCTTCAACGACTACCCATCCCTGCAACTGACTCTGGAAGAAGGATCAAGCAAGAAGTCTGCCAAGACAGCTGTTGCCAAGCTCAGGTACGTAACTTTAAATTTCATAATTTTGTGTTGGTCTATTTAACAAAGGAGTCCATGGTGAGGGGATACCTGTGACCATATGGTGGAAGGCTGTCTATAAGAATATTACAATCTGCTTGACTAGAAAGTGTCCCCATGAATTGCTAAATATATCAGTTTAGAAAGGTAGTTAATAAATATTACGAGGCAAGATGTTCATGAATAATTATACCCAAACACCTTTTCATCTATTAGAAATTGTCATGCATGGTAGAAAAATTTTGTTTAACAAACTATCTGCATTATAACATGATTGTTGACAGTGGACACACGGCAGCAACACAAATAGACAGGTGCATCTGATGCATGGGCATTTCGTGATAACTGCTGTGTGCTGATGACAAATGAAGTTCACTGTACAGGCAAAAAAGTTGATAATTAAAGTGTATGATTTCTGTCGCACTGAGGCGGAAAGGGGGAGGCCGTTTTATGCCATCGATAGGTATGAGTGCTTCCAAGGCATTGGGAGTTTCTACACAGGCATTGAAACATATAACACAGAAGGGAGACAGTGTTGTCGACACAACGCATGGAGAACCAGGTCAGACAGGCAATCACTAAACTGTACTCAGAAAACAAATACATGTCATTAAAAGTATTAAAGAAACACCTTGAAAACCAAAACAATTTGTCAGCAATGAAATAAACACTATGGCGACTCTTACATTCTTCGGGTATAGGTACAAAAAAATAGAAGGAGAGAACAGGAGAGTATTGTGTGAACGAGCAGATATCGTACGTTTGAGAAATCATTTTCTCAGGACTATCCAGAAAAAAACGTGATGCAGGGTATGAGCCAGTGTATCTTGACGAGACTTGGGTAAATGCGTCTCATACCGCCAGCAGTCAATGGGTACCAGATGGGAATAAGGGATCACGGAAGAAACTGCCGCTGGGGAAGGGGGGAAAGATTGATTATTCTCCATGCTGGATGCGCCAGCCAGGGCTTCCTACCTGGTTGTGATCTGGTGTTCAGAGCCAAGGTCAAAGACTATAGGGACTACCATACAGAGATGAATGGAGATGTTCTCTTCGAGTGGGTTCAAAATAAGTTAGTTCCAGCTTTGCCAAATAAGCCCCTTATAGTCATGGACAATGCGCCATACCACAGCGTGCAGGATGCAAACAGCAAAACTCTGACGTCTAACAATCATAAGAGCGATATGATTGCTTGGCTTAAAAAATTCAACATCCCGTATCTGTCGAAAGCGGCAAAGCCTCAGCTGTACGAAATTGTCAAAATCCACAAACAAGACCCCGTATACAAAGTAGACACTTACATTAAGAGTAAAGGTCATGAAATATTGCGGCTACCACCATATCATTGTGACCTAAATCCAATCGAGATGATATGGAGTATTCTAAAAAGGAACAATTACAGGTATTGTTAGTAATTGTTAGTAAACTTACCTCTGGATTATGGTTGACAGTTTCCTGTGGTATCACAGTGACAAACAGAAATGAAAGAGAAAAAAGTTCTCTTAAAAAAAACTAAGTCATAGTTATCCTTAGTGGTATGCCTAAGGAGTGATGCAGTTATCTCCCCTAGCTGTGATGTCACAGCATTGTTCTCCCCCAGCCCTTATAATTTTTTCTAAAGAAAACTCTAATAAACCTCTTCTCATACAACTCCAGGGGAGCTTCGTGAGGGACCTATATCCCATAATCCAGAGGTAATTAAGTTTACTAACAATTACTAACAATACCTGTAATTGTTCCTAATTATGTCGTAAACGTTCCCTCTGGATTATGGTTGCCAGAATCCCACATATGGACGGATGGCCCCGTGGATGAGAGGAGAATAGGGATACCAATATCTTACTGGAATTATATAATTCTCAGAACAGAATAACTATGACTTAGATAACTTCATGTCCTATGATACCCGCCATAATCCCATAATCCTAACAAATGATTAATTGTTAGCTTCAATAACTAGGACAGGAAGTTAATGTGAGGAGAATTCTATCCATCTAGGAGAGTCTGCTAGATTATACTTAATCCTTAGTAACTATAATTCTGTAGAAACTATGTTTCTATCTTCCTTAGAAATAATGACGTCACTTCCGGTTTGATGATGTCACTTCCGGTCTAATGGTACTCCTTTCGATCATTTAGAGGTGATTAAAACACCCTGTCTAGTCTCATGACGTCACTTCCGGTCTATGACGTCACATACTGTTTCATAACACCACTTCTGGTTGATGGCGTCACTTCTGGTTGATGACGTCACATCCAGTCACCTTCCGTTTATGACTAATCTTCTACCATTAGGATACAACTATACAAAAGATTGAAAACCTTACATCCTCTAAACATGTTCATAATATGGATCTAGCATCACTCCCAGGAGTCACGTGACCTTGTGGACCGGATTACCTATCGCGGGGATACCAATCCCGCTAACATAGCGTTCAACCATTAGTAAATAGGTTTACTTAAACCACACCTTCCATAGGTCTACGTGTAGAATCTTTCTGACTCCTTTTCCTTGAATGTTCCAGTCCCACCAAGATCTGAAGTCAGGCTGTGACTCTCTCCAGTCTGTTGGAAGGCTCACTTCTGACTTCCGTGTCACACACACACACACTCACACACACACACACACCCCTTCTTTTTTTTCCCCATAAGGAGGTCAGGCAGAGGAGAGATGCTGTGCCATCACTAGAGGACCCAAGGAACGGAGGCCCTCCATTGATGCCGCAACGTCTCTTAAATAAAAGTTAGTGAATGAATTTTAGGATTTCGACTGACAGCTAGACACAACTTGTTCTTCTGAAACCGAATTCCAAGCTGCCAGAGATGATGCCAAAGCTCAAATTTCATGCGGTGAAAATTTATTGTCTATAGTTTCTTGATCACAGTTCCTATACACCAAAAAGATAGTTTTCTTGAGCCAGGATAAAATGGTATAGAATCGATGTTTTGCGACGATCACGTCTAAATGGTAAAGTCCGCTGAATATACCAGCGCAAGGCACAAATTGAGCAAAGTAATCTTGCTCTATCTGATCTAGAGGTAGGGGTAGGCAAGGCCGGTAACCTGTACATTCTAGGCCCTAAAGGTCCACCAGAAGAAGATTGGTTCTTAGCTACAAATTCTGGAAGTGTTCTGCAAGCCATGAACCGATATCCTTCCACAAAAGCTATCAATTTAAAGTCCACTGCATGAATTTCTGATACTCTAGATGCCGTCACAAGGCTAGTAGAAAAACAGTCTTAAATGATAAAATTTTCAAAGATTAGGCTTGCAAAGGTTCAAAGGAAGCTCTCTGAAGATTCAGCAGAACTAGACCTAAGTCCCATTTTGGAAACATAATGGATTCCCTACGTCCTTGAGTTGAAACGATCTGATCAATTTAGGCAGCGATGAATTGGTTCCCACTGACAATCCCTGAATATCATAAACTGATGCCATAGCTGATCTATAGCCTTCAATAGTATTGTGTTTCAGCTTTTTAACATCTCTCAGAAGATCAGTACCATGACAACAAATGAATAGTATCAAGGGGTTGTTGAAACAATTCCTCATTGGATTGTTCTGAAAGAATCTTATCTCCAGTGATGAGGTGAGATTGTTCTATAGCTGTCGAATGGTCTAACACATTCACTTGAGTGTGATTGGCAAAGGAAACCGCCTGAAAAACGACGTCCCAAAAAGGAGTGTGCAAGCGTCCTTCGTGGGCTGACATGGCCACCATGGTATATTGAGTAATTCCTATATAATCCTCAAAACCTGGGAGAGGAAGCTACCCGATTCTCAAGTCAAGGCAATTGACGTATGAAAAGAAAACGAACTAATATACATGAATTGTGAAAATCAAAGTTTGGGATAATTTCGAATCAAGGTGTGAGAAATCCCTATCAATTTTTGAAGCACTGGCGGGAAAAACTCATCCTATCAAGGATGACATGGAATTGTCTATGGATATCCCTAGCCGAGGATGCTAAGTCTTAGTTTTGACAATATTGGGATTGACTTGTCCAGCAGCGTAGTGCAGTGAACACAGACTTGCGAAATCACGGAATAATTTCCCACATGGTGCCTAAAATTCTTACAGCGCATCCCCAATGGCGCGTCATATTTCTAAAGAAACCTACGTTCATATAAAACATATCATTTTTTAATTTGCCCTTGATTAAACTTGTGATTAAACGTAATTTTGCCTGTAACAAGGCAAGTTCAGAACACGATGTGTACGCCATCCATTTTGAATGTATTAGCTTATCAGACCCGACCAGCAATGAAATAATTCGTTTTCTAAAGTTGAATAGTCACATGACTTATCCCATCGGGTACCCATTTGCCATGCTGGGTAAATAGAGGCAAGTTGAATAAACTAAACTGCATTCAGTGGCTGGATATCGGTCTGGTTTCCAAGCAAACGGTATATCGCCCGTGTCTCCCGTGGGGAACTCAACTGACTGTGCATTCTGGTAAGAATCGCACGTGCAGTCCGTTATAAGGTTCCTTCACCTGTCCTGACCCGGTCACATGTGCTACCTGAACTGCCCCCTCCTCGTGGGTCAGCTGATTGATTTGAAACGTGGTCTCGAAATAGCATGGTGTTCCTAATTCAGTAATAATAATATGATAATACTGAAAATTATCTCGCATTCCAACCACAACGTGAGTGCTGAAGCGCTACAAATCAATGTTTGAATTAAGAAAAGATGTGTTTCAAGATGTAATTTGAAAGCGCAACAAAAGATGGAAACAGTTTATAGCGAGGGACAGTTCATTCCACAATGATGGTTGTGGAAGCCGTGGCCGTAGGTAAAATTCAATGTAACTAGTGAATAGCAAAGTAGTAGACGAAGTAATAAGCTCAGAGGACGGAATCTATAGCTTCCTTATATAATGCCAAGTGGAACAGATTGTCGAGTATGAGACAAAATCGAATTCTATCTCCAAGTCCAGGGGCGGTTCCAATCATAAGGAATAGAATCTGTTTCTAGAGGGAAGTCAGAACCTCCTAACCCTTGAGGGGCGAAAAGACCTAGCCCTGCTACCTCTACCTCTAGAGCTTGCAAAATAGCCCCTGCTTGAGGAGGCCGATGTACGTGGTCTAGCGTCCAAGACTCTATCAAACGCTGAGCGTTGTAATGGTGCCTGTCGATTTAGGGATTGTAGGATGAGACTCAGATGAAGGTTGCATGCCATCTCTTCTACCCCTAGGTGCACTTCTGCACCTATTCTGAGAAAGGAGGGCCGAAGCTAAACACTGATTAAGATATCTCGTAGTAATAACATCCTTTGCTTCACCTGCTTGTTGACACTGCCCGTTGAAGGTAGCCTCTGAGTTCAGAGGTTGCTGAAACATCAGCTCCTTAGTGGATTCCGGTAAATTCCTAACTGAGTTCAACTTGTGCATCCTATCTATAGCCGTGGGTCTGCCCAAGGAATAGACTTGATTCTGAGTAGCTTCCGATACAGCGTGATATAAGACATCCAGGTAAGAATGAGCCAAGGCTACTTCATGCATCGACATTGCCACGAGAGTATCCTTCTTAATGTCCGTATAGTCCTTGAATAGGGGAGGGAGTAACGCCCTTACACCCGCCACAAACCATTTAACGTAAGAGAGGATATCTATTGGTGAACGCGTGGCCGTGTCCAACTCCTTAAACTCCCTGGGTTGGCATGGTAACAGAGTGTCCTATTGATTACTAGCCCCTAACAGACTACAGTCCTTGTCCAGATGAGATATCCCAGCTGGCAATTCCCGATTGTGAATAGGATACACGGGCCTATGAGGAATCTTAGGTAAATTCACCAGAGAAGTAGATTTAGCCAACAATTTATTGTAATTATTCATGGCTGATTTCAGTACTGATGAATGAGGCAAAGATAGTCTGGGTGTACGCTCCGGAGTTAAACAGCCTGAAAAACCCAATTCAATGGGAATATCATGTTCCATATCCTCAGCTGGCGGAGGTAAGGTACATGGATACAATCCATATAAAAATTCCATTTTCTCCTTCAAAGTCCATTCAGGAGCGTAATCTTCTGCAGCCGTATCCATAGAAGGCACCGTAACACAACCCTCCTTCATTGTCAATTCAGGATTAGATACGGGTAGGCCGTATGCCCTTCCGAGTCCAATAAGTCTGGGATAAACGGTTATATGGGCGGATTGTCCTGGCAAGCCGTTGCCGTAACTGTAGCCGTGGCATGACTATCCGTGGAATTCCCCGTAGGACAAGCAGCCTTCCGCTGAGAGTCTGCCGAGAAAGCCGTGCTATATGACGGCTGGTAAGGGACCGTGCCGGGGGCCTGAGCCCGGCTAACGGAATCCCCCCCAAAGCCGCACGGGCGACACAGGTCCACCAGAGCGTGAAACGACAGCTGGCTCTGCGGACAGTCTAGCTTGGGTACTAGACCCTAAGGGTACACCGCACGTGGCGGTGTCCCTCCCGCACGAAGCCTTAGCATCTCCCGCCGTGGGGATCGGCAACCCAGCTTCAAGACGGTGGTGGTACTCGGCCGAAACGAGCATAGCACTGTGCCGCCCTACGGAAAATGACTGTTGATTCAGGGGCCTAGTGCGCCCGTCCTCGTCATTGTCATCTATATATGGAGCCCTCTGAGTTAAAGATTCCGAGAAATCTAACTGCCTCTGAAAGTCTGATATTTTTCCATCATTACGCTTTTAAACTCATGGAAAGATTGCCGCATGGAAGCCTGAATCTCCAAATAAAATGAAGACAATAAGGACGTAATGGCTGACATGTCCACTTGGCTGGACGAAAAACTAGATTTGATCTTGACCTAGACTTAGGTCAATCTGATGAGTCAGATAATTTCCTATCCTGGAATTATTGAGAGCCATGTCCATAATTAACCAGACTTCTTTTGATAATTCTGAGCACAGTAAGCAACGATTATCTAAAGAGCAAGACGATCCCACAAAACATGAGGCACATAATGAATGAGGGTCCGATTCAGCCATGAATCTTGGCATAGCAAGCATTAGTCTTGCAACCTTGTGAATAAGTCCTAATGGCGGGAAATCTAACTCCTCACAAGTAAAGCAATTTGCAAAATATACAGTTCACAATATAATGCGATGGTCAGAACACACCAAATGCAATCTCACTAACTGGTACACTTGCAAAATTCACTTGTGAAGACTTTCATATATAATTCTCTTCCACTTCTGAAACGTCTGCACGTGAACCATACAGAAAAATTTATGAGGACTTGGGGAGAACAATGTTGTGCCCTCTCAGTTGGGGGGGAGATAACTGCATCACTCCTTAGGCATACCACTAAGGATAGCTATGACTTAGTTTTTTTAAGAGAACTTTTTTCTCTTTCATTTCTGTATGTCACTGTGATACCACGGGAAACTGGATACCATAATCCAGAGGGAACGTTTACGACTTAATTGGTGACGTTGCAAGATCAAATACCACGTTTAAATTACGTGACGTTGAGGCCTTGGTGACTGACTCGCTGGGTTGACATGTGGCAACACTGTGTAACTAAGGTTGTCAATGAAATTGAAGCAGGTTTCTGGTCTCATGATGGTCTCCAATGGGCAACTGTCGCACCGCTTGTTATTTCCCCTCAGCTCTGACTGTGATGCCAATGATGCCGAAGTCACAGATAATTCAGAATAGATTTTGAGACGCTTCCCTCTGCACCTGTCTTTTCCCGTAGCTGCCGTGTGCCCCTCTGCACCAACTGTCAACAATCATGTTTATAATGATGATAGTTTGTTAAACAATTTTTTTCTGTGATGCATGACAATTTCTAATAGATGAAAAGGTGTTTGGGTATAGGTTATTCATGAACATATTGCCTCGTAATATTTATGAACTACCTTTCTAAACTGATATATTTAGCAATTCAGGGGGATACTTTCTAGTCACACAGACTTTAGGAGGAGACTGAATTAAATGACTAAGGGTGTGTATGTGCTCACAATCAGCTAAGTTACTAAGCCTCTGGCAACTACCACTGCCAATGGCTGTAAGCAGCTGCAAAGCCCCTATTCTAGTAAGAAATGCTGCCATTGCTTGGCAACTACCATGCTGCAATTGCTGCTTACCAAAGTAGCAAAAATTCTGTGGCAACTATTGCTGCAAGCCCAAATGTTAGCTACCACTGCCAGGCTGATACAACTGGCCATTGTTGCCAAACGTAAGCTATTTAATGACTCCATGGCTGAACAGCCAGGAAAGAGCAGGTTCACAGTGAGAAACAGGTAACCCCAGAAACAGGTAACTACCACTGCCAGCCAAACTGGCAAGAACAGCAACCACACGACAAAGCACCACCCCACTTTTTGTTCTCCATTATGTTATGACTTTAATGTTCCTCTGAACAACAAGTTGCTCAGTTTCTTCCTGCTTCATTACATTAAATGTCTTTGTCAGTACTGTCTTCCGCCATATAGCTGGAATATTGCTGAGTATAAAACTAAACTCACTCACTCACTCAGTATTGTCTTATGCAATGATTGTATAATTAGTTGAACAGAGAGACTTTTCTGGATTTCATCTTCTTTTTATTGTTTGGTACAACGTTTCTGGGCTTGTTCAATAAAGAGAAGATGAAACCCAGAAAAGTCTCTCTGTTCATCAAATAGCATCTTCTGAAATGCCAATCAAACATGTATAATAAGTTGTCGGTTAGCACTATGGCCAAGGGACATGCGCACTGGCCTATCAATGTATATATAAAGTCAGTTCTGTCAGTAAAGTTGTGTTGGCTGGTCGTGCACATTGGTTGTCTCTCATGGGTAGTTAAGCAACCACCGAGAGAACAGAACATCTTACACTTCAAAAAACATTTTTTTACTTGCTTTCAGGAAGTCCTATGGAGACCCCAATCCACCCATGGCTCTGAAGAAAGTAAGATTCCAAGTGCTCAACAACCCTGGTGACAGGAGAGACATACCCAACTATGTAGTCCTCATCACCAAGAGTTTGAGATACTCCCGGCAACTGCTTCTAGAAATCAACAAGCTGAAGTCCACTGGTGCCAAGGTTGTGGGTGTTGGTGAGTGCAAATATGGGTGTATTAAAAGATTAATTGTATTGAAATGAGCAGAACAAATGTGGCAGTTTTAAGATTCAATAACTGAATAAAAAGCTTCCATTCATAGTTTACACAAATCTGGATGTCTTATAGGACATGAAAGTAATTTATCTGTAACACGACCATTTGTCATTAACACTATGTTACTGTTTGACTGGTATGGCCGTCTCACCTTTTCCTTATATTCTCTGGCCACATTATCTTTCAATCAGATTGAGGTCATATCAAACAATGTTATTGCTTGGGAGAATTAGGGAAAACATTAAAGCACTGGCTCACTTTTGACCATCATTTTCTTAACATCTGAAATCATTCAGAGAAAATAATGTTAGGAAATATTTTTAGGTCAGCCTTTCACCACTTTCCACATGCTATACCATCATAAAGAGAATCTTCTTTGGCACTTATATATCCAGATTGCAGCCATGTGCACTACCAAACATTTTAATGTTATACTGAAAGTTGGCAAGTCACGTTTGCAAAGCTAAAAGCATTGGTTATAATTAAATCTAAACCAGGAATGTGTTTATGCTAATTATGAATCTTTAACATCATTTTCTCAGGGTGAAAGTAAATCCCAGTTAAAACAGCCCTGTCATGTATTGTATTGCCTTGCTTCTCTGTTGAGTCTACTGTTCTAATGATTGAGGGCTGTGTTCCAGGCATCAACCTCAGTGGCTCTGACCAAAAGATGCTCTCACAGTACGTCTCCAGGCCTAGCGATCAGATGATGTACACAGCTAATCGTGCCAATGATCTTAAGGGCTTGGAAGAGAACTTCATCCAGTTTGTCTGTGAAGGTCAGTACTTTGTCGTAGTTAAATTCCCACTGAATTCTATTCATTACCCTAGGTCTTATTAACAACTTCCTACTTCCTGTAATGAAGTAGTATGCAATCAATTCGTCATTATTCAAGGGATTGAACTATTGCTTATCATTGTGCTTATTTTATTAAGATGCATAGCCATGAGGTTAAATACTGAATGCTTAATGCACATACTTTTAAACAACTTGTCTATTCCTTAATTTGTGTTGTATACAGCAATTAGCAATCAGTGATGTTTTATCACAACTGGGTGTTGATTTGTATCAGTTGGCACCATTATGTTCAAACAAACAACAAGACTATGACACAAACAACAAGATTATGACTGACCTGAAATTGTATCTCATTTTCTGGAATTTTTGTTTGAGAGATTCTGTTTACCAAATAGGACTAAATCAGCACCCTACAAAGTATCTAATATTCTAAAAAAACAATTTATGTAATTTGTTCTGTTTTTCAGAAAGCAACATGTGCAGCTCAGACCCCTGCATGAATGGTGGCTCATGTGTCAATTTAGACCGGGAATACACATGCCAGTGCCCAGTTGGATATGCTGGCCGACATTGTGAAAGACGTATGTGTCAAATTTGTCTTACGTGTAAACCTAATGATTTCTCAAACATTTGATGATTTTAATATTTAATTATGTTTATCTGCTCTGGTGACGAATGAAATAATGAATCCATAAAACTCCAAGATAACATTTTCAAAGATCCTTTCTACCACTGTTTTATCTCATGTTTGCTTAGTAGGTAGTGAAAATGAACTTTTTACTAATCATGTTTGTAATAGCTGGTTGGTTGCTGTTGTTTAACGCTGCACTCAGCAATATTCCAGCTAGATGATGGCTGGTAGTGATATAAGTGTCATTATTATAGATAACAGATTTTTGTAATAATCACACAATAATTCGCTGCTACTCTTTTTCCTCTTGCGTGAGATGAATAACATTGGCAGTTATGACATAATACATTTGGAAAGTTCATTAAAAAATTAAGAATGAAAAATATAGTCCTTTTTCACTAAAAGTTTGAGCTATACTCTATTCTAAGATTTTTTATTACTCTGTCAAAAGGATGCCAGGATGACCTTGACCTTGCCTTTGTCCTGGATGCTTCTGGAAGTGTGGGATATGACAACTTCCTGAAGATCCAAGAGTACATGTACTACATCATTGATAACCTTAATATTGGTCCATCCCGTACCCGTATTGCGGTGGTCACCTTCTCCCAGTATGCTCGTGCCCACATCTACCTGGACCAGTTTGACAACAAGAAGGATCTGAAGGATGCCATTTCTGGCATGACATATGAATATGGGAACACAAACACTGCCTCTGGAATAAAGCTCATGAGATCTGGAATCTTCTCAAGAAGGCGTGGTGATAGACTCAATGTGCCAAACTTTGGTAAGATATTTTTAATCAATTCAAACAATTCAAATTGATCATCTAAATGTTAAACTGAACTGATAACTGAAGGGATGTGTGCTACATTTCCATCCAACAAAATGTTTATAGGGGAGGGTGGGTACATTTCACGGCAATGGGTTTAACCATGATACCTTCATTCTGAAAGTAAAGAACATGTTCAATGCGGGTATATATGGAGGAGTTAAGTGAAAAAGCATCATTGAAACATGACTGAAAGTGTATCCGTTCAATGTATGTGGTATGACTAAAACTTATGCAGTGATTTGTATTTTTCCTCTTAAAGAATCACAGCTAGTAGCAAACTCAGTGATAACGTATTGTCACTTAATTGGAATTTTTACAAAAAGTATTTCGACCCTATGGATGCACTAATATATTTTGTAGCGTCCATTGTAAATGTTTATGCGCGTATAGGACGCAGGAATTCGCGTCCTGTAAATCCCTGCTAAAATATATCTAATAGAGATATATGTTACTGTTTAACACATGTAGTACCTGTATATTCTGACAAATCTCCACCTACACTGTATGTAAAGAGCCTCATATAGAATGTTTGTTCAAACTAACGTGTTTTCCATTTCTACAGCCCTGCTGATCACTGATGGCCTGTCCAATGTGAACGCTGAATCCACAATCCCACAAGCTCAGTATGCAAAGGATTCTGGAATCCACATGTTTGCAATCGGTATTGGAAGATTTGATGCATGGGAAGTTGAAGCAATTGCTAGTGAACCAACTGACAAGAATGCCTTCATTATCGATGACTTCTCAAGGCTGTACAATGTCTCTACTGGCATCCTGGACTCTATATGCAGAGGTAGGACATGCTGACCACAAGAAATCTCATAAATAAATAAATCTTCTAGCTGATCAAAACAGTACTAGAAAACTGGCAATGTATGCAGTTTACCTGTTTACATTGAAAGATTAACCTCTACTAAGGAAATGTTTATGTCCCCTTCTTTCAGATCCTGGTGTATGTGCTGACAACCCATGTGTGAATGGAGGCGTGTGCCGAGCTGGAATAGGGAAGTACACATGTGATTGTCCTCGAGGATTCCTGGGTTACAACTGTGAACTTGGTAAGTAAAACAAGGATACATGCTTTCAGAAATATTACAGTCAAGAGACAAGATTGGGTCCATTACACACATCTGGATAGAGAAAAGTTCATGTTTTGAACGATGATAAAACAGTGATTGTAAAGTTTTAGGCTCCCATACATTTACATAGTAGTATTTGATGAAGCTGTCAGACAGTGCATTTGTTCAGATCGCCACCAGAAAAAGGTGGAAGAACTAGAATTTATGCCTACAGGATTACTACATATTGTATGTTTAGGCCATTTCTTGTGTGTCATATTTCATGAAGGTGAAGTCAATTTCATCAAGGCTGTTTACAACCTGAACTCTTGGCTATTTTCAGATTGTCAGGCACCCAAGGACATTGTGTTCATGCTCGACTCCTCAGCTAGTGTTGGACAGGAGAACTTTGGTGTCATGCAGAAGTTCCTGGCTGCTGTTGTGAGGGATCTGTCGTCTACTGGCATAGAACACAGATTCTCCCTTGTTACCTACAACTCACGTGTGCGACTTGCCTTCAGCCTCAAACGCTACAGGCAGATAAATCAAATCGAGGATGCCATCATCACTACACGCTATAATCCAGGAGGTTCCAACATCGCAGATGCCATCAGAACAGCATCAGAAGTCTTCTCTCCCAGCCTGGGTGACAGGTCCAATGCAGACAACATCGCCATGCTGTTCACAGTAGGAAAGTCTTCTGTCAACTCTGAAGAAACTGTTGAAGCAGCGGAAGATATTAAATATGGCGGTGCTAGGTTTGTTGGCGTTGGAGTAGGAGTGTCAGATACTTCAGAATTAAAGCAGATGGTATCAAACCAGAATGATTTATTCCAGGTGGCATCGGCAAGCCAGCTGAGTGAAATTAGGTCTGAAATCTTACGTAGTTCATGTACAATAACATCTGACCAAGGAGCAGGAGGAGAGCTAGAGGGCAGCAGAGGCTGAGAATTCTAACTTTATTCTATTCTATAACTAACTGCTAATATATGTGTTCATCCAGTGTGTAACATAGGACTTTAACCAAGGAGGTATTCCTAATCAGGGTTCTACCTGATTCTATGAGGCAGGGTAGTTGACCGTTTGCTCAGCAGGGGGAGCTATGAGCCCAATAGCGCCTCAGATTCACCACCTACCTCCTGTGCTTATGTTAAAGTTTTAGGGTCTGTTGTTGTATCTTGCTCATCATCTGTGTACAGAATGTGCAATTGACTTGTCACTGCTTCTTGTAGCTGCAGCCATTGTCACACTGTCCATGTCTCATCTAGGTCCTTCATCATGAGCCACATGCTTCTTTAGACCAACGTCCTGTACCTACAACAAACCAAATGTAGATCACTAGTGTCAATGTGTTTTGTATAGATGTAATAAATTCATTTTTGCAGAATATGGCAATTTTATAATAAATAAAAGACTTTACAATCTATTTATTCATTGTCTTTGTTTTGTTTACATCCAGTTTGACTGAAATACTTTAGGTAATGCTCAATCCGAAATATTTGAAAAGAATTTAGAAAGAGGAAAACAGAGCAAAAAACTGCCAGGCAAAATCGCCTCCAAAATGAAAAAGATCGTTTAATGCAGGGATTCCCCTTATGCTGGTAAAACAGATTTGGGGGATCTTCATCCTGCAAGTAGCAACTTTGCAAAGGGTAGAATTTTACCTGTGCGAGGTGATTGATTAAGGAGGGATACTTATTTCCATCTTGAGAATGCAAACAGGCTACAGACTAATCCCTTGAGTCCAGTGACTCCAGTCCCCTGACATGTCCCCAGTACACCATCTGTGGACGTTCTCAAGCAGAGAGAGAATAAGCATTCGCCAGCTTGGGGTAACTTCTCAGGCAATACGAAGGAGAGCCATGTGCAAGTTAATCAACAATGTGCTATCAAAGTGTCCTGTATGTATTGGTCAACACAGGGAACACATCTCATCTACATACCCAAAATTATTTCACAGACATTTAGCTTTATGACACCTTCACTATCCTTTCATCAGTTCTCTCCTTTGTGTGTAAGAAGATGGTAATATGGTTTACACCATAAAAGGAATGATAGACAAAGAATATTGTGCCACTTTGGGAAATGCACAGGACGGTTTACAGTTTAACGTTCAAACATAAGAGGGGATTGGCATTTCTTTATAGTTGGATACACATTCACGATTAAGACCAAACTACAAACTTCCCTTCATTTGAGATGTTCCCAAACAGGTTATTCAACCACAATTAACACCACAGATTACCTTGTCACGAAGCACAATAATATTTTCCTGAGCAGAGGGTCGATGCCAGTAAGTCATTTCGAGATTAGCATCCAAATCACTACAAACTGCAGGTTGAGCAAGGAAATACTGGAGTTAGAATACATGATCCAACCCAAGAAGATGCAGCGAACTACTGAGAGGAGGAACACGTACGTCTTTGCAACCAGACACCGTTGAACGATTGTCACAATCCTATTTCACTATTAGTTGAACTATGTATTAAGTAAATTTGTGAAAATCGGTCTTATTTTGTATTTTTGTGTCTCAATTCGTTATCTGTGTGTTACAAGTATTCTTTGATCCTCTGCAGTGTTAATAATGACCCCCAACTTAAGCCACACGATGGGGATTATCACATAGCCATTTACCTGTTATTGTGCCCAAACAGGACGTTAGTAAGAAAAAGCTAATTATATATTGTGATCCTTTTTCTTAATTATTTACAATATCAAGGTAACAGTGCAAACATTCAACAATATAAACAATATTGTTATTTTGGACGTGAGTGAGTATGGTTTTCCGCCTCTTTTGGGCAATTTTCAAACAATATCACGGAGGCACCAGAAATGGGCAAACGCGTTGCTTTGAGAGGGATATGAACAGAAACAGTATATGTATAACTGGCAAAAGTCACCTACCAGCCATTGATTGCATCTAGTAGAATTCATACTAGCACAATTATTGCTATACCCTTTTCAGTCTTCTTGTCATATAAGGTGTGAAATATAATTGGTTCTTGAACTTGAACTTTTGAACTTGAAAGTTCTAAATCAGTTGAAAATACCATGTGAGGGGAACAGCGTTTTCCATCTGTTTAACTTCTTCAAGTAAATATCAACCGGACATAGAACTGTATGTAGGAGATGTCAGTGCAATGACAATATGTGATTTATAAAAATGTAAGGTCTGAGGAAACGTGATTTAAAAATATGAAATTATACACATTTACCGAACCTTTGTAAAGTCAATGTATTGCCTACATTGTAACTTGAATGAACGCCTAATGCCTACTTATCCCAGATGTTGTGGGTCATGTGTAACTAAGCCATAGTATTTGCTCTTAACCACTAAACATATGATCTAATATCTTCTGATTGGCACATGCTGGAGATCACAATGATAATACTTTATTACCCACAGGGGTATCTTCCCATAAGACAGACCTCCCAAAAGACAGACCGCTTAAAACAACACATTTTATGTTTGGTTGCATAAGGCTTAATTAAGCTGTACCCTTGATAATAATGGTATATGCCCAGATTAAAACAGACAACATTAGGTATTAACTATAGTTTTATCAATTCATGTAATGGATTATGATTTTTAAAATAAGACATATTGCATCAACATATATGCACATCAACATATATTTGCCAGATCACATTTACTTGTGAATATTATCAACAACAAAAATCAATAATCTATATACATGTACCTATCAAACATACGAGACCAAGCACCATATTATTTTATTATGTTTGTCAGTGCACAGATAACACTTATTAGAAAGTCACTTGAACAAGTTCATTTTCTCCTTTCACCTTGTCCTTGGCATACAGGTAGCTATCTTGAAGGGTGATCGAATAAAATCATGGGAAAATAAGTCCTGAAAAAATAAATATTATAAAACATCCTGTTCTCCAGCTACATACTTTGTTTATACTGAAGTTTATAGATACTATTTCACTTTCATCTTCAAATCATCCTGTTCTCCAGTTGTGTGCAAAAACTAATTCAACAACTGTTATAAAAACGTCCTATTCTCCAGTTATTTATATTTGTATGATCTTGAGTGTTTTCTTTATGATAATGGTGTAACTGGCCTCGAACATATCAATAACATTTTTGAGGACCAGTCTGGTATCTTTATAAAATTCTTGATATTACTTTACGCTGACGATACTTAGGGGATAACTGTACTGTGTTTGACGAATTGGGGACGTATACCGGTGGTTATATAGCCGCAAATTTAGTTATATCGGCGACGCGATATTATCCCCATTCTAATTCAACTCGTTTTACGCTGTTTTTTCGTGAAAGAAATTCATTATTTAAACCAGGTCAAAGTTCCTCTAGGTCAAAGGTTAATCATATCACTCCTTCAACTTACACCATCGCCAGAAAAAGTAGTTCCCTTTTCAAACTACACACGTTTATTATGTGCACACAGACTAAATCTGACAATGATGAATGGATCATAGTATTATAGATAAAATGGAAGGAATTATGATGAAATCGCCCTCTAGTTACAGAAACGAGCGGCCCGCTGATTCCTCAACTACGGGCCATTATCAGTTCTGTTGTCAAATGACGTCACCTGCTGTGACGTCACGCTCCATAATGACGTCATAATCTTGTTTCATGATCTAACAGTGTTGGGTCAACAGCCCGTTGCGAGTAAGTTGTTTGAACTTAAAATTAAATTTATGATACTATTTTGTCGTTTTTAACACGAATTCCACCCATTTTAGCTGGATAGGGCAGTTAATTGACCTATAGCTTCTGCAAATGACAATGTCCTGCAAAGCAGCGTTACCCCAAAAGTGTAGGGATACATTTAAAGGTTTTGGTGAATCGGTTTTCAAATTGCGACCGTATATGCTGATTATACGGTCGGAAATTTATAGCATTGACCAATCAGAACTCGTGTTTCATACTAAGTTGAATTAGAATGTCATATTAGCTGAAACAAGTGATGGATTGCAAAAAACTTTGAATGTGTTTGACGAATATTGTAAACAATGGAACATAGTGTGAATTTAGATATCTGTGATGAACTTCACTTTTTATTATACTGTCCAGGACTAAATGCCCTTAGAAATCAATTTCTTCCCCAATATTTCTGTAAACATCCTACTATTGAAAAAATTGTTTATCTAATGAAATGTGATTATTCACCGCTTAACTCTAAAGTTGCCAAATTTATCAAAACTGGACTTTGTTCACTGTTTTAATATGTATCAATATGCTGTATGTTCTCTGTGGCACTATATGTGATTTTGTAGAATAAAATTGTGGCTCTGTTCTGTTCTGTTCAGTAAAAGGATTAGTAATATGCTACTATACTCTGTAGTGACTCTGGTTCAGCTCATTAACTAACTAGGGGTGGACAGCATGGCTCAGCTAATTAGTGTACTCACTGAGTCTGTCTTATGGGAGGTCTGTTTTATGGGAGGTCTGTCTTTTGGGAGTGAACCACCACAGGGGGAATTCTTTTTACATTTGAAAGTGCACAATAGAATAAAATAAGATAGGAGACTAATACTAGATGGTACAACAGAGTTTTTAAATCTACAAGTTTTAAAACGTGGCACTAAGTATCGCCGACCTGATGGTAAGAGGGCATGTTCAGGAAATATAACGTGGGTATCGTTAGATAAAATCCTTCTTGAAAGGCTTATTGCACAGCTAGTCAAAAGAGAAGGTCAATCATTGCTGGCCAGTGAAACAATTCTATGGCGATAAGATTTACATTTAACGTTAAGAGTTCCGTACCAACATAGTAGAAAAAGTTAAAACACTTTCAACAAAACAACTGTAAAATAGTATCATAACATCTTTGCTAACATTAAAAGAGAGGCATAAAATATAGTCTCTGTTGGCATTTCCTAAGTATGAAGTATTAGCAGTCCATTGTAGTTTGTAATCAATGACTGTGCCAAGATATTTGTATTCAGTTACAGTTTCCACTATTTCGTTTTTAATTTCCATAGACCCGTGAAGGTCCGGGCTGGAATGAACCTTCAGTAACCCATGCTTGTCGTAAGAGGCGACTAACGGGATCGGGTTGTCAGGCTCGCTGGCTTGGTTGATACATGTCATCGGTTCCCAGTTGTACAGGCCGATGCTCATGCTGTTGATCACTCGATTGTCTGGTCCAGACTCGATTATTTACAGACCGCCGCCACATAGCTGGAATATTGCTGAGTGCGGCGTAAACCTAAACTCACTCCATAGGTGATAGCATACTTCTTTTGGTTCTAAAATCTATAATAAGTTCTTTCGTCTTATATTAACATTCAAGTGAAGGTAGTTACTTTCGCACCAGTTTACAAAGTCCTTGACGTCCTTTCTGTAATGAAGTTCACTTTCTTGTATAAGTCCGACTAACGCTGCGTCATCCGCGAACTTTACTGTCAGGCAATCTGGGTGTCGGCTTACACAACCATTGGTGTACAGAATGAATAGCACGGGCGAGATGACACTAGCCTGCGGTGCTACAGTATTTGTATTCAGAGTTGATGAGCGTGCTTGATTGGCAGTAACAAATTGTTATGCTTGTTATACTGTCCAATCATGGTCTTCACGCCTTTCCAAGCTTGGCGACTATTGTTCTGTCGGAACTGTCGTTCAGTCTTGTGCTTGTATTGTCCTTTGCACTTTTTAACTTGAATGTTTATGTTTTAACTTTGATGTTTTAGAATGTGTAAGTTGTGTCTACACACAGATGATTCCTGCACACCATACTTCCAGACGAGGCATACTGCACCAGCGCCTCTGAATGGACAAGACAGTTGGGCTGTGTCTACACACAGATGATTCCTGCACACCATACTTCCAGACGAGGCATACTGCACCAGCGCCTCTGAATGGACAAGACAGTTGGGCTGTGTCTACACACAGATGATTCCTGCACACCATACTTCCAGGTGAGGCTTACTGCACCAGCGCCTCTGAATGGACAAGACAGTTGGGCTGTGTTTGCACACAGATGATTCCTCCACACCATACTTCCAGATGAGGCATAGTGCAGCGCCTCTGAATGGACAAGACAGTTGGGTTGTGTTTGCACACTGATCATCTACGGTAGCATCAAATATCCACCACGTACATATTCTACATATTATTAACACATATAAAAGACTACACACTTTGAGCACTATGAATAAAATAATGAGTTATGCAGGTAGCACCACATCACAAACATGGTCAAAAAAGGCGAATTTCAACACCGACCGTTGAAATACGGCTCTCTATTGCTCGTCTGAAAACAAGGCGTCTAGACTAACGTTTAGTCCCTGAATACATATAAATTTGACAGGAGCAAATAAACCCATTTAAATTGAAAAGGAGCCCCAGTGAGATTCAGAGGAACCTGAGGAAATCTAGACTTGCTTTATTTAGGGCTTTAGCACTGCAGGGAGGGCTAAGCATTGGGGAAAATAATATGGTTCGGGGACTGTGAGACAGACTACAAGGCGTCCTGTGGTGAGTTGGTGTAGTCTCTTTTTGCCTGCACTTTAATTGGCTTTAAGCGGATTAGGATTAACAGTCCAGTGCCTGCACAGTTATAGTCTATTCAAGTAAGTGGAGTTCACTACCAAGCTCACTAACCGACCATGCTGAACACAGTTCATAATGATTAGGCAACTCAGTCATTAAAAGTAATCAAATATGACATGTGGCATGGGGGTTATTAAACAGACATTTAGTTTACTATCCGTCATTCTACAATGGCAGAGGCACTTGTACAATTTGTTCCCAATCCCTGGGGTGACCAGAGTTTAGTATGCAATGGTTACAAGTTTAGAGTGAAATCAAGAAGAAATCAAACTGTCAACTGGAGATGTTCGTGGAGCGTGTTCGATTTCTAAAACTTATCATGTAGCAACCTTGGCGCTCCACTTCAGTATAAAAAGTCTGTATGGACTTGTATAATGGGCCGGTGGCCCCCTTACAGAAATAAACATCTCTCTCTGGTGGGATTGTGAATATATTTATGTATAATGCACAATGCACATAAATATTTATTTCTGGTGTGCCATTTAATGCTTATTTATATATTTGCTGATTTAAAATTTCATGATATATATCAGATAATTCATTTTTGTATATTTGCACATAAATATTCTAACGCTTATTTATGTATGCTGATGTTACATGGAATATTTGTAAAATTAAAATGTCACCATATTTTCAAATGACTCATATTCGTATACATGTATGTGTCGGCATACAAAATGTGCCGGCATACTTGTGATACAAGTGCCGGCATACTTGAATTTCTGCTACAGACTATAGCTTTAATCCCCATTGTTGGAAGGACTAGTACGGTCCAGTAATTTTAATCCCTAAACAATACGTGCCGGCACAAAGAGAACACCCCGGTGAGGGTGACCCTAACAGTGTGCAGGGCCTCAAAGATCGGGGTGACTAAGCGACATTAGATAGGTTGTGGGCATATAGCGTCAAACCACGTTAACAGACTAATCAAAATTTTGCCAAGATGCTTAATATTTTCATAGATGGTAGAAAACGTTGACCACGCAGCCAAACACGAACACGATCGACATGAGGTAGAGTTATCACATGTGACAAGCGATTTGATTTGGTTAATCTGAATGGATTTGTTAATGTCACCAAGATCCCCTGATTTGTCACCAATCGAACACGTTCGCGGTATCTTGTAGCTACAATATCTTCCTGGGCTAATATAGATATCTCAGAGAAACAACACCATCTTCCAGAACTTAATTCAATCTGCTTCAGTGCTTTAATTCAGAACTCAGTTTTCAGGAGACATGTGAGGTCAGTGAGAAAATACTTAGTAGATATAGGTTAGTGTTAGTTTCTTGTCAGGTCATCCATGGCCACATTGACATGATGCGTAATATTTATTCTAAATAAATTGTAATTAAGTGCACTTGTCATATATCTTAATATTGTGTGCACAACATGTAACTTCTTTATTCCATATGAATAATATTTAGGTTCACATTTGTCTTTATTTGAGTTATGTGATACAACAGTGTCGCAATTTCTAATAGCTAAGCTAGTGTTTTCAATATGATGATGCCGACACCCGTTAGACTAGAAGGTTAAACCGAAATGTTTATGAAAATAAACTGGGTTTTTTTAATTACTGTCTTTTCGTTCCATCTTTCAAAATAAATAATATAGCTTCAGTTTGTTCCTGTGTTTTTATTTGGACTATTCCATTATAATGTGTAGGTAACAGGTAGAAGATAATCTGTTCACTGAACCGTAAATGTTGTTGTTTTAAGGTGTCTGCGAACTGGCTGTCTGCGTAATGGGAGGATACCCAGGTGACATGTTTGTCCCATTTAGTGGCCTGGCAATGTTGGCATAGTCTTGAGTGAGTGAGTGAGTGAGTTTGGTTTTACGACAAGCGTGGGTTACTGAAGATCAACCCGGATTTTCACGGGTTGGTATAGTCTTGAGTGACATGTGACCTGGTAATCAATAATCAACACAACGAATCATTACACTTACATACACATACCTACAAACAATGGACCTTAAAACATTGTTTTGTAATTCTACACTTTGTAATTTGTCTTACACGTTCGATGTTATTTACTTTGGCTTCGAAGTTGACATAATTCAAATGCCACAACATAGTAGTTTTTTACCCTAACATAGAATAAGAATTTTATACCATACCAATATTATGGTCCTTGAGCATGCACTAGTTGCGTGGATATATGCGCTATATAAATATTCAATGATAATATTACAGAGGCCTCCTCTGGATCCGCCCCTGCTTATATTATTATCAAAGACTTCGTTCCAATAGCCTGTCAATATGTTTACATGAATGTGGACGTATTGTCACTGTAAATTACAAATGCAATGGGAAAACAATCTGAGATAAACTATTTACATCGTCGTAATTATAACACATTTACACATTACATGATAAAAAAACCAACTTGATTTTCAACGGGATTCGAACACATTGATTTATAGCTGCACCGTTTGAACGTTACAATTCAGTGTTTACCTCCCTTCAAAGATAAAGGGAGGTTACTCCAAATAGTGTTACCAAATCATTAAAATTTCAGATGCTATGACAAAAAGTGGACTGACTGCGCTCTAGATGGAGCTTCGTAAGAACGACTTCAAGAAGTTTAGAAAGGTATACTGTTTCTAAATAATGTATATTTTGAAAGACAGCGAAAATGTCCCCAAGAGTCAAGATGATTGATCATTTCAGGAGGTCAGTGAGGTACAGGACGCCACACAATAGTTTGGCCGTTTTCAGCCTTCATTGATAGTTACAGGAATGTGGAGAATTCAGAGCTTGTGTCTTCATATCTGATAGAAACAATGAGGTTACAGCCGTCTTAATCTAACAAAATGGCTAAATTCCAAATTCAAGGTACCAGTCGAATTGCCCCAGCTACAAAATGCCTCAGCAAATTTCGTCAAATTGCCCCGGATTTTTTTGTCAAATCAGAGACCGATCCATCGCAGGCCAGAAGGAGGTCTTTGATCTGTGGGCACAGTACAACGAGGAGGGCTTCTGTTCTTCTCTTTTTTCAAGAGTGAGCCGCATCCATGGACCATCACACCACACAGAAGAAAATTATAAATGAAGGAAAGACTTGATGTATTTCTTAGAAACAATTCGGAAATATTACTTCCTAATAATTTTTATATGAAGAATATAATAGCAAAGTTGACAAAAACTATGCACGGGACAATATGACCACATTTGCTGGGGCTGACACAGTAGTGGCTGAGAAATTCCTTGTTTGTGTTTAATTGTAAATGGATTTACGGTCAACATTGCAACAACAGACACTGGTTGACTTTAATAAATATACAGATACAAAATTGACTGCTGGGAAGTTAATTACCATGAATAAAGTTAAAGGTCACATGCAACCAAAAAATCAAACATAATTAAAACACAATTATCACTTCTTCATGACATATAATATGCATTGCTGATTATGAAAAAACAAATAAACAAAATTATAAGCGTATAATCGCAAATCAAAAGTGCAATATTTTGTACTTGGGTTTACCTCCCTCGAAACGAAGCAGCCGGGATACCGAACCCAGTCAGAGCGGGTGGGTGTGCACTCAAGTGTAACAGCTGGTTCATTAGCAGATGCCGCCTTCACGGGTCATTGTGTGTGTATATAGAGAGATGTTGGGTTTTGTAAATACATGCTCATTTTTTGTGTATAACATTATGCAATCAACAGACATCATAACATGTCATGTGTTCAAGTATCACACCTGCCTGTCTGTGTAATTTCATAATGTGACAGAGACCGAACTCGGGCCATAAATCAATGCGTTTTGTTTATGGTGTATAGCCTGATTGGTGTTAAGTTCAAATTGCATGTGGTCAGTGATCGCAGTTGTGTATTGAATATTGTCATTAGCAGACAGGCAGGCCGACACACAGGTGTCAATAAAACAAGACATTGAGTTTTGTCTGTGACAAAGACATATCTATATCACAGTTAGAAATTCTGTCAACGCTAAATAATGACATTGCTTTAAAGTATCGAACTGAGAAAGTGACTCGGTAAGAAGAACGTGTGGTGAAATAGACAAATGAAATTATATAAACAGTTTATTTACTGTCATAACATATAAAAAGTTCGCGCCTGTGAGATATCAACAAAACATTATGAAAATAGCTCACACCAAAGCCTTCACCGAGTATTCACCAGACAGCCCGCTTCCAAGTTGCGCGAACCTATTTCACTGCGCACGTGCTATGAGCGCAGCCCAGCTGTTGAAACCCGTATTCCCCAGAAAAGTCTGGGGAAAATTAGTGAAATCGTTTGAACTCCGATTTCGAGCGTTTTTTTTCATCGCGTTATTTTTCAACTTTATAAGTTGAATTTGCATTTTTGACGCTTTGTTTCGGTAAGTCCATACCGAAAGGTATCAGAATCTGCAAAGTTGTGTTTTACGTTGCATGTGACCTTTAACTACTGTGAATAAAGTGTATCTACAAGTGATCAGTTAATGACAATTTTCAGCACCTTGTTTCAAATTTGTGTTTACATATTTACCTACAATCATTACTTGCATCTACTGTAGCAGATGACACCAAAATGGTGATTTATGAATTATGTCATTAGTATTCACATATCTGACAATGCAAACTCACTTTTCAGATGAAGGTAGTACAAGCATGAGTGAGTGAGTGTGGATTTACGCCACTTTTAGCAATATTCCAGCAATATCACCGTGGGGGACACCAGAAATGAGCTTCACACATTTTGCCCATGTGGGGAATCGAAACCTGGGTCTTCCGCGTGACGAGCAAACGCTTTAACCACTCGGCTACCCCACCGCGCCCCAGTACAAGCATGAACAAGATATGAACTGTATCATGTATGTTCATTTGACATGAGTCATGTCAACACAACTGTTACTTCATACCCAATTTGATAGAGAGCAATGCTGATCTTCAACAATGTACATGTTAAAAAGAGGGCATACAGTGGACTCCCTCTAAACAACATTGCTCGGTGAAAAATGTCGGTTAGGAGGGAGTTTTCAGAAACTCATAATAGGCACTTAGCATGTGATTTCAATTATCTGTTTGATTGGCATTTTAGAAGTTGGTGAGTGATTAGCAAGTAATTAACAGTTAATCCTATTACGCCTTGGCAGGCCACCTCTCGTACAAATTTTAGAAGTAAATGAAGGGCACTGCCCAAATAGAATGCTATGTTTGCCATTACACATCTGAAAAATCACTCTGTATCAATCAACACTTTATTTCCGTACAAAGGCCATCGGGCCCATATACATACAGTTTCATACATTATAATACAATTTGCATATATGTATACACGCCCATCTGCATACATGTATACAGGTAATCTGAACATACAATGCAGGTTAATATGGATAAAGTAGATAAAGATATGATATGATAATACAAAAGTATAATATGGTATTTAATATTATCTTTCTTGTAATAGCTTACATCTTTGTTCATAAGAATGCATTATATATAGGCTGAGCATTTTCAAACTATGTACGTTATTTGTCATAAGTGTCACAATTGTTCACAACATTCTCGTGCAATGCCAGGTATTCCATCGGGGCTGAGTGGTTTCTGAATGTTAATCTACCTCAATGCTGGCATCACATCAAGGTTGGTGATTACTAAATTATTATCTTCAGGTAGGCTTTGAATGAAGACATTTCTTGTCTGAGAGAAGTCATGCACATCAAATCTTGAGTAGAATTGATTGAGATCTCTCCCAATAAGACATCCTTTTGAGTGTTCAAGACTGTACATTTACTGTCGTTGCAAATCATGGTTTTAATTCCATTCGACGCTGCTTTCACGTTATTACTCCGAATTGGTTTTCTTTTCTTTTTTGTATCAAGTTTACATATTTTAGTCGCACATTTGATATCTCATCCTTTAGTTGATAAATAAAAACTGATTGATGTTTTCTCTCGAAATACTTATTTCAGATGGCTGGACAGGAGGCATGTTGATGTAGCAGTAATTAGCTTTATGACATGAACTGGGAGTGATAACATGGCAAACTCCAGGACTCGATTTAGTGCTTTGTTACTTGCACTGGTGCAACCCAGTATCACAAAGTGCAACCTAGTTACTTGTTTAACTTGCACCAGGTGCAAGTCAATTTTTGAGAAATAAATCAACAATAAATCTAGCATTATAAGCATAATTATGTCAGCTCATTTTTCTTCTATTCTAAACATTAAATAATTCAATAACATATTTCGTTCATTACATATTGCAATAAGAGCACTGAAGCTGGAATTTGGCTGGTGCAAAAGTTTTTATCTTAGGTTGTACCTGGTGCAAGTAGGTTAACAGCTCTTCAATCGAGCTCTGAACTAGACGTGATGATATGTATTCGAGTTTCGATTGTAGGTCTTTAAATAAAAGAGAATAAGCATGTTTTGTTTTTATAATTCCAGACTACAACATTAGAAGCCCGTTGACCTGAAGATGTTTACTATGAGTTCCCCAGGGGAGTCCTATCTGAAGTGTGAAATCTGCCTTGCCAGTTTTCGGAGCAAAGAAGATTTTGAGACCCATGAAGAAGAACACATCCTGAACACTGAGATCCCTGGGGATATGAGGTCTCCAGGTCCAAGTGCAGCAGCATCAGGTCTAATCTATGTCTGTCCAATATGCCAGGAAGACTTTCTGTCTGATGATCATCTGAAAAAGCATGCGCTGTTGCACCACGGTGTAGAATCACTGGATAGTGAAGTGTTATCAAATGAATATGATCTTCCTGAATACAATGCACCGAAGAATTACAAGCATGGCAGTGCAGGGACTTCCTTGTCTGATGGAGATGCTGGTGACAATACACTGTTGGGGACAGGGGAGGGATGTTCCATGTCTGATAGTGAAGATGCTTGTGTCACTACTGTGTTTGGTGAGATGAGCGAGGGAGTCCATTCAGTCACAACCAAGACTGGAGTATCTCAGACAGGCAAGAGACCTTTCTCTTGCAGCTTTTGTGACAAGTCCTTCCTGCGTAAATTTGACCTCAAACGTCATAATGTCACTCACACAGGGGAGCACAGCTTCCGATGTGGAACATGTGGATTAGGGTTTCTGGATTCATGTGGACTCAAGATCCATTTACGCACCCACACTGGAGTTAAACCGTACAGCTGTGGAGTATGTGGCAAGGCTTTCTCGCGGCAGCATGATGTCAAACGGCATTCAATCATACATGCCAAATCTCGGATTAAGTGTAAATGTATGGTCTGTAATTTGAAGTTTAATGATCTTACACAGCTAACCAGACATTTCATTTTCGCTCATTCAGAAGGAGATGATGTTGCATGTTACATGTGTGATTCGACTTTCAAAACTAAAGAAGAGGCTTTCAGACATGTAGAAGAATCACATCCGCAGAAGGAAATTGAATCCAACTCCAAGGTAGCACTTGCAGACCAGGATGAAGATCAGAACGACTATTTTGATTGTGCCACAGGGCTGAACAAATGTCCTGTATGCGAGAAGCTATTCACGCGGAAGACGGATGTAAAGAGGCATTTGAAAACACACACAGGACACAAGGATTTCATATGTGGTATTTGTGGAGTGAGTTTCATGGACTGTTCGGGATTGAAGGTACATTTAAGGACTCATACTGGAGAGCGCCCTTTTCGGTGTCATGTCTGCGAAAAGAGCTTCAACAGAGGCTATGACCTCAAGCGGCACATGACAATTCACAAAGATGAGCAAATCCTTAGCTGTAGGGTATGTGATTTGAAGTGTGAAAATATCCCCAGTCTTAATGAGCATCTCCAAACACATAAAGAGGTTGTAGAGAAATCACAAGATGATAACAATCACGAATCTGTGTCAGAAGATATGGATAATCCAGAGGATGAGTCAGATCCTGAGCTTGGAGAGCCAGAAAACATTTCTCCCACCAAAATGTTTTTCTGTCATGTTTGTACAACTGGATTCAGCCGTAGTCACGATTTGAAACGACACGTAAGCAACTTCCATCCTGGAGAATATTTTTTCAAATGTGACATCTGTGGTTTCCAGTTTGATAACCGTCAAGATCTGAAACATCACATGAAATCCCACTCCACCCGGCATGTCACATGCTATCTTTGCAACACTGACTACGAATCAGACTCCAAGTTACAAACTCATCTGAAGTTCCATACCGGGGAAAATCAACATGAATGTGTCATCTGTAACAACATGTTCTTTAATTCCTATGATCTAAAACGACACATGATGTCCCACACTCAGGAAAAGCCTCACAAATGTAGCTTGTGTTCGTGTAAATTCTTCGCTGCATGTGATCTTAAAGTTCACCTTCGCACCCACACAGGAGAAAAGCCGTACTCCTGCCCTTCATGCTTCAAAGCTTTTAACCGTAAACACGACCTGAAGAGACACACTGTGGTGCACAACAAGACTCCATCTTGAATATTGTACATTTTCTTTTGAAAATAGTTTTGTTGGTTTCTCAAGGCAACTAACCAGGTATTTGCACATATTGTATTTTGCTAAAAGTATTTATTTTCTAACTTTTTGTATACACTTTCATCTTGTCCATAAAGAATCTACTTTGATGGATTCTTGAGACAATTTACCTTTGAATCTTGTTATCTCACTCCCAAGTCGACTGAAGTTCATGTGAAGAAGAACTTTCACCATTGCAATAGTGTGGGTTATTATTGCGATATAATTGCAATAATAAAATAGCCCAAATAGTCATCCCTCTTATCATGATTATGGTATTTACATTTGGGGATAATACCAGTTTACCAGAGTTTACCCCGACTCACAAACATAGGGGTCCTGAAGACCCCTAATTATTAGTTTTAAGGGTCCTTGCAGGCATTGAGGGTCCTGTGAATGAATGGTGTAGAGAACTGTATGTTTTGATAATTTCTTTAGAGCCTGGAATGAATCATTGATCATGTGAACTGATGGGTGAAATGAAAGAAAAAAAACAAATACATGTCATAGATGTGTTGTGGGTACAGTGAATAATATGGTGTGTCCCTCTGGAAGCAGTGAAAATTTTTTTTCTCGTCCATTCTCTACATTTGTGCATACTCTTGTAAAACCCTTTACAGTTATCTCAATCCTTCACTAGCTAGCCAAAACCTTCAAAAAGTACCTCTTAATACAAAACCATTGGAACATTTTCACAAGGATTCATACTATTACATGCCTCTTTGTATGTTACAAGTTGATAATTGTTAGGTGAAGAAAATGCACACGTGACCCAGGCATGCTGCAATTTTGTGTGTAGAGTTGTGTCCATTTGATATGATAGAATCCATTGGACAGGAGTTCAATCCCAGATGTTTCTTCATTATGATCATTTGTGTCAGTACAATACTGATGGGTGTCACATGAGTGAGGTTTTAATGATCAGTAAGTATTTGGGTTACTGGACATATACTAGCCACATAAAGAAACTGTGCATTGTCAAAATATTATCCCAGTTGATAAGTACGATAACAATGTCAAAGGTACATATAAACTTTAATGGTGGGATCATGAGACCATAAGTCGGGAGAATTTCAATTGAAAAGTCAATCACAATGACGTCACAAGTCCACAAGCGGGACAGGCGTCAAACGACCATGTCACAAGCTCAATAACGGGTATGTCCACCATCGGCATTGAGAACAGCAGTGCATCGACGACGCATAGAGCCTATCAAACGTGCAAGGAAGTCTTGTGGAATGTCACGCCAGATTCTCTCAAGTTCTTTTGCAAGGTCAAGGACGTTATCTGGTGGATGAGGAAGAAGGCGTGAGACGCCGATCCATCTCGTCCCAAACATGCTCTATCATCGGAGAGATCCGTGAATTTGCAGGCCAAGGCAGTAAGTCAACGTTGTGGTGTTGCAAGAAATCCATAGCAACCCTTGCCGTATGGGGCGGCATTGTCCTGTTGGAATGTTAACCCAGGGCCATGACGTTGAAGAAAAGGAATTGCCACAGGTCGAAGAATCTGATCCCTGTAGGCCACACCAGTTAAGTTGCCCTGAACAATCACCAAAGGAGTTCTTTGGCGTGCTGTTATTCCACCCCAAATCATCACGGAACCACCACCAAAGCGATTCCTCTCCAAGACACAGGCCTGTGCATAACGTTCTCCCACGCGTCTATAGGCACGTTGACGTCCATCACTATGGGAAATGTTAAACCTGGACTCATCTGTAAAATCAACATTTCTCCACCAAAACAAGGGTCTGCGGACATGATTTCGTCACCACATTCGGCGAGCTTGTCGATGACGTTGTGTCAGGATAGGCCGTATGGCGGGACGTTGTGGTCTGATCCCGTGATGACGTAAACGTTGTCGAACTGTGTTGGGGTGGATACGGTGAAGTCCTGGGATGGTTCGGGCAGTCATCACTGCAGTCTGAAACCTGTGGCGAAGATGGGTCACCCTTATCCATATGTCCTGTCTTGGCGTTGTTACACGTGGACGCCCAGAACGTGGCCGATCGATGACGTCATTTGTGTTCTGGTAGCGTCTCACCAGTGCAGAAATGTTGTTCCGGTGGCAGTGGAAATGTGCAGCCACTTGTCGTTGAGACATTCCCTCACGGACCATCCCAATGGCCTCATGACGTTGTGCAGACGTGAGCCTTGGCATGCTATGCGTTTCAATAGCCGTTTAATTTTTTGAACGATCGCAAGGGCAGGGGCTGAGCTTTCCAAAGTGACAGTATTGTGTGGCATTCCTTTGTTCTGTTTCACTTTCCCGGAATGCATGTGCAACAATGTATTGCACGTTTCAAGGACGAACCCACTGACGTCACGCAACGTGGCACGTGCATGCATGTTGGATACATGTCACTAATCTCTGAGTTTAGATCCTTATGTGTCTACACAGGTTTGATAAATTTAGATTTTAAATTTTTGTATGCACAGTTTCTTTATGTGCCTAGTATATATCAAAGCATGTCGGCTTAATGTGAGGAATTCTGAATGTGACGCCTGTTTGAGATGATCATTTCCATTAAACCCATGGGTATTCTGCTGACATTCATCTTTAGAATAAGATGAGGAGGTAACAAGGTTCATCTGTGTAATATTTGTAACATTACAAGGTTGTTTGTGTCATGATTGTATCATTTATTTATGGTTTAAAGACTATTTTTGTAGATTTGCACAAATTAAATGGGCTGCAACATTGCCGATGTGACGTTAAATATTAACTAACTCACTCACAAATTAAATGAGAGGCTTCACCAGTAGATTTACACAACACATGTATATTGTCAAACCCAAGAACTAGAGAAATATTTGTGAATTTACAAGAATGTAATAATGTATATCCACCTATTGCCATTGTTTGTCTCATAGTACTATATCGATAGGAATTGATGAATGCCAATAGTATTGTCACTAGTATTCATAACAATCACTAGTTTCAATAGCTGCGATTGCAAATAGTTACAATAAAACACAAATTATGCAAATTTCACACCTGCCTGTGTGTTGGTTAGCAAGGATTACAACTAATTCAGATTCCAGTTACTTCCCTTGGGGTGGAATTAGCATATTTGATGAAATGGATGACTTTGAGATTGTCACCAATACTATATTATACGTTGATAAAGACTATTTTAGCAGGAAACCAGGTTCTATGGATAGTCAACTTTATTGCAATGAATGCGATGTTTCAGTGTAGATACTAACACCATTATCAGGCATTCTAAGAGCTTAGCCTCTTAGAACAATCGAGAAAAAAATACATTATCAGACAATAAAGGTATAGTTTTTTGATGACGTAACAATTGAATGACGTTATCCTGTCACTGCGCCATTCTAGTGTGCCCCCTCGTAATCGAACCATTTTACATTACGTCACAATGTAAGTGACGTCACGATGCATGTCAGTTGTCATCGCCTCGTACAGCCTCCTACAGTAAACTACTGCGTTGCGTCCCGCTTCTTGGTTTGCAGTTGCTTCACTCACCTAACATCACTGGTGGAAACATTACGCTGTATGTTTTCTGACGCTTTTAAATGTCTCAATTGCAAGTTTTCAGCGACCACGGTAACGCTCGCAATGTTTACATTCCCACTATGCAATCGTGGAATGTCGCTAGACTACTCAGCTTCATGTGGATGTACTGATCTAAACATACGCTGGTAGTAGAAATGCGACGCGCTCACATGGTTTACGTTAATCACAGATGTAATTAAAATACTTTAGAGAAGATATTTAATCAGAACGTAAACCGCCATGAAACTGTTTATCATTTGTTTTCTGGTAACGCTCGCCTTAACGTGAGGGGGCAGACACATCAATAGAACAACGCCAGTTAGCCCCTGTGCGAGGATTCTTAATTTAGGTCACCCGACACCGCCGCTTGTTTTCTGCCTTAAATTAATCGTGAATTATCCTTAGAAAGTATTAAATTTGGCATCTTAGAAAGAAATAGTTCGCTTTACCCCATGTATAGTGTAATAAAAACATTTTTTTTCCCTGAACTATTATGGCGTTAAAGCACTCGGACGCAAGCGCCCCTCGCTTTAACTATAATAGTTCAGGGCAAAAGTGTGTTTTATTACACTATACATGGTGGTAGAGCGAACTGTATTTCTTAATTCATTGCAAAGAAGTTTACTATACATAGAACCTGATTTTACAACTTCTAAAATGCCTCTCAAAGACGTTACTAGTATACTCTTTTGCAGCCTAAAAGTTGGTTTAGCACTATCATACAATACTATAATAATCGCTGACATCTATCACAATACTATTGCAATAGTGTGGGCTGCTATATGAATACATTTAACAAAGACAAGTAGCCCTAACAGTCATCCTTATTATTTATTATACTTTAAGGATGGTGCCAGTTATCTCACCATTCCACTAGCTGGCCAAATCCTTGAAAAGTAAGCAACTCTCCATTATCCATACGAAGCCACACAGCTGTCATACCATTCTTCATTTGTATGTTAATTCTACCAAATCACATGCAGCATCAACACATCAGACAAATAGGATGAACTCCCCTTTGTCTTGGAACGGACTCCAATCATGAGTTGGGTATGTTTTGTCTGGCAACAGTCATGGTAACCTGAACCAGTGATTCCTGGAGATGTCCCTGTGGAGAAAGGATTTACCATGATGATGATTATTGCATGTCTGACAATGGTAATGTACAGCCTCTTTATCTCTGGATGTGATTGAAGGCGTATATTCTGGATTCCAAAGCCCAACAAGCTCTGTATGGACCTCTCCCTTCCTTCACTAAAGGAAGTTGGACATGTCAACATCACATGCATAGATATGCCAACTAGTCTAAACAATAATTTAGCCCAATTAGTATTTTGGTCCAACACTGATGCAAAAATGAGTATTTTTTGGCCAAAATTAGTATTAACTTTTCCACAGAACTTTCATATAAAATAAAAAAATTAAATCCATAGATAGTCTAAGACCTTGTTATTAACATTGTACTCACCTAAATCAGTAGTATCCACATATAGCATGATACTGAATAAAATGTGGTTGAAAGTTATTGTGTATGGTACGTATGCTGTTTGATAATTTATTTTTATGTATTTCTTTTTTTAAATTCGTATATTTTGACTGCTATTGTAGTCGTGTATTTTGTACTGTTCTTTCATAACAAATTAGGGACGGTGGGGTAGCCTAGTGGTCAAAGCGTTGGCTCGTCACGCCGAAGACCCAGGTTCGAATCCCCACATGGGTACAATGTGTGAAGCCCATTTCTGGTGTCCCCCGCCGTGATGTTGCTGGAATATTGCTAAAAGCGGTGTAAAACCAAACTCACTCACTATATATTGGTGTATTTTACTTGAAGGTTTTGTTGTTTTTTTTAGTCAGTCATAACAAATATGATACAAGAACATAAAACAAGAGAGGAGTCATCTCATCCAATGAGCAATGCGCACATATCTTGCAAGAAATTAGTTTGTGTTTTTCACTGCAGTCACAATAACACATCAGCCTGTACAGTCTAGGCCAGACAAACAGTCCATTAGTATGGGCAACAACCCACGCCACTACAGTGTGATAACACAACCAAGGCTAGAGATAATCTGCTGTTCCATTTAGTGATGTCTTAGCTAGTAAGGCAACTTGAGATCTCTTCTTCTCATTGGAGGACAAACACACCTGGGAAAGATAGGAGCATGTCAGTGTTGAGAAACCAACCGACTCCTTTTTGTTTTAATATATAGATAGAAGAAAAAGCTGCATATATTTATTGGTACAGATGCATCGTAAGGCACAATCTTATCACAAAGATCATACATGATAGAAAAGAAAATCAGGAATAAATAGTATGTTCAGTCATCAATGAGCCAAACTGACTAAAGTTTCCGTTATCACAGTTGTCAACTGAAGTAGTTTATATTATACAGTTAATGAAAATCTGATAATCCTAACAAGCAATATATATATATATATATATTTCAACAAAAATATAAACATTTAAGCTACACCAAAGCAACGCAAAAAAGTCTCAAAAATATTTTGAAAATATGCATTTTTGTAGACATTAGAAAAGCACTAGAGATTCATGTTTAGAATGAGAAATAAAAACATGGGAAAATGCATTGCCGAACATTACCTTAAGGATCAAATATACAATCATCATTGGCTATTTTTCATCCTTATTTCAAGTTATAAAGCCAATATGAACATAAGTTCTTGAGGCTATTGTCAGATCTAGAATTTGGAAGAAAGGGGTAATGCAAACACATTGTAATACCCAAGTATTTGATTTGGCTGAGTGAAATTAACACGAAAAAGGATGTGTGTACTTGCCCAAATAGCTATTGTGCCGGGATGTGTGTACTTGCCCAAATAGCTATTGTGCCGGGATGTGTGTACTTGCCCAAATAGCTATTGAGCCGAGTTTTGGAAAATGTAGTTGATATTTCTGAAAATGTGCTTGGATGACAACCTAGATAGATAGGTGTATCATGGATGATAGCATAATGTTTCTGTCAGGAGTGTATGTACTGGTGAATTGCAACAACCCTAATATTTATGTAAATATACATCAAAATTATATATATATATATACACAGCATCAAGCATATCAAACAACAAAACATTTACTCAAATGTTGTAATTTCTAGGCAATCTTCGTAAACAAACCTGTGAAGATCCGTGTTAGAATTGATCTTCAGCAACCCATGCTTTTAGTTGTAACGGGATCGGATCGTCAGGCTCGCTGACTTGGTTGACACATGTCATTGTATCCCAACTGAGTAGAATGATGCTCATGCTGTTGACCACTGGATTGTCTGGTCCAGACTCAATTAATTTACAGACCACCGCCATATAGCTGGAATATTGCTGAGTGCAGTGTTAAATAACAAACCAACCAACCAATCATAAACAAATTGGCCTGGGATCAAACCTGCATATACTTACATGAAATGAATAAAGCAGAACTTGGTGCTTAGCAATTTTCCAGCATGAGGCAAAATGTTGGAACTACACTGACAATACATTCTGGAATGTCTACTCAGAGTGAATATTGCTTAACACTATCAGCACATTTGCAGTTATTCATGGCCAGGTCTACTAAACTGTCAGTGACATGTACAAACCCAAAACTGGAATGGAATGCATAACAATCATAAGAAACTTAAATATACCTGTCTATTAATACTGGTTGAATGTCTCATGATCCTGACCAAGTTATTTCAGTCCTTGCTACACATGAAGCAAATTTACAGTTGTTCTTCAAGTCAATAGTTGTCTGGTTCCCCAAGGATCATCAACAATATACAAGAAAACATGTTTGCATCATTAGGTACTACTGTCACGATGTACTCCCTGTATGGAGCGGTGCTCACAGTGGGGTTGCAGTGGCTTGACTCAATGCAGGACTAGCAGTGGCAGACCTCATCTCATCAATACAACATGGTACTCATTCTGAGTGTTGCAATGTCATGTTGCTACAATAGCACTTTGAACAGCATAAACCTTCATCATCACTGTTCATGTTGGCACGGCTTTCCTTACTTTAACATATAAAAACATAATAGAGGCAAATGACATCAAAGCCAAGAAGCAAAATTAGAAACCCACTAAAAGTTTGGTGGTCATCAGATGGAGAAAACATCAATTATCAAACACAGTCTTCCTTATCTTTATAGTATGCCCATCTAAATAATTGTTCGATCTAAGAGTGGTGATCTCTTATTTTGCTGGAATGGAAGCTGAAAGCTTTGGCATCAGTGGTAACAAGTGGGAATTTGAAGCAGCCAACATCATAGTTCTCAACAACACGATCTTCGACCTTGGTGATGACGCGGAGACATCCTGTGAGTTTGGCATCCTTGATGTCCAGCTTGTACAGTTGGAGACACAGTGACACATCCTTCATACTCAGCAGGGGAACGCACACAGGAGGCGGGTTCCTCACTGGAAACAGACACTTCTTAGTAACCATGGTAACAGCTTCTTATCAATAACATCTCCAATTATAATAGTGTTTGTGGTGAAGTAAAAACAGCTTAGTGCAAGCCATTGCTAAATCAATTTATAGAGTGACATTTAAGTGAATATTGTTTATCATTGCAGTCCGCAATCCTCAAGCCATATCACAACAATGTTGAACAAACAAATAGCTGAAAACATACACCATCATCTATGACATCCAGTCACAATGACAATGTGTAGACCAGGGTCCCGATCCAAAAAGCGTTCGTAATGTTACGACCTGTCGTAACTCAATAGTTTATCATAGGTTTACAATTGTCATAGTGCTTCGAATGTTGTAAGGATCTGGACCCAGGTCATCAAACACAACCTCTCTCTCCATATAGGTTGACTCATGAAAGCAAAGATAACATAGATCAATTCCAACCAGGAATCCCCAGGGTCTTGCGCAGTCATCACTCCATGACAACTGACTGACTCAAATTCAATTAGTCTATTCGATTATTAAAATGTGAGCATCCTGAGTCAACCAAAGCTACTACATTTCTAGTAGCAAAGGACGACCAGATTGAACCTGTGTGAGCCAGTGGAAATCAAGGATGTCTTAGGGCCTGCATACACTGCAACCTTAGATTAACACATAATGGCAGACGGGAGGAACAGGAACACAACTGCCCTGTACACCTCTGTGGGGTTAACAAACTATCTATTTTACATAACTTCATCACTTATAGGGTGGTGTCAAACCAGAGTACCAAACCTAAAGGATCCACAAGATATTGAGCATCTTAGGTTAACCGAAGTGTGATGAAAGTGAATAAGCGTTTCTTAAATTTGTACACTTTTGTTAAACCATGGTCACCAGTTCACAGTTATCAGGGTCTTTTAAATCAAACACAAGAACTGGCATTAGACATCACTCACCAGAGACTGTCTTGTTGATGTAGACTTTCTTGTCCACTGAGAGGCTGATGTCTACGATGGACTGCTTGGGTTCAAATGTCAGGTTCCCACACACTGGAGGACAAAACAAATTATTCTTGATAACAACACCTATTTATATAACACTGTCTTGTTACCCTTCCAGTTGTGTAGAGGGGTGTGAGCACTAGACATACATGCAAGAGTCTTGATAAGTTAGCTCTACATAAAGAAATTGCCATCAACATTTAAACACCAGAAATTGAATGTCAACAAATCTGAAGTTCCATTGTATGTCTGGACATGTTTGCAATCTTGTTTATTAATTAATTTGCTAAATAATTAATTCAAAAAGGTTTGTGTGAAATCATAATCAAGCGCATACTCTTCCCAAGAAGGAAGTATGGTACGTGGTTTACAACTAGAAAAAGGTCTCAGCAAGGTTAAGAAAGACATTGATGATTCTGGCACGTGTAGACATAAATGAATGATCATGATTTAGACAAGTTTCACACATACAAGAGGTGGTAGGTAGCCCAGCAGTTAAAGTGTTCGCCTGTCATGCAGAACATCTATACATGGGTATAACATATGAAGCCCATTTCTGGTGTCCCTGCCATGATATTGCCCGAACATTGCTAAAAAAACCAACTCAATTCATACTCTGCCTTAGTGAGTGAGTGAGTTTGATTTTACGCCACTTTAGCAATATTTCAGCAATATCACGGAAGGGGACACCAGAAATGGGCTTCACACATTGTAGCCATGTGGGGAATCAAACCCGGGCCTTTGGCGTGATGAGGGAACGCTTTAACCACTAGGCCACCCCACCGCCCCCTCTGCCTTAGTAGAGGCAGCTAAATAGTGTGGTCATCTGTCTTGTGAAGGTCGATGGTGTACTCATGTGTGTTTTTCAGGCTGATTGGATTGTCACGTGACATAGTCAAGACCAATGGTGCACTCACCTGTGTTGTTCAGACCAATGGTGTCCAACTCCATGTGAGCACAACACCCACAGTCATAGTACAGGCAGCTACACCCACTTCCCAGAGACCCAGAATGTTGCGTCAGCAGTTTCTTTTCCTCTGCAACTGTACAATTTCAATAAAATCTTCATCCAAAGATAAGCAGCAGATTTGAAAACAAAATATGTATACATGCATTTCTGAAGACAAAATTTGAAGATAAGGACTAACTGGAAGTTGTAACCAGTATAAAACTCCTAAATAACAAGACACAAATTCCTCTTGGGTTAAGAAACTAAGAGTCTTTGCAGTGTATGAAATAAGGCCCGTCCGACCGCCCGAGACGGGCTAGATTTCTGACGGACAGTCTAACTTTACAGTTAGCCAGCCCGATGGTCTGGTAAACAATTTAGTAAACTTGAGTAAATTCACCATGTCTTGGTGGTCGGACTCGTTAAATCCATTTTGGGCTGGTAACAATTTGAAGTTACCAGTCCTGATGTCTGGCTGGGTTTCTGGCTTATTTCATACACTGGTCTTTGTCAACAGTCTCTTAGATTCCCATTGAGAATATGATTATGAATTATAAGAATATGAAGTATATGTGCCAAAATATTAAAAACTCTTTCATAAACAGTTTCAGAAGAAACCTATTTCCATACACTTTGTGATGGCTGCTCTTATAAGGGACACAGAGGACTGTGAATCTGACCCTAAATTCACCCTTGGGTCAGTTTAGAAGGCTGGTATATACCAGATTGCCTCGTCAACAGGATAGTTGGGAGACATATTCATCAAGTACATTCTTACCATCAAACCTGTCCTGCTGGCCATCCTGGATATTCTTTGTCCCTGACATAGCCAGAACAGGGCTGCCTCTCGGTGGAATCTTAAAACAGCCAAGCTTGAATGATTCAACAACAACACTAACCAGCTTGGCCACAACATCAACACAACCACTGAAGGTGTGCTGTTGGATACTGAGATTGTAGAACTTTACACAAAGGCTGGCTTCTTTCTTCAGGTAAGGCAACCCCACACAGATAGGAGGGGGGTTCCTAGCTGAAACAAGATGTGATAGGTATAGTAGGGAGTGAGACTGACAAAAGGTTGCTTTGCTGACTGACTGACTGAGTTTAGTTTTACGCCGCTTTTAGCAATATTCCAGCAATATCACAGCGGGGGACACCAGAAATGGGCTTAACACATTGTGCCCATGTGGGGAATCGAACCCGGGACTTCGGCGTGACGAGCCAAAAGTTTGCTTTGAAATCTCTCTTCGACATATGACTACATGAATACTTGACGAGAGAGACTAGGATGTTTCCTGCTTAGGTTATTTACAGATTATCACCAGGTGCAAGGTGACAAACCTAGAAACATACTCAGACTGAACACATGATCATAGCTTACTGACATGCCTAGCCAACGCAACTCTGGAAAGTGAGTGCATCTGATTCAAATGAGTAAAATTGTATGACATACATGTGACTGTATTCAGCTTTTAGAGCAATATATTACAGCTAAATCTTTTTAATGTTGTTTGGTTTGTTGTTCAATGCAGCACTCTGCAATATTCCAGCTATACGGCGGCAGTCTGTAAATAACTGAGTTTGAACCAGACAATCCAGTGATCAACAGCATGAGCATCAATCTACCAACTGGGATACGATGGGATGTGTAAAGCAAGTCAGCAAGCCTGACTACCCAATCCTGTTAGTCGCCTCTTACAATCTGAACAAGCATGGGTTACTGAAGATCAATTCTATCCCGGATCATCTTTACTTTAAAGTACTTAGATGGCAAGGACAGAATTTTGGAAAACAGCCCTTTTACATACTGCAATAGCAACGTCCCCACCATGATGACAGGTGGACATGTTCTTCAGGCAGGAAAATAAGCTGATCAAACCAGACAGCACAGTTTTGGCTTTGCTGACAAGAGCCCAACATGTTCCCAACTCTGGGAGATCAGCAAGCTGAAACCCACGGCAAGGTGTTTGTCTACAGAGCCATTATCCTCATCACATAAATTCTGTATAAATCTACCGTCACTGTCAAGCAGACAATGAGAATAAAGGAGTTTTGTCCGATGATATGGGCAGTGCCAGCCCTAGCCAGGCCACAAGTGCTACTACAGTGCCCCTATAAAAACTTACGCCTCCTTAACAAAAATGGTAGACGGATAACTGGGCTTCTTCCTTGTTATTTCAACCTTGGAAATGTTCTTGTCCCCCTAGCCACTACCAGCCTGAAGCATCCAGGACAGTATCAATATGGAATGATCGAAAGCCATGTGTATGACAAACCATTCAGATATATCTCGTCATGCTTGAACACACTTCTTTACAATCGAGGCTCATGACTAGCCTTCTCGAAAGTTCCTTGGTGTCGTGGAGGAGGCTGCTGAGATTTGCTTCAACACTATCTCCTTTCATCTTAATGTACTTCCAGAAGTTATCAACTTCTAACCATGACACATACAGACATTATTCATTAATCAGGACTTACCAGAGATGGTCTTTTTGAAGTACACAATCCCATCCACGCTGAGTGTCAGGGACACTCCATACTCATCAGGTAGGTAGGTCAGGTTGGTGCACACTAGATGGGGAGACAAACACTTTCAGCTAATACAGATATCCTTCCACATAAGTGAATTATGAGTACTCATCATGCTAATATATAGGGAATCTCACCCGAGTTACTTTTGATATCAAATATATCACCACGAGTTGATAAAGTAACAAATATCCGAGGCTTGCCGAGGATATTTTTACTTTTATCAACTAGTGTTGATATATTTGATATCAGAAGACACGAGGGTGAGATTCTATTTATCATCAAAAATCACTCTTCATTAGTTTTCAATGAAAAATGTACATCTCTGAACACAGTACTGCCATTAGATTTGCAGTGCAGCGATGTCATAGCATTGTGACGTCATCAAGTTCATGAAGTCATAGCATTGTCAGGGCATTGTGCAAAATCTACTGTCAAAACGATATCTCCTAGGAGATATCGTCTGATCTCACACAATCTCCTGTGGAACACAGTTTTGGATGATAAACACAGATATCTCTATACCATAAACATTGCCCTATATTTTATCTAACAAAAATGATGCCATGAAAATTGTTAAAATTAGGCACCCTCTACCCTTGATCTGAACTAATGTCTTTTCTTCCATTAGTAAACATACCATTATTAAAAAGTGAGTGCGTAAGCAAGGTAAGCTTTACGCAGCTTTTAGCAATATTCCAGCAATATCGCGACAGGGGACACCAGAAATGGGTTTCCCTCATTGTATCCATGTGGGGAATTGAAGCTTGGTTTTCGGCATGATGAGCAAATGCTCTAACCACTAGGCCACTCTACCACTCCATTATTAAAGAAGGTTTCAGACCCCTAAGAATGACAATTTAACCTACCCACTTATATGCTCTTGCTCCTTGTGATCCAAAACACATGTGTTAAACTTGGTGCCCTACCTACTGGTGTAACAATGTCAGTGAGAGTCCACACTTGGGTATCAGTTTAGGATTTCTAACTGAAATGTGTTGTGTCCAACTCTGTACTTTCATTTACCTGTGTCATTGAGTCCAATTTTTTTAACTTCCAGATGAGCACAACATCCACAGGTGTATCCAACACATCCACATCCAGTCCCATTTGGTTGTTTCAACTCCAACACTTCATGAGAATCTGCCACCAGGACAGACAAAGTACATGCCACTAATTAATAACGAATGACAGCAGGAACAATTTAACACAACATATGAGAATTAGAAACTGTTCATTCCATCATCATGTGAGTGAATGAGTTTGGTTTTATGCTGCTTTTAGCAATATTATAGCAACATCAAGGCGGGGGACAACAGAAATTGGCTTCACACATTGTGTCCATGTGGGGACAGAACCCGTCTTCAAATGCTTTAACCACTAAATTAGTGTCGGAAGTAGAAAAAAACTGTTTTTAAGCTGTTACTCTGTATCCCTAAAATTTACACAATTGCAAATAACATATGTCGAAATAACCCACTTCGGCCTAACTGTGCATTCAGTGGGATGCGTAATAAGATATCAAGAAAAGCATATTTACTCGTAAAATCGGGCTAAACTTAGAAAAAATATGAATAGCTGCAGAAAACAAAAGATCAGACTATAGATGTCAATTAGGTCGCTCAGCCAGGTATGACGACAGACCGTCGACTCCTCTGGCATGAAATGCATGTGCTGCCTACAGGCATAAGGGGTCATCTCAAAGATATTTTGTGCTTTTTCATGTGTGTTGACTATGTCTCATCTATTGATTAACATCTTACGAGTCTTTCTTTCATATAGTTTATTTTGAGATATGTAAAAGAGTATGATACCTGATAACAATAGAAACGCATCGGATTAAATGTCTCAAAATGTCGAAAATGAGAAAATGCCGTTTTTTTCTATTTCCGACAGTACTTTTAGACTACCTTGTCCAGCATGTAACTAGACAAATTTACACTATACTTTCCTGGAATACAAGTTTATTTCTATGAACAAGTTTATTTCACGAAAGACTACGTACCCCACTGCCCCCAAGAATGACTCAAGGCTGCACAAACCAGTTAAACTAACCTGGTATTCAACATCTTGATATCTTGTATAAAGTATAAGGATGCTCATTTTTTTTTCGTTGGTTGGAACCACAGCTTACCCTATTGGGAAACCGCCAGTGAAACCAAGTGACCCAGAAAGTTCATTGATATTCTACATGACACAAAAAGCAGTAATTTGTGATAACGGTTTCATAAACGAATGCCGCCTGAAACTGAAACTATTTCCCAGTACATTGTTGCACTAAAATCACTTGGCAAAGATTGTGAGTTTCGATTGTCGCTTCATCAAAGATTACATGATGAGCTTGCTGTGGAAATACGAAGTGCCGCGACCAAGAGTGAGTGAGTTCAGTTTTACGCCGCTTTTAACAATATTACAACAACATCACGGCGGGGGACACCAGAAATGGGCTTCACACATTGTACCCATGTGGGGAATCGAACCCGGGTCTTCGGCTACCCCACCGCCCGCCGCGACCAAGAAAATACTTTCTTTTTTCTGCATATTCCCCAGTGGAAACTTGTGAGTAGAATCAGAAACCAGAGACCATATAATAAGGTTAGTGCATAGTCTCTGCAGAAACGAAACTTTTTTTAACACCAGAAGTAAATTACAGAAATGTAGAGAGGTGTCTTTCTCAATGAAACACCGAAATATGGACAATATCTAAATGGATATAAACTACCTTTGGTTACAAATAGTCTTGATATCTCTGTTCCTGCACTGCCACCATTTCCCGCATTTGTCAGCCCACAAAAAGCAGCTATGGCAAATACGAAGAGAAGACTTTCCTTCCTGCAAGCCATCTTGTTGTTGTTATTGTAAAGAGAAGATAACTCCGCATTGCGTTTCCGTACCACTAGTGAGTGTGCAGTAATATTTGGCGGGAAATTTAAATGTTTTTACCCAAAAGAAGTACATAACTCCTACATAACAACAGTATCTTTATGAAATATTTGTTCGTCTTTTATATATACTCAGCAGCAAAAGAAAACGTCAGTAAGAATTCAAAATTACATAGGCACTGTAATCAAATCATTACAGAAATGGACATAATAAGCGGATAATTTTTTTTGTGTGTACAATATCTTGACACATCAATGAATAACTCAGCACAATGTCAAGACATTACGTGAACGTTTGCAGTCCTTTCAGACTCTTGACTTCAGTATCTATTGTGACCACCACGAGCGGCAATAACTGCAGCACAGCGTCTATGCATGGAGTGCACCAATCGATTGATGAAAGCCATTGGCACCTGGAACCACACTCTGAGAAAGGCCTAGCGCGATAAATCGGCTGTTCGGCCTTGGTATGACATTATTCAGTCTCCTCTGAATTTCATCCCAAAGATTTCAAATGGGTTTAAATCAGCACTAAGGGCTGGCCACTGCATAATGTTGACACCGTTCTGCTGTAGGAAGACCCGTGTAGCTCTGGCAGTATGGACCCGGGCGTTATCATGCTGGAAAATGTTGTTCCAGTGACGTGCGAAATGTGGTATGACGTGGGATCTGAGAGCTTGGTCGATGTAGCGCACCGCTGTGATGCCGCCTCCTCTCCTGGGACCAAGGTTCTGGAACACCACAGGACCCACTCTCTGGTTCAGTCCTATTCCACCCCATACCATGATGCTTCCACCTCCCCAAGAGTCTCTTTCCATAACACATTGGTCTGAGCAACGCTGGACACGTCGTCGCCATATTCTTGTTCTGCCATCTGCAGTTGATACGCAGTACCGATTCTCATGTGTGAACACAACAGTTCTCCATTGCCTGGTGTTGTAGGGCAAACTGTAGACGTTCACGCCGATGACGAGGGGTGAGGATAGGTCCACGGTAAGGTCTACGGCAATGGAGGTTCCCGCTGTTAAGACGTCGGCGTACTGTATCAGTACTGATTGGTCTTCCGTGTGTTCCCACTGTCTGGCGAGCTGTTTCGGATGCCTGCATGAAGGGATTCTGTACATGCTGTTGCACAACATGGCGGTCTTGTCGTCTTGTGGTGACCCTTGGTCTGCCAGTACGTGGGCGATCATGTGTGGTGTTGGTGGCCCGGAAACGTTGCTGCAGCATGTAGATGGTCCGAACGTTGACCTGGAAGTGATTGGCAACGACTTGTGCAGTGTGGCCAGCTTCAAATCTTCCTAGCGATTGGTTCCCCTGAGCTGCCGTGAGTCGCGGCATCCTGCTGACGTTGTAATCTAATGTGAATGTTTTAACCAGGTTTGGGGGTGCATTTTATAGGGCTAGTCCTCATGAACAGCACGTGCAGCATGAGTTGCATGAAAAACATGGAGAACACCGTACCATCTCCGAGATCAGGTTGCGATTTTGAGACCATTTCCTGGGTTCCATTCTGAGTTTGGGAAGTAATGACTTTGCTCAAGTAAATTTGGAGATGTTGTCAAAAATATTCAATCAAAGTTCATGAGTTTAGAGTTATACGTTTCTGCGAAGGAAAATTCCAAACTGACGTTTCTTTTGCAGCTTATTATATTTAGAGAGCATTTAAGAAGCGTTCGCAGTTTTCACCAGATGAACATTATATTATATTTATTATTCAGCACTGTCATATTGATTCTTTGAGTTTTTCTAAAATACTGTTATTTCATGTATTTTGATAAATTATGATATTTTAAGTATCGTGTGTTTTTGTTTTAAAATGTGGCATGTTCCTACATGTATATATATATATATATATAGTATGCTAGAGCTTTCAACTCCAAGAGAGAGCAAAGGTTGAGATGCCGGTGTTCTGAAGCCAAAGCATAATTGCAAATTCCGATCTCAGAAAAGTCACTGAAAACGATGTATTCAGACATGTTGGCATTCATTCTGAACATTTATCTCCCCACGTTTGAATTATCATTCGAAAATAGGGCGTGTAGAATTATCGACCTTCATTTTGTTCACGCCATCAGGCGTTTTTTATTTTGGACTATCTTGGGTTATCTCTCCAGTTAAGGTAGAAGAAGAAGTTCATTCGTATTCAAGGCCTCGTGGCCAAAAGTACAAAAGTGTTTATACATAATTTCAGTACGCATGGACATCGAAGTGATTATTTACATATAATACAAGTTAAATTGGTAGATTGCTTGACAACAGTACAAGGATCTGTATCGCTGTATCGAAATGCTTCACTTAGGAAATAAAAGTTGTTACCCAAAATGTCTGCCAATATTGTATTTCTAAACTTCTCAAACACCACTCGAAGAAGGTATAATGATAGAGTGGACATAGCAAGTGCCACACACTGTTGAGTTAGGCCTTGTGTTTGGTGTTTTTGTTGAATTGCGCACTTAGCTATTCCAACTGTACATGGCAGCTTCCTGTAAGTATTGAAGTCTTGGACCAGGAATCTACTGACTGATATTCTAGAAAACAGTCCATGTTGTCGGTTATGATGTCACACATTATACAGTGTCACTGAACCTGACCATTATCCTCACAGGGGTAGCTGATTAGACTGGAATAAATTGCTGTAGATATATCCTAACACAGACTCTTCACAATGGTAGCTCAATGGATTGACATATGTTGCTGTGGATATATCCTAACACAGAGTCCCCACAGGGGTAGCTCACTGGACTGGCATAAGTTGGCCTGGATATAGCCTAACACAGAATCCTAACAGTCTGGTGGCTATGAACATATATAGCTGTAACTTTCAAGAATAGTTTCTTCGCAGATCCAGCACTAATCCAGCTTCATCACTGTGTCCTGCATAATTTAGTCTGGACCAAACAAATGATGGGGTCACAGTGACATAGTCAGCCAAGAAATCAAAACTTAGCAACAGATCTAGTTATCAAGGACAGCAACAGAACTTCTTACCAAGAACTTCCAAGAAGTATATGAAATGCATTTTATAGAATATGCTTCAGTGTGTATGATGCGTTCATTTCTGGTGTAGGTAACCAGATAATACAGCTCCAAAATTATCAATAAAACTGCATCACTAATCTTGGAAATATAAATCAGGAAAATCTAAATAATTTTATTCAATTAATCTTCATGTATGGGTAGGAGTGATTGGTCTGTTTCCACTGTATTCTTCAAAGACATAACTGCCATTGCAGTTTTGTTAAATGTTGTTTTGTCACAGAGACATACAGAAATGAAAGAGAAAAAAAGAGTTACGCAGTTATCTCCCCTAGGTGTGATGTCACAGCATTGTTCTCCCCAAGCCTTCATAAAAAATTCTAAAGAAAACTCTAACATACCTCTTCTCATACACTTTGTGGGGAGGTTTGGGAGGGACCTATATCCCATAATCCAGAGGTAATTTTACTAACAATTACTAACAATACCTGTAATTGTTCCTAATTATGTCGTAAACATTCCCTCTGGATTATGGTTGCCAGAATCCAACATAAGGATGGAGGGCCCCGTGGATGAGAGGAGATTAGGGATACCAATATCTTACTGGAATTATATAATTCTCAGAACAGAATAACTATGACTTCATGTCCTATGATACCCGCCACCATAATCCTAACAGATGGTTAATTGTAAGCTTCAATAAATAGGACAGGAAGTTAATGTGAGAAGAATTCTATTCATCTAGGAGAGTCTGCTAGATCATTCTTATTCCTTAGTAACCATCATTCTGTAGAGACTATGTTTCTATCTTCCTTAGAAATAATGACGTCACTTCCGGTTCAATGACGTCACTTCCGGTCTACATGGTATTCCTTTCGATCATTTAGAGGTGAATAAAACACCCCGTCTCGTCTCATGACGTCACCTCCGGTTCTATGACGTCAATTCCGGTCTTATGACGTCACTACCGGTTTATGACGTCACCTGTAACCGGTCCTCTGACGTAACTTTCTGATGACGTCATCCGGTCAACTTCCGTTTATGACTAACCTTCTATCATAGGAAGATCGAAACCTCACATCCTCTAAACATGTTCTTAATATGAATCTAGCATCACTCCCAGGGATCACTTGACCTTGTGAACCCCATCACCTGTGATACCAATCCCGCTACTATAGTGTTCAACCGTTAGTAAACAGGTCTTCTTAACCTCATTGTTCATAGGTCTACGTGTAGAATCTCTCCGAATCCCTATCCTTGACTGTCCCAGTCCCATCAAGATCCGAAGTCAGGCTGTGTCTCTCTCCAGTCCGTTGGAAGGCTCACTTTTGACTTCCGTGCCCTGCCCCCACCCCACCTTTTCCCCCCAGGCAGAGGAGAGATGCTGCCGTTTCACCCCACCGGGGAAGGAGGTCAGGCAGAGGAGAGATGCTGTGCCGTCACTAGAGGACCTAAGGGAATGGAAATTTCTGAGTTGATGTTTTGCTTGCAAGGGAGGAATAGACGGCGACGATTACGTCTAAATGGTAAAGTCCGCTGAATATACCAGCGAAAGGCACGAATTGGGCAAAGTAATCTTGCTCCGTCTGATCTAGAGGTAGGGTTAGGCAAGGCCGGTATCCTGTACATTCTAGGTCCTAAAGGTCCACCAGAAGTAGATTGGTTCTTAGCCACAAATTCTGGAAGTGTTCTGCAAGTCATGAACCGATATCCTTCCGCAAAAGCTATCGATTTAAAGTCCACTGCATGAATTTCTGATACTCTAGATGCTGTCACAAGGGCTAGTAGAAAAATAGTCTTAAATAATATAAATTTCAAAGACGTGGCTTGCATAGGTTCAAACTGAGCTCTCTGTGAAAATTCTGCAGAACTAGACCTAAGTCCCATTTTGGAAAAATAGATGGATTCACTACGTCCTTGAGTTGAAACGATCTGATCAATTTATTGAGCGATGAATTGGTTCCCACTGACAATCCCTGAATATCATAAACTGATGCAAAAGCCGATCTATAG